TGAAGTTACTTGTATGTGAGTAATATTGTAAATTCCTCTGAATATGATTACAGTGGAATTGATTTGTCGAGATGGAGAGAACTTACAAAGGAGAATGGTGAAGTTGCTGACTTGGAGAAGTTCATGCACCATGTGCATGGAAATCATTTTATTCCAAATACTGTTTTGGTAGATTGTACAGCAGATTCTAATGTTGCAAGCCATTACTATGATTGGTTACGAAAAGGAATTCACGTGATTACCCCAAATAAAAAGGCAAATTCTGGACCACTTGATCAGGTAACATGACTTATATTATGGTAATGCTTACTTGTATTCTATTTGGTTCCACTCTTTTTACTTCTAACGAAACTCTACATATGAATGCGACATCCATAATGAAACATCTGCAAGACTCATTTGATTAAATTGAACAATTTAAGGAAAAGAAGATCTTGAAAGAGGTTGATGTTAAGGCCTTTATAGTGTTTCATCATTTATTATAAAATCATCTCTCTTTTATATTTTTCCTTGTTCATCATCTTCATTTCATGTCTTATGGTGGGGTTTCAATGATCTTCTTTTCTGTATAAATCCAGTATTTGAAGCTGAGGTCTCTTCAACGCCAATCTTATACACATTACTTTTATGAAGCAACAGTTGGAGCTGGCCTTCCAATTATTAGTACATTAAGAGGTCTCCTTGAAACTGGAGACAAAATACTGCAAATTGAAGGAATTTTCAGGTAACTCTTGTTTACTTGGTCAGTGGCCAGAAAAACTAGCCCAAGGACTAATATAAATGCTTCATCAACATTCCTTTTAATTTCTTAAGTTGTTTTCATTCCATAATTTCCAATTGTCCATCTTCTGATGCTAGCTTTCCCATAATTTGTTGTCACAGTGGAACCTTGAGTTATATTTTCAACAACTTCATAGGCACAAAATCATTTAGTAATGTGGTGTCAGAGGCAAAGCTGGCAGGCTATACTGAACCGGATCCAAGGGACGATCTATCTGGAACAGATGTTGCCAGAAAGGTACTGCATACCTAAAATTTTTTTGTTAAACTGATTCAATGTTCTGCAAGTTTGTACTAAAATGTCACCACTTGTTTCTCCACATCCATTCAACTTCTTTCCATGTATGTACTGGGAAAATGTATCGGAAAATAGACTTACTCACTGAAGGGTGATCAAGTCAGGCTCTGTGAGTTTGGGTGGTTAATAAAATTTTATTAAAGGGTCAGTGTATGTTCATCGTTATTCTCTGATACTCTGATTTGATGGGTTAGAAGATCCTTAAGGGCTGATTTCATTAGCAGCAACAAGCAACCAGTGTGAAGGAGTTCCATGTGATAGGGAATTAGGCAATAGGCAGGACGACTTACTACTACCTTATTGCTTCTGCAGTGCACTTACCTATTTCCTTTCACTAAATACAATTTGCATATGCAGGTGATAATTCTAGCCAGAGAATCTGGTTTAAAGTTGGAACTTTCTGATATCCCCGTCCAAAGTCTTGTGCCTGAACCATTGAAAGTAAGATCTTATTTATTATTATTATTATATTTTTATCTTAATAATGCACCAGGCTTAAGATACTAGTTATGTCTTTGGTCTGATGGTTTTAATTATTGCTTCAGGCCAGTGCATCCGCTGATGAATTTATGGAGAGGCTACCCCAATTTGACCAAGACATGGCGAAGGAAAGACAAGAGGCTGAGGATGCTGGGGATGTAAGTAAATGCTTGCCTGTCTCGCTATTCCTAAATTATCAGAATTCTAACTGGAAACTTGATTTGTACGCAATACTGGATTCATCCAATGATTTGGATTCAGATTAAATCATGTGAATAGCTTGGGCCTAAAATCTCAACCACATACATGGAAACTGTGTTTGCATAAAACTTGAAGAATCCATGGACAGCCAAGATAAAATTGAAACCAATTGTTTAGGTGTTATATGGCCTTAGCTTTTAGGATGTTTTGAGGGTATTTCTTATCTATGATCGTATGATGATGGCTTCTGATTCTTGTAATGACTTGCAATTGCAAGAAAAGGTTACGGAGGCAATAGTAATTCAATTCATGTTATGCACCCTTACTGAACTTTAATTAATTAAAAAGAAGCATATCTGCCCTCTCTGAAATGGACCTATTTTGATGGTTCTTTTTCTTTTTGCTTATTGTAATGTAAAGGTCTTGAGATATGTTGGTGTGGTGGACGCGGTGAGACAAGAAGGGCGCGTTGAGTTACGAAGGTATAAGAAAGATCATCCATTTGCACAGCTTTCAGGTTCCGATAACATCATAGCTTTCACTACTACAAGGTATAAAGAGCAGCCTTTAATTGTCCGTGGGCCTGGTGCTGGCGCTCAAGTGACAGCCGGAGGAATATTCAGCGATGTATTGCGATTGGCCTCATATCTAGGTGCTCCATCATAATAAACTTAGTTTTTTCCTTTCCTTTATCTAGGCCTTAGTTTGTGTTTTCATGAGCTACAGTTATGTATCCTAGCGTATGCCTTGCAAATAGAATTGTTTCTTAAAACGTTAAATTGCTTAAACAACTCCTTGGGGGTAGAGTAGTTTTGCAACCATCTGTTTGACTTTCCTTTTCTTTTTCTTGCCCAAGGTCCTGTAGCTCACGAAAATGTTAAATGTAATGCTTTAAGGAATGATCCACAACAGTCAATAAGATGCTTGCATTTTGTTTATAATCTCGAGCTATTTTCCGATATTTTAGCCTCTGTTTCCATGATGTGATTAGTAAGTGTCAAACTTTGAACTCTTCCTGCAAAGTGCATTACTCATTGCTTGATGCTTTTGGACTACAGTTCAACAGTGAGGTTAAAACGCTGTTGAATTTCATCCAATTATTGCTATATGGGGTATTTTTATTTGCATTGTATAGTGTTGGAACAAGTAGGTGTAACTGTTGAGTTCTATGGTGGCGAACTAAATGGAGTCAGTTATAGTGATCTTGCTACTGTGAAAAATATGCTAGATGCTTTCAATTGGGTAAAATTTTTGAATTAGATCGTGATACTTTGAAATCTGATGGTGTTTTTATTCTAAGAGTTGAACCAAGCCTAGCAACTATCTCCATCCATGTGTGCACGAATCTCGGATATGTTAGTTCGTCATAGGCTAAATGACACTTATACTTCATTTGTTTCCGTAAAATAATTTGCAGGAAAATAACTTACCGAAAAGTATTTTCATGGAAAATATTTTTCTTGAAAAACATTTTCCAAATGCTTTATTTTCCGTTATTTAGTTGTAATAGTGAAAATTAGTTAAAAATATTAAAGTTTTTATCTCATGAAACTTTAAAAAATATTAATAATAATAGAAATTTTATAATTTAAAAATTTTATTGTTAAATATAAAAAGAATGCAAAAGAAAATATAAATTATGAAAGCCGCCAATGGCCGGTGGTGGTCGCTAGTGGCAGTGGTGGTCGGTGGTAAATAGTGGCTAGTGGTAGTGATTATAATAATTAATAAATTAAAAATATGGATTTTTAAGGTTAGTTAATATCCGGAAAACGTTTCTCGAAAATGATAAGTTATTTTTCTTAAAAAATGACTTAATATTCTTTTGACCAGGAAAATATTTTCCATTGATTTATTTTCTTGAACACCCAAAACAATGGAAAATTATGGAAATATTTTTCTACAAGTTATTTTACAAAAACAAATGGAGTCTTGATTTGATCACCGAAAATTTCAATTTATAAACATTGTAGTTTTGATTATTTCAACTTGCAGAGCTTTTATTGAACTATTGAAAAATATGAAAATTATTTATGTTAAAGAACATTAAGAACAAACTGGTAGATGGTCCAGTGAGATGAAGTGCTGGATCTTTCAAGCAATATCCATAGTTCGAACCTTGGCGTTATGAATAGAGAAAAGTGGATTGAGAGGGTTGATCCCATAATGGGCCTCCCTAGAACTAGATAAGTCGGGTTGTAGCCGGATACCATACCGTGTAGTTTAACCAAATCTCACTTATTCAATATCAAGGTAATAGAAAGATATATTAATTTACACTAGTAAATGTAATTTATAAATTGAAGTACTTGATAGGTGGTGCAATTTGTAGAATTTGTATGTTCAACGGACCAAATTAAACAGTTTTAAAAAGTTATTTGTATCATTGAATTTTCTTATAAAATTTATATTTGCAATTTGTTAGAAATTTGTATTGTCAACGGACCAAATTAAACAGTTTTAAAAAAGTTATTTGTATCATTGAATTTTTCTTTATAAAATTATATATATATATATTATATATATATATATATATATATATATATATATATATAAATTTTATAGACCATGGATTGGATGTGGATCACTCCAATCTAAATATAGCGTCACCAGATACAGGGTTTCTGCCTCGGGCCAATCAATATCACGATCTTCGAAAACACACGCTTGAGTATGGGTCAGGAAAACAATTTTCATTATCTGCTAGAGGAACTTGTGGCAAAGCCTAATTCCTCGTTAAAGTTTTCAGTAGATTAGGAAATTGGATTTTGTATCATTATTTTCATTATCATGGTGGATTAAAGAAAAACTATGATTTTACCCATGTTTTTAGATTTATTGGAATTTTCTTTCGAAAAAATTTTTAATTAGTAGAATGGCATCATTAGCTTTTACTATAAATTTTATAAGACATGGATTGGATGTGGTATCACTCCAATCTAAATATAGGTCACCAGATACAGTTTCTGCCTCGGGGCCAATCAATATCACGATCTTCAGAACACACGTTGAGTATGGTCAGAACAATTTCATTATCTGTAGAGGAACTTGTGCAAGCCTAATTCCTCGTTAAAGTTTCAGTAGATTAGGAAATATGGATTTTGTATCATATTTTCATTATCATGGTGGATAAAGAAAAACTATGATTTTTACCCATGTTTTTAGATTTATTGGAATTTTCTTCGAAAAAATTTTAATTAGTAGAATGGCATCATTAGCTTTACCTGTGAGAATGAAATAATTGAAGAAAAGCTTCGACTGTGGACTCTTTGTTCAAAAGTCTGCAAGAGCTCTAAAAGCAATTACATCCTCCATGAGTTAGGATGGCTCGAGACGTCAATCTCAACATTTTTATCATACGATAAAATTACCGAGTCGATTGCTGTTTCTTTCTATCAATATATTTTTGGGCTAAGGTAAAACTGTGGATCCCTAAAAAACTTTGCAATAATGTCTGCCTTTTCAGCTGAAAGATCTGTGTTCTCCAGAATAAACTCTTTGGATGCCTTAGCAATTGCTTCAATTGAACCAATAGCTTGAATGAGCTGAAACAAAGAAGGGTTTTTATTGGAAATTAAGGATTTAAATTCAAGAGCCCACATATTTCTGAAGATCTATAATCACATTGGTAATTTCAAAGAAAGTCAATTGCAAAGCAAGAATCAGCTATATGAAGATGCTTTAGATACTTACTATTTGACATTTCTAACTTAAAAGCCACTACTTAATTCTCAGTGAGAACTTGATTTATGATAATAAAATTTATATGCCATGTAAACTAGAGTCTTGCATCACTTGCTATAAAACAGTATGAGAAAAACTGATATTTCACAGAACCAAACAAAGAAACTGTCAAGCAGATGCTGTGTCGAAACTCATCAATATGCTTCTACACTTCCACAATATTGTAAACTATGCGCTTGAAAGCCTTCAAATGTCAAAACCTTATCATAAGCACGCCACAAAATAAATTTTTCTTAGTTAAAATTTCAGGAAGAATCGGTCAGGGACGTAATTAACTTCGCATTTCTTACTGTTCATGTCTTGGTCATTTATTCAAAGAATTATGAACGTCCTATATTCTTGGACTGCCACTATTTTGCTGGGCATATCAAGTTATGTACAATTGGATGATAGATTATAATGTGAAGTTTATTGAAAGCTAACCCATTGCTTAAAATAGTACAAAATGTATGGATGCTTTTAAGAAGAAAAATTAAGGAAGAAAAGATAGAATTACCGCATTTGCATCATGACTATCTATGCCTGGTATGGATGTGATTGCTCTAATGAAAATGTCCATGCCTTGCACAGCTTGCTTCCTCTTCACCGGGCAGTGCGAAAAAATTTAAAGTTGCAGTTCGACAATAATGGAAATAAATAGTTGTGGAAGATAAGATTACTAGCAACTAATATGAAGTAGAATGAGAGTGAATTACACCAACTGACCTCAGCCTTCAACTTTGACATAACATCCTGCTTCTTGCATGCTACAATAAAAAGCGTATATTACTGCTATGCTACATGATTTCAGAAGATTGAATGATTTATTTTTTAAGCAATCTCAATTTTATTAAATTATTAAAGGATCAGGAAACACTTATCAAAGAGAACTAAACCCGAGCCAATATGCCACCTGATATACCAAACCTATCTCCCGAGCCAATATGCCACCTGATATACCAAACCTATCTCCAATTTGATAGGTGAATATAACAAACACCAAACAAACAAACAAACAGAAAAATGTCTCTTGAGATAAGAGCAGACAACAATGAAAAATAGAAAACCAAACAATAAAAGATCAAATCCAAGCTAAAAAAGAAACTGCAGCATCAATACCTTTTTTAGTTGCTCTTTAGTTAATTAATTATATGAAGGTACTAGAAAACTAATTTTGATATAGGTTTTGAAATGAGACCATCTTATGGGGCATTTTAAAGTGAGATTTTAGTTGTAGGTCTCAAAAACAATGGTTGAAAATGCCACTGCTAATACTTGTTTTTCCTTGTATGTTACTAGACACCCTATTTCAGCAATCGACCAATCGACCAATGAAAACATGAAGCCTAAGCTCACCAACAGGAAATTAACCTACATGAATATTATAAATTAAAGGAAAAACATATGTATGATATTCATGTCCAATTTAAATTCCTCCATCCAAATGCAAGTTTGGTAAGCAGCTAATTGCAAGGAAGCTTGTGCAACGTGATGTTACCCCCACGAGAAAGTGCTATCTTCACAATCTTTTCAAATCCCATCTCTAAGTCTTGAACTGGCACAAAAGTTGGCCTGCCAACCTCCATTCCATGCCTTCAAATTAAACATATCCAAATCAGACTCAGAGTGACAAAGAATCCAACTAGAAATATTTGTTAACCTCAAAAAAATTAACGAGTATATTTTCGATTTCAAAATAAAAAAGGATCAATTTCAGAACAAATTTCAACTCACTTGAAATAAGAGCGAACAAATGAATCATTCTTCTCCTTAGTTGGAAGAGATACAACAACATAAAGGTTAGCAAACTGCGACTTTAGTTTCTTAACCCTGTAGAAATTAGATAATGTCAAGTCAATTGAACACAACTACTATAAAACACAGCAATAGATTATATAAGAACAACTACTGTGTTACCTGTTAAAGATTGGCATGGAATTCTCACAATCCCATTTAGTCACAAATATGAATGCCACTGACAAGCCCCCACAATTGAAAATGCAGTCCTAATTATTTAAAATAGAGGAATGGAATTTGCATTAAACTAAAGATACATAAATCCATTAAAGCAAATTAAAAAAAAAAAAAAGAAAAAAAGAAAAAAAAGAGTAAGGGCATGTTTATTTCACATTTGAAATGGAAATTGATATATTAGGTTACAAAAAATCAGATTCCATTTTTATTTTTGAACTAACTAAAAGAAAATTTGATATACCAAAATCAAGTTAATCGAATTATTTAAAAATGCCATTTCCCCACCTAAAATAAAGTCAATCGAATGTAAAAATATCATAAAAAAGTATGAATTTTAATGTACCAAAAGATAAAAATTATGCCAACTCTGTTTTCAATTTTATTAAAGAATTGCATTCTATTTCCATTTTCACAGCAAACAAACATGGGAAGATAATTACAGGGGAAATTGGAACAAAATTGAGGCGAAAGCAATTGGCAGCAAGAAAGGAGGAGATAAAATTGATGAAAGATGGATGTTGTTCATCTTTCCATTTGCTATTCATCATACAAACTCCAGCAGTTCCTGCAGTATATTAACCAAACAGCATTGCCTCAATCACAAAATTTCAAACACGACATTATTCAAAATCACACCACAAAAAGGAAAATGTGTTTCTCAAATTTCTCAGCGATCAAACAGAATATAAGGCTACGAAATCCCTTACAGTTGTAGAGAAAAGAAGGAAAAGAAGAGAATATGTTTTCATTGTCCTACGACTTCTCACCAACCAAACAGATTAAAAACAAATTCAAACCGATCAAACAGAAGAGACTGAGACCTGAGAATCCAGGCACCTGAATTCGTGAAATTTGATGGATTTTGGACCGTTGGATCTCTGTAAATTGATTTTAAATTCGCCATCGCAGAGCTTTGAAAGAGAGAATTTAGTGTGTAGTGAGATACAAGAGGTAAACGAGTAAATCTTAATTGGCGCCAAATCCATAAGAACGACACACACCCTCTTAGGCTTTGTTTGACAAGAGAATAAAAAGGGGAAAAGTACATTAGGATCCCTGAACTTTGCAAATACAATTAAATCGTCTCTATCTTTTTAAAAATATATCAATTTGTCTCTATATTTTATTTCCATTATACCATTAAGTCTTTTTGTCCATTTTTTATAATTTTTTCTGTCGAGTCAACAAGAAAATATAGATGTTACAAGAGAAATACTAAAATACTATACCAAAAAAATTACAGTTCTGTCATACTATTTGAAAAATACAACTAGTCTGTCCCTATGCTTTTAAAAATAAAAGAGGTATTTTCGTTATTTTATGAGGTACTTAACGAAAAAAAATGCAAAATTGGATATAATGATTTTATGGTCTGACGGAAGTAAACTATAAGGATGTTTTAATCTATTTTAAAAAATGTAGGCACAAATTAATGGTATTTTGCAATTCACATGGATCTTACTGTATTTTTTCAAAAAAAAAAAATGAAGGAGGAAGCAAAATAATAAAGGAAAAATTACAGTACGATTCCTGTAGTTTACGAAATACAACTAGTTTGTTCCTGTCTTTTTTAACATATATCAATTTGTTTCTAAGTTTTGATTCCGTTATACTACTGTGTTAAATTTTTGCATATTTTCTGTTAAGTCACAATAAACTATAAGGTCAAACGAAAAATACTAAATTATTATACTAAAAAAATTACAACATGGTCTCTATAGTTTAAAAAATACAACTAGTCTATCCCAATGTTTTTAAAAATAAAAGATGTATTTTCATTATTTCATACGGTACTTAATGGAAAAAAATACAAAAATTTGGCGGAAGGACCTTATAATCTGATAAAAGTAAACTATAAATATATTAGTCTATTTTCTAAAAGACATGGACGAACTAGTTGTATTTCACAAACTAAAAATATCGTACTTTAATTTTTCCTAATAATAAAATCTATTTTATATTAAGTAACATAATTTTCACCTATGGACTGTGGCTGAGTTGCAATGCATGTTAAACACGTGGAAAAAGCTTCCCGGTCGATCTCATTAAATACACTTTCGGGTAGAGACGAAGAGGGTCCCATTTAAATATAATTTTTTCACTATTTTTATTTAACTAATTTTTAATATTGCAACTAAATAATGCTTGATAGCCTCTAAGTTCATAGATTATTTTTAGAGAAAGATTAATAATATTTAGAGTTTTATTGCTTTAAGAGTCCTCCTCTCTTTTGAAAAATAATATTATATATATAGAGTTTTTTCTTGAATCTCAAGTCACTATTTAATTAGAAAAATATATATGTTACTAATTAGAATTCTATGTTAAATATTTATATTAGTCCCTATAATTATTTCAGACTTACATATAAATTACCACTAAATTCATGGTAAATATTTATATTCTATCGATGCTAAATGAGTTGTTATTTTCGAGAAACAAAGGTGAGTATTTATTATCTTAGATTTAATTATTTAATTATTATTATTATTATTATGAATAAATTTTTTTGGATTATTTAGCCATTTTACGTAGTCTAAGCATGCCTAACCTGTAAATCAAGTCCCTAGATTTCAATTTGGGCCACTTGTATTAAGGGCCAATTCTTCTCTATCATCTTCCCTGCTATTCTAACTAGCGAAGCACACAGTGTGACAGAGAATGGACTCCAAGAAATCCAAAATCTCCCTAACCACCACCTCTTCCTCCTCCAGACGGCATTCCACTCGCCTCCTGTATGACCGCCGCTACGGTTGGGTGTAAAAATCTCTCTCTCCATCTATTTCTGTTTGTATATGTTTGTTTATATGTACAGAAATATAATTAAGGATGATTAGTTTTACTAAATTGTTTTTTCTTGCTAGTTTTGATGAATGGAAAGACCCTTCAGAGGAAGCTCTAGCAGGTGGCCGCGGAATGTAAGCTTTCGTTTTTTCTTTCTCTTTTTGTTTTTTTATCCATTTCCATTCACTTTTCCCACATTTTCTTAGAAACCAATCAGAACCCCATAAAAATCTTTAATTTTATGGATTCATACTTATTAACCTTTCTCTTTGGTAATTCTTTTGAACTTCGTTGTACAGGTTCTGTATATTACCTCTAACAAAAGCTTTCCTCAATTCAGCTTCTCAGTCGGTATGTTGGCTTTGGCTTCTCTTTTATTTATAAAATAAAAATACGTCTCAAGTGTTCCTTTTTCTCCTTTTGTAAGCATTAGTAAATCTTTTGTAAATGTCTTGGTTTTGGGGATTGAGTGATTTTCATTTTTATTGTCTATTATGCAACTTCTGTACATATTTAATTGATTAGTGAAAAGAAAACGGGGTGTAGCATTCTTGAGCTTAATATAAAGGCTTTGCTGTGGATTGGTTGGGTTAATGGAGCTGAAGAATACCCCTTCTTTTGTATGCAGGAGAATTATTATTTGCTGATAGTAGTCGTGGAGTATAAATGAGCTGTTTGTGCTTGTAGAAAATTAGAACTACAGATTATGTACTCTTATGTATGCAGGGTCTTTTTCTATAGTTTTGCCATTACTTACAAATGGAATCAATTTTTAGGAACCAGATAATACAAGCTTACAACTACTATTCAGTCTATTTATTGGTTGCAAAATGCTTCAGCTTGAGGTTAATTCATGGTCTGTATATTAAATTTTTTTAAAAATTTTTTTTAAAGGCAGTTTTATGTATTTATTGTATTTCTTATGTGATTCTTGATTTAGACAGATAATTTTGCTGACCTTTTCCACTTTTTCTTTGTTTTCCACAATTTAGGAATGCCAAAAAAAAGTCTCCATTATCCATTTAATTCAGGAAAAAAAAAAGTTACCCATAAATAGAAGCTTTGGCACATTATTTCTTTTCTAATAAGTGTTATGAGGATCTGTTTTAGCCACTGTATTCATTGCCTTCTCAATTCCCATAACTATGCAGTTGATGGTGAAGTTGTCCCCTTGTATCATTTGATTAATCTACATTGATATATCTGATTTTGTCTTTAACATGTTACTTATTCATGGGAGACGATTTCCAAAAATAAGAAAGAACAATGAATTATATTAGCAGCAAAAGTGGGTGAATTAAGATTAGCTTGTAAGTAATTTCTCTTGAAGCACTTAAGGCTAGAGCTCTGCTATGCTCTAGGATATCTACTTGATAATTTCAAACCTGTAACTTTTTGAAATAATTGTCCAAAGCAAATATATTATAATAAACTCTTTGATAAAATATATTCTTCTCCCCTCATATTTTCTGAAATACTTTCTGTATTCTTCCTTGAGCTATTTCAAGAAGTCCCATAGTGCCAGAACTTAAGCCTGTTTGTGGAGGTTAGACTGATGGTAACTTCACAGATAAAAATAGCAATCCATTGCTTTTCTGGAATCAAGCGACTTAATGTTTCTTAATGTAATCTTTGAGGTAATATTTGCTACTGAGTTCGAGGCACAAAAGGCCTTCTATCACAGATGGAGAATTAGCTTTACTTATCTCTGTGCATTGCTGAAACGATTTCTGTTTTCTCCATGAAATGACAAATTTGATACATGGTGTTCCAATATGGTTGAACCTCTAGTTGATTCTTGACATCGTCATGCATAACTGAATTCAAAAATACCTTCTGTTGTGCCAAATTTTCTGTCTTTTATAGTTATTTTTCCTAGTTAGGAATGCGAAGGAAAAAAATTCAAAGGCTTTTCACTCTAGAGAAAATAAAAATATCTTTTTTCTCTCACATCTTTCCTTCATCTTCTCGCAGATAAATGTTGCTGCAAATTTTGCTGTCAAAATCTTAGAAAGGCCAGATCTGTTCTCCCCTCAGGCATTGCATACAAATCTTGACAAGCAGCTTAAGAATTTTTTGAAAAAATCGGATATGAGTTGTTCTGATCTCAATGGAAAATATCTAGCTCAAACTCCCACCTTCACTTCACAGCAACCAGTGGAAACCAGAGAATCACAGATTGCTTAAAGTATGTGATTCCGTTCTTTTAGTTTTCATTATATCAACCTCTATTACGTGATGCCTTCGAGAGATTTATATGGATTCTTATGTCTATGACACAATCTTGTTTGCTGGGTACACCAATATGTTAACTTTTCTAAAAGTTTAAATTATGCTACTTAATTGACATATGAGTTGATTGCTGCTCGTAGAAGGATTTTGGTCATTCGTATTTTGGCAATAGGAGAAATTAATTGTTATAATATAAATTATGTGCATTTGGATTGCATTTACATAGGGCTGATACAAATTATGATTTACTTAGTTTCAATAAAAATTTGAAAAGTATCAAATTTATCATTAAATAAATAAATAAATTCGACTCTCATTTCCATTGGTTAGGAAACTGAGAAACCAGTTGATCTGTCAAATTTCAAGGGGTATCTAGTATTGTTGGACTGGTTCCAGTTTAAAAAGAAAAAAAGACAATATACATAACCAGTTTGTTTTAAATTTATCTGAACTGTTTGGTTAACAAACCATGAGCGCTCCTAGTTACATATGATAAATTTATTAGTGTATTGTTTTTCCAGCTGTCATGTAGTTCACTCTATGAAATTGAAGGTTTGTGTATACTGGGAAATAGAGAACTTTAGATGAAATTTCAATTTTCCTCCAAATTCTTTTAATTTTATCAATTTTATTCATTCCACTGTACCATTTGCATCTAGAGTTAACATGATGACAGCTAGATACATTTGTATACCTGGAGTGTCATGGTTTGGTCATATATGATGTTTTCAAGCTGTAAATTTTTCATTACCAGGCGATTTCATTGCTTAAGACATGATTTTGTAATTATGTTTCACTATCGAGTTCTCAGAGCAGGTAGATTTGTTTATTCATTTTCCCAGTATGGATTCCTTTTGTGTTTGCAGTTGATGCTTTACCAGAGCAGACCTAAAACAAAAACATGCAACTTAGTTGGAAGCATTTTCAAAGAGGAAATTTTATCAATGGCCTTAACCTCTTATTGGACCTCAACTTGAGGATATCTTTCTTTTCCCCTTGCTGTTTTTGGTAAAATGCTTCTTGTATAATGTAGTTTTACATGCATCAATCATCTTATATCTTCCTTTTCATAGTTGATATTGTATTAAAACAGGGTAAATAGGTAGTATTGAAGAGACGAATTTTCTCAATTCATTATAATTGTATGGTCGGGCTTATGGATGATCGAGTGTCTGATAGCAATTCGCAAAATTAGATGTTTTAATAGCATTTAATTATATTAGCTATCGATTATTTTTTTTATTAACATTTTATCAAATGTTCGAAAGATTATCTGCTCTTTTAAATTCTAAATATTATTATCATTGTTGCGTGATCAAACACTATATATATATATATAAGTATATATTGGAGTGGTGTAGTATATATATATTTAGATTTTTTTTTTTTTTTTTTTTGTTTTTTTTGCTATATTATATATAAAAGATTATATTTTGATCTAAATTATTACGACAAAAGAGCTATTGCCGAAAAGACATGGTATTTAAATTGTGATAGGTAATATTTCTTTCAAAATTTGATACTACAGTTTTGTGAATTTAATTATTTTACATATTAAGATATTTATTTGATATTATTAAAAAGGGTAGTTTAAAGACTGATTCAACTAACAATTGGATAGAGAGTTGAAAATAATCATTGATCTAAAAATAATATGAATAAACAGAACATGAAGGTGAAGGTAGTTTATTATTTTATTTAGTAATTTTGAGGTCCATAGAAATGTTTCAATCTTATTTTTCTGTTGTTCTCTTAACAAAAAAATATAAAAGATTATATTTTGATCTAAATATTACGACAAAAGCTATTGCCGAATAAGACATAGTATTTAAATTGTGATAGGTAATATTTCTTTCAAAATTTTTTGATACTACAGTTTTGTGAATTAATTATTTACATATTAAGAATTTATTTTGATATATTAAAAATATTTAAATTGGATGATTCAACAACAATTGGATAGAAACTTTTGAAAATAATATGATTAAAAATAATATGAATAACAGAACATGAAGTGAAGGTAGTTTATTATTTTATTATAATTTTGAGGTCATAAAATGTAATATTTTTTTCTTTGTTCTCTTAAAAAAAAAAAAACTTCATTTTTTTAAATAAAAAAAATTCCTAGTGCCCTAAATAAAAGCGTGGCTCAATTGGGAACACCGAAGCAACTTAAAATTACTATTCTTGTCAAACCCAATAGCCCTACGATAACCACCAAAATATGTTCCAAAAAACCAAAATCTTTTATCAAAACATCACACCAGCGACATTTTTACATGGCAAACTCTCCAGTTTCCACAACAACAAAAACAAAAACAAAAACAAAATCAACAATCAGAGCTACTTCTAGTGGCTCTCATTATCCTACCCCCTCTTCTTGCCGCTTAAAATGCGTACCCTTCTTACCCTTAGACCGCTATCATCATCACCACCACCTCCGCCATGTCTAACGTCCAATTTCCACTTTTCTCCTTCTTCTTGCACTTCATTTCTTTATAGTTTCAGACCCAACAGGCGTTTTCACTTTCTTAGTCCTTGTTCTTCTCTTAAACAGTCTAAGAAACAACAGACTCTTCAAAAAACCAATGCTCCTCAAAGCTTGAGGTGGTTCCTGAATCCTAAAGGTGGTGGTAGTGGTGATGATGATGAGAAGATTAAAGGTGATGGTGGTGAAGGACTGGAAGGGGATACTGCTGTTAAGGGTACCATTTTGGCAGGAGTCCTGTTGGTTGGTGTTGTTGGTGGGTTTGCGGCCGTTGGTTATATTTACAAGGACCAGATCAATGCTTTCTTGAATCAGTTTTCGGGGTTTATTGAAGGTAATTTTTTTTGTGGGGATTCGATGTATCTCTTGGTGTTCTTCATCAATTTGCCATTTTGTCTACTCTATTGGTGTTGATATTTGTCTAGAACATTCCATGCTGTGTTCAAGAATTCAATTCCCATTTAGGATTTTTATGGGAATTTTAGTATCTTGAACCTTTTTTTTCTTTTGGGAAAGGGATTTCTCATATTGGACAGATGCGTTTAAGATTCTTTGTGAAGTTCTATTGCATTATTATGTGAAATTAGTTAATTTTCTGTAGAATTTGTGCGGATTAAAAGGGTCGGTAACTTGGTATGGACTTGAATTCCAATGAAGTTAAGTTCTCCAAGAATTAAAAACCATCTTTTATTTTATTGAGAATTGATGTTTATTTTGTGGATATTTGTTTTCTATATTCGTATTTGTTTTATTTGCAATCTTTATTTTTCTGAAATTACTGGAGTAATGTTTGAATTTTGATAGTAGCAAATGCAAGCATTGTTATTACAAGAAGCACTTGCTTTCATTCTTATAGTGATTAGCATGGATTGACTGTTTTTTGTTGATATATTCTGATTATAGCAATTTAAACCCATTTAAGAACTTCTAGTGTTTTTTCAACTGACAGAGTGGTACTAAATTTTTAGCCTTTTGTTTTAAGCTTTAGGTTATCCTAGAGATCTCCTATAACTGGTCAACTCTTAACACTTCTCTTCTTAGTATTTTAATGTCTTAATTTGTCTATCCACAAGGGCTAAGTGATAGATCGAAGAATTTAATGACTGAATTTAATATCTTCTAAGTGATCTTAATTTGCCTTTTCCCCCCCACTCAGATTTGCTTAGGGCTACTTTTCAGTAAGATCCAGTACTGCTAAAACCATATTGATCCCTTCAGTCAATGTAGAATCTACTTCTAACTTCTGAATGTCGCAACTTGGACATGCTCTTTCTTCCTCACTAATGCATTTGCTGGCTTATGGGGGATATGGCCAAGATTTTTTTGATTCCTTGCGTGTTTCTTTCTTGTATTTCTATATATTCATTTGACAATTCTCATCTCTATGGAAACATTTTATGAATTCATTGCTAAGCATGGCTGGTTGAATTGCTGTCTTGCGGATTGTTCTCTTAAACTTGTTGAAATTTTATGATCCATTTGGTTGCTTCACACTTCTCCTTACCTTCTTCCCTTGCTCCTTTGAGTGACATTGTCCTTGTTCTACCTATCCCTTTATATAGCAAAACCTAAGCATCAAAAATGATCTCTTTGAAGGATTGCTATACTGGGTAAAAATTCAGTGGAATTCTTCTGATAGAACTTAGATTGTTGTCATATTTGACGAATCATGTTGGTCTTAGTTGGAGGTGAAGGGTAGTACGTTGAGGACTGTTAAAGCAAGATTTTTGTCTTACTATTATGCCACATATATTGTCCAAGATCTTCAATATGAAAACTTTAGTTTTTTCCCCTTTGTAGATATACTTTTAGATACTGCTAGAGTATATAAAGGAAAGTTTATTATTGTTTTATTTCCTTGTATGGAATGCTCTTGCTAGAAATTCATGTGGTTCTATCTTCAACAGGTTATGGACCAGTTGGATATGCTTTATTTGTAGCAGTATATGCAGGATTGGAAGTAAGCATTTTATATTTTGCTGTGTCTTGTTCTCTTGATTAATTTGTAGCTTTTTTATAAAATCTGCACCCACTTGCAATTCATGGAATCCAATTTTTTTTTTTTTCCAATTAAGTAATACCCAAAAGACTGAAAAATTGTGCTTTTCACCATTATACATAAGAAAAGGTAAAATATTTATTTTTAAATCTCACATAATTTGTGTTGCATTTGCTCTAAATTCCATGTCCATAATTATTATTGTGTGGCACTAAAACTGTAATTTTTGTTATTATTGGCTGCAACTGACGTTTAAATTACCTGTGCTCCATTAGATACTCGCAATTCCGGCAATTCCTCTTACCATGTCGGCAGGTCTTCTTTTTGGCTCTTTAATTGGCACCATTATTGTCTCTATAAGTGGAACAGTAAGTTGGGTTGTATGTTTGCATTTATTACAAACACAGAAAAAACCTTGAACTTATGTTGGGAGGTATATGTCATATCGTTTTTCCCTTTTCAGGTTGCTGCAAGTGTTGCCTTTCTAATTGCAAGATATTTTGCCCGTGAGCGCATTCTTAAGCTGGTTGAAGGAAATAAAAAGTTTCTTGCCATTGACAAAGCAATTGGTGAAAATGGATTTAAAGTTGTCACCCTTCTTCGATTGAGCCCTTTACTTCCATTTTCCCTGGGCAATTATTTGTATGGATTGACATCTGTTAAGTTCATCCCGTATGTTTTGGGAAGGTTTGCTTATTGTTCACCCTGTTATGTTAGTAGTAAAGTTGGTTGCTTACTGTAAATTTTATTACGAGATGTCCCTTTAGTCTTGTCTGGAGATTGATTGCATGTTTGCTGTAAGCATCTGCCATCTTACACATCTGTTTACTTGTGAATTTGTGTAATTCGTATCTCTTTTGCTTAGCATATGTGGGTGTATGATTTTATTTGTACTGTCATGTGAAGCCGATAATGTTTTCTTGCTGTCTGGCATTGTTACTCTTTGTATTATTGCTGGTTTAATTTGCATTCCTCTTTCTTTCCCCAATTTCTCTCTTGTTAGGTGCTGATATGTTAATGATATTCTGGTGATGGTTAAATAACTGGAGTGTACATTTTTGCTTTATAAGGCTAGGTTTTCACTGACATGATATTATTTTGCTTGGTCTGAATTAGCGAAATCCTAAAATCTGAAATTCACATGAGTTTGTTTAGAAGTTTTGGAATACCTTTACAACAGTAACCAAATTTGTCTAGGACTTGATAAAATGTTAATCTAATAATATTTCCTAATATTGGTGGCTCAAAAGTTTAAGATTCTTATCTTTGCATGAAACTTTTGAAACTCAGTTTTCATTGGTTTGTTATTAACTGCATCTAATTATATGCACGATCTTGTGGAAATATATCCTGCTAATTCAGATTCAGTTGTCACACAGCTGGTTGGGGATGCTTCCAGGGACATGGGCTTATGTGAGTGCTGGGGCATTTGGCCGTGCAATTATTGTGAGTTTATTCTTACTTTCTGCATTGCTGTGATTTCTGCTTGTATCCACAGAGTCTTTCAAAGTTTATCTTTATCTGTTCAATTATTCATGACATATTGATATTTGTATTCTGTACCAGTTTGACACTAGAAATGAGAATAAAAAACAAGGCAAAAGAATGTCAGAGACTCAGATGTATTAGTTATATCTAGGAGCCTCTGTTATCCACAAGTTGATTACTGTATCAGGAGTGTGGCTGAAGGACATATACTAGGAACAGAATCGCCTCGGTTACTCCACAATCTGCTTGGTGGAGTGTAGGATGCAACAATATCAATAGAACTTCCAGCCACAGGAATGATAAGTTTGAAGATTGTAGAATATTTATTGCCTTAGCTTTCTCCTAGATAATAAGCGCACTTTGTGCTAGAAAAATATATAGAACAATTCACATGGTGAACATGGATTATCTAATTTTGGTAAAACTGTAACTTTTGAAGTTAAATGGGAGAGACAAATAATGCAAGGTTGGGATCTGCCCTAATTTGTTTGATTGTATTCGAATAAAAGAATAAATTATCCCCTAGGATATCAGAGAAAACTTGTTGTCGACCTTGTTATGTAGCTTTTAACTCTTCCCTAGTACGGAGTACTAAACTAACAATTTCATAGTCTTAGTTAGCATTTAACAAGTAGATTCAATTGTATAGAGTTATTGTCTGCTAATGCAATTACAACTTTTAGCATTTCTTGTCAAATTTTGAGTTATGTAGGGCTGCCAAAATTATCAGAATGAGTTGCATATCATTCTCACTTGCAAGTTACAACTTGTCTATACTTAATGTTCTACTCTTCTTCTTCCCTCGCAATCTTCATTGTCTGCCACTCTCCATAAACACTATTAAACTGTTTCTGCATTAGATAATCTTGAACTTTTCGTGCTTATTTGATTTTGCTCATTGTCCTCAATAGCTTTAAATATATGCCCTGTTCTTCTTTTAAAATTTTCTTCTTATTCTTTTCAATAAGGTCTTGCATCTTAGAAACTAGTTTTAGTGAATTTCTTGGTTGATTGCTTACTAGCAAATGGTCATCCAATATAGAATTTTCAGTTGAAATAGTATTTGAACATTACTCAGATTGAATAGAGCAACGAGATAATCTTGTTCATGAAATTTTCTAACTTTGATGCAAATCATAAGCGGAAAGGAATTGGTGGAATTCTTTGAGAGGAGTGTTTAAGACTTTGTTATAGGTTTAGCGTTTTCAATATCGAAGTTGAAATTATTAGTGATCATCTTGCATTCAAGATTAGAAATAGTCTGATTCCATTTCTTCTCCAATCGCAATAACATTGCATACGATGTTTCAGCAAGATGAATCGGATATTGGATTAACCGGAGGAAACAATTCACTGTTGACTCTTGGGCTGGGATTGTTGGCGACAGGATTGGCTGCAGCATACGTGACAAGGCTTGCTAAGGTAAATGAATAACAACAATAAAGATGTCATAACAATAAAGAAAGTGGTATGATTATGTCTGATTATTTGTGTTTTACTCTGGTTATGTGCAGGATGCTGTAAAAGATATTGAGTAGAATCAAGAAAATAGGCTTTACCATGTAATGTAATTGAAGTTGTAACATTAATGTAAATTGATTTTGTATCATTTATGAGCCCAAATCATATAGGAAAACACCGCTTTCCCTCTTTTCCCCTCCCTGTAAATTGGGGATCTTTAGTTCTTAATTATATATAGTTAAATATTACAACTTTTTAGTTTATAGTTACTTGTGCTTCTTTTCCTTTTTCCTTCTTTTTTTTTTTTTTTTTTTTTTTTTTTTTTTTTTTTTTTTACAATAAAGATGTCATAACACATGGAAAGAAAGAGTGGTGATGATTTATGTCTCGCAAATTATTTGTGTGTTTTTACTCTGGTTATGGCAGGATGCTGTAAGAGATATTGAGTAGAATCAGACAAATAGGCTTACCATGTTAAGTAATTGAAGTGTAACATTAATGTAAATTGATTTTTGGATATTTATGAGCCCAATAGTATAGGAAACCACCCGCTTTCCCTCTTTTCCCTTGCCCTGTAAATGTGGGGATCTTTAGTTCTTATTATATATTAGTTAAATATTACAAACTTTTTAGTTTTATAGTTACTGTGTCTTGTCCTTTCCTTCTTGTTTTTTTTTTTTTTTTTTTTTTTTTTTTGACATTTGAATTATTGTCAGTGAGGTTATTAATTAAAAGATGGAGCAATACAAGACGGAAGACGTATTTTTTTTTTTTTTTTGACATTTGAATTATGGTTCATATTATTAATTAAAAAAAATGAGCAATACAAACGGGAATACTATTCCAAGTTTGAAAACAAGTCTCGCTAGGAATCGATTTTGCCAACACATAGCTATATCATTTGCTTGTCTTCTAATCCAAGCCAATGTGTCAATTGGACTAAGAATAGATGCTATAAGTGCTTCTTTTTCTTTTTTCTCTTCTTTTTTTAAAATATTCTCTTTTTGCAATTCTTTGGCTGGGGGTGGGTACTGCTTTATCTTTTATTCCCTCTTTTTCATTTTGTTTGTTTGTTATTTTTTTTTATGTTTCAAAATGTTTGTAATGATTTTAATTTTAGACTTGTAAATAATTATTTTTTTAATAATAACCTTTATAATTTTTCATTGAACGAAGGACTTTTAATATCTTAATGAATTATTAAGGGTAAAAAATAGCAAAATAACTTTTGTTAACTAAATTTTTAATATATGTATTTTGTCAAACTAGCAAATAAAATGGGACGGAAGGAATATTACATGAACTATGGAGCTTGGGCTTGTCACAGATACCACTACCGGTCTTTCTTCCCTTCATATTTTTTTCTTCAAAATGATATTAATTTTATTTATAACTATTTAAACATAATAAATAATTATTGAATATTATTAAAAATTAATTAATGTTTTTTATTTATATAACATATTAGAAAAATATATTCATCTAACAATAAAAAATATATTGAATAAATATATTTGGTGATTTTGCATTTTAACAACAATTTTTACTAAAATTTTATCAAACAACTAACATTCATTAGATAATTATTATCAGGCTTCAGTTACTAACTATCAATTAAACTAAACGTACTATTATTAGATAGATTTGTATATTAAATATGGTGTTAAGGGGTGGACACAGAGGGGATTAAATCAAAAGAATTTTTTAAATTTTCAGTGTGAAAATTTTTTAGAAAACTATATTTTTTAATTTTGCTCCCTATAATTAAGTAATATTATTTCTTGGCCCCTTAAGTCAATGCCTCTTATTTTTAAAACATAATTATATAATTCATCGATTTTATTCCTGTTACACTGCTTATTTCTTCTATTAAGTTTAATACTTCTAATTAAAATTGCATATAATAGAAAGATAAATAGTAAAACAAAAATAAAATCGAGACCATATAATTAAATTCTACAGTGTTTTTGAATATAACTGAAGAACTAAATAATAATTCACCTTAAAAATAATAATAGCTCAATTTTATAAGATGATGTCAAGATCTCCACAAACAATAATATCAATAAATTAAAATTAAATTTCCAAAAAAAATTGAAAATTCTTTTTGAGCCTGCTTTAAAATTTTCCTGATATTTTTTTACTGATAATTTACATTTATATTGAAATCATATTTGTTTTAAAATATAATTTAAGATAACTAATAAATTTTATTTAATTATTCAAAAAAAATTCAATTTGAAGTATAATTTTAATAATCGAGTTTAAATATTCACTTTCAAAATGAACCAATAGTACCCTAAATATTAAATATTTTATTAAAATACTTTAGATATTTCCATCTTAGTTAAAATGCACTTATATTATATTTGAGCTTTATCGGCCTTAAAAAGAACTACCGACATAATTATTAATAATTTTTTTAATATTTTATCTATAATTTTTTAAAAAATTTATATTAATTATTATTTGAAAATATTTAATTAGTAATGTCTTATGTATATAACATATATGTTAAAATAGAAAATAATACTAACACACTAAAAGTTAAAGAATATACATTATATAACATAGTATATAAAATAAATTTTATATATATATATATTTTTTACAATTTAAAAAACAAATGCTACGGAAAATTTATCAAATACCAATATTTATCAGTTAGGTGGTGTGATCAATATTTATCAATTATCAAATCAAATGAGCCTTAATTTTGTATATAAGCCAAAACTGGGGACACCAACTTTTTTTGGCCTAGTGCATGTGAGACTTCTTTCTGGGTGCATGTGAAGTTCCCTTTTGAGTGGTGACTTTCTCTTGTTAGTATTTTGATTATGGCGAATCAAGATGAAGCTCTCGCAGAGAATATCAATAATTTGATGTTATCTGATGATGAAAAATCACCGATAGAGGTTGATACTGTAAATCGTCCGACACCTGAAATCATAAAATTTCTGTTTCGTTGGTCGATTGCTCACAGTTCATCGTGTGAATTATAGTGCAAAGAAAAGTACGTTGGCTAGTTTGATAATCATCTGTTGGTTCTTCAGAAAATTCGTAATGGCCAAGATCCTTCCTCGGAGCCATTGTTCTTCACTGAAATAATGGGTTCAAATCCATGATCTACCAAGAGTGTTTATGTCAAGACTCTATGGCCAAAGCAGCTCGGAGCTATGTTGCATGGAAACAGAAATGAGTAAACGCGGAAATAATACGGTGAAATTGATATTTAAAAATAATTTTACACGAAAAATTAATATTTTATACAGGAAAATGGATACGCAAAAATGTCCGAAACGCGCAAAAAACCTATGTTTAGAAGTCTTCCATGCGTCACAAGTTTTGTTGAATAGGATCCCAACGATGCATCTTAGGGTTGGACTGCATATTATATATATATATATATATATATATACTATATATCTATAGACCAGCCCTAATGTGCATATGATTGGTTTAATTAATGAATTATTGACAAACATAGAATAGCGATAGTACATTGACATTATTCAAAAACAATTGAGTCCAAAAAATATAGTGAAAATAAAAATGCACTAACGCTCAATTTCTAAATATCGTAATATAATTATGTACTAAATGCTCCAATCTTGATTTTGTTCATAATTAATTGAATTTACAAATCGTTTGCTTGGTTTAATTAATTTAATTATCTCTAATATTATATCTATTCGCACTAAAATAGGGTTAATTATATATATATATATATATATATAGACCAGCCAATGTGAAGGTTTAATTAATAAATTTGACAAAATAAATAGGATAACATTGAATTTCAAAAAAATTGACCAAAATATATAAAATAAAATTGCACTACTGCTCATTTCAAATATCGTAATATAATTATGTAAATGCTCCATCTTATTTCATAAATTATTGAATTTACAATCGTTTGCTTGTTAATTAATTCTAAATATCTCTAATATTATATACAAAAAAGGGTTAATTGTCAAAAGTCACATGAAATCTCTTGTGTCTTCTACTGATCTTGTTCTTAGATTCAATTCTTGTCAACTCCACTCCATCTCCAATAGGTAAAGTCACACACTTAACTCCTTTTCTGCCATTCAAAACATTACCCAAAGGAACTCCACATTTTCTGTAATGCAAATTATGCCTTACAATTATAGACCCACTAGGATTAAGATTAATTTTTTCAATCAATTTGAAATTATCCTCTAATCTTCCATCCATAACAAGAAAATCTATGTTCTTGTAATGCATGACCACTTGGAAAATATTTCCAAAAACAAATTCAATCACATTTTCAAGATCTTGATGATTATTTTGAATATGGTTTTTGCATTTCTTGAAATCTTGATGGTGAATAAGAAAGCAAATCAGTTTCCCTCCTGTGTGCTTTGCTGCTACTGCTAGAGCCATCGTTAATGGTGTTACGCCTTCTGTTGTTATCTCCACCATTAATTTTGCTTTTTTTCCAGCTGCTAATGCTGAGATGAATTCCATGCATTTTGGTTCAATTAGGGTTTCGCTTCCATTTGAAGGGTTATTTTCATTATTGCTTCCTGTCTTGCACTGCAACAAGAAAGATAGTATTAGTTAAATATTACTTTCTTTTTGTTTTTTTTTTTTTTTATTTCATTTAGCAACTTCATGTTCTTAATTGTATTACATATCTCAAATATTAAATTTTGCAATAATAATAGATGGACCGATGACATAGTACATGAAATATTTCATATTTATAGATAAATTATGAGAGAATTTTGTAATTATTGATGTATACAGTCTTTCCCTACAAACGTTGAGAGGCTATTTACATACATCAAATCCATTATTTCTTGCAATAAATAATAATTAATATGAAGAAGAAAAATATTTAAGAAAAGGTTTGAACTAAACTTCAAAATAAAAATTTTATTTGCTAAAAGTTGATGGAAAAAAGATCTATTAAATGCATCATATAAATATTATTTAATTCCATAAACAGCTAATTAAGATGATTTATAGAAAAATCAAAAGAGAAAAAAGTATAAATAACAATATTATCTCAGATCTATTGAGTCGATATAAGAAAAAAAAATAAAAATTACCAGCTGAAGTGTGTCCAAATAAGCTTTCATGGCATTTTGAGGAGACCACTCCATTATGATTCAAGAACTTGAAATTGGGATATGAAGAAGAAAATATAAATGTTGACTTCTATCTTTCCAGAAATCGGTTATCGTTAGAACATATATATAGAAGTAAATATCAATAGAGTATAGCACTCGTCATGTGCAGAAGGAACCAACTAGAAAGTTGCCTACAAACTTAAAATTAATACATGTGTCAATGAGAAAAGGGCAGGTGGCAGTATCAAAATATTCAAAGTGGCATGATTTGCATGTAGGTGAATACGTGGCAGATGATTAACAAGGGAGATCCTTTGGGAATTTGCTTTCTCATACTAAAATACAAAATAGGTAGATAGAAGGAAAGATGCTTGTCACTATTGAACTTGCTGTCGCCAGGACACTTGGAGACTGATCCATACGTCAAACACTTTGCTCACTCCATGCACTTATACCTATCCTACACATGTAATATACGTACTTTTTCTTTTTCTTTTACTTTCTTTAATATCCAAGTTGATTCCTATTTTAATCAGCAAAATTCACCAACATGCCATTGGTTTTACTTTGATTTATTAAATATAATTTTAATTTATAAAATTATTTTTATTGAATTTTTAATTTGAAAAATCATTTTATCTAATATTTTAAAAATTGAATTTATTAAATACTTGTTGAATGTTAAAACTCTAAAATTATTATATTAAATTTATACTATTAAATATTAAAAATGTAAAAATTATTATCGAAAGAGTTGTGATAATTATTACTTTATATACAAATATCAATAATTTTTAAAAATAATTAGTGTTAATATAAAAAAGTGTACAATATTATCTAAATTTATAATTTTAAAGATATTATAAATTACTCTCTGAGTTTAAAGTGCTACAAAATTATTCATAAAAGTATACAAATGAATTTACTTGTTAGATCTATTTTAATTAAAACAACTGTTAATGAATTCAAATTTATTAATTAAATGTCTTTTATTAGAAATCTATTTACTAGACCATTAATAAATACACATGACCAAACACAAAAATTTCTCCATAACACTTACAACTATATAGATTATAATTTTTCTTTTAAAGAATTTTCTATTAAAATGGAATTATTAATAAATAGTTGGATTAGCGGATTACAACAACTTTACCTTCCGATAGAAAAAAAAAAATTAAAAATAGGACGAGCAATACCTCCATCAACTCAAAAATTTTATATTTTTCAAATTTAAATGTAGTTCATAAATAAAGTAGGGATATTGTGAGAGCAAAAATTACAAGGTCAAAATAAATTTTGTTTTTGATAAATTGACAATTCCACTAAATTAGACAACAGCTTTACATTCAATCACAAAACTGACCGACTCACTCCAATTCCCGCCAACCAAGAACTGAGCTGCACAACAACCTTCTAACAGGGTGCTGACGTGGATAATAACTTCCTGCTGACTTGGCAATTTGACACTTTGTTAATCAGAAGCGCCGTTTTACTAATAGATCAAACATCGTTTCATTAACAGCTTTACACTACGTTTATTTGCTTTATTATTTCGCATCAGGTTGTATCGGCATTCGGCAATTCCTTTCGCGGCGGAGAAAGCCATGGCTACTATCCCACTGGTTCGAGTTCGCTTCTCGGAATTCTCAAGTTCTAGGCTTTAGGGGCTAAGGTGTATGAGCAAGGTAATGTCAAGGTATTTGAGTAGATTGATCTTTTTCTTTTTTTTTTTTTTTGGTTTGATTTCTGCTGAATGCCGTTATCATTTTTTCTTTATGATTAATTTTCTTGTAATTAACTAGTATTGTTTTGAATTCTGCAGAGCATGACCTATTTGCAGCATATTTCTTTCTTTTGCCCCCCTTTATTAGGCATTTTAGAAGTCAACTAGCTTTATATTTTATTTATCAATGACTTATTGTACTCTTTGTGAGTATATTTGGCCTTTGGTTTACTGGATGGTCGAGTTTCTGCCTCATAGTATGAAGAGTTCAAATTATTCCCTTTTAAATTTCAATCAAAAGAAGAAAAAGAAACTAATTTCTTGTGTGAAAACATGAGGCCAATCAGTTGAGTTTGCTTTGAATAGAATCATAACTTGTTCAGTTGGTTATTGTTTTGAAAATTCTTGAAAAATTAAAAGAATTAAATAAAGAACTATGATTTAGTCATACTTTGTGTAGTTTGCGACCGACCATGACATTGCCATTATATTTTGGTAGAATATTATAACATATTAATTTAATTGTTTCCTGGAGAATCTATGTCAAATTGCAATTTGTTTATTTGAAGTCTATATTTTTTGCTGACATTTCTCAAACAATTTGGGAAGAGTAATCAATTGTTTACATAAGCAAAATAGCAAAAATTAGAATGATTCCTACTGTAGCTGTTGTAGCGTGGATAATTTTGTTTTTTCTTTTATATATGTTGTTATCAGTTTAATTCCTAGTAATGGGTGACGTTATTTTGGTAATTATTCAAACCATGATCCATTTGCAACTTCGATCCTTTTTTTAGCCATTCTAGAAGTTAATTGACTTATATTTATTCATCAAATGTTGCTTCAATTAAAGTAGCTTTGCTTTTGCAAATGATCACTTAACTTAGTGGTTATGGGTGATGTCTTGGGAACTACAGGTCCCAGATCCTATCCTCCTGCCTGTCAACTTGTCCTTTAATGGGCTTATATTAAAATTATGGTCCTAGTTCTATCTGTAAATCTGCTTAGAATTTGCAGCGTCGTAAATATACCTTGTATCACAATATCTCTGACTATATGTAGATATAAACATATATACTGTCTCATACTGCAAGCAATCACCAGTTCAAACTTGGCAGTCTTTGTTTTGAATACAACATGAGATCAATTCTAGACCTTTAGTTTAATGGACCATTAAAATATTAGCTCAATTAATTAAGTCGTCTTTCAACTCTACTGCCTGCTACCAACCATGTTAGTATGATTTTGCATAATATTAGAACAGACTAATATATTTGTTTCCTGAAGAGTCTATGTCAAGTTGCAATTTGTTTATTGAAGTCTAGAGTTTCAAGCCATTAAGGTAACCTGATATATTAAAATGTCCACTCTGAGAAACATGAACTGTTCATATGTGACAAATAGCACAAAATCACAAATTTGAAGGATATCTAAATCACCTTGCAAATTTAAGTGGCTGATTCATGTTGGTTGTGGATCATCTAATATATGATACCTAGGAGAGAAAAGACAATAAAAATGTAGTAACAGAAGAAGAAGGAGAAGAAGGAAGGCAAGAATATCACAGCATTTCAGACAGGATAGCTGCTCTTTCTGTGCGTGCTCCAGCCTGCCCTCTTTGCTTACACCTAATGTTGTTTGTTTTTCACTGTGATCTTGCCCCTCTCCGGCTCAAGGTTTGTTCCTTATTCTTCCCTTCTACTAAATTCTTTTCCCTGCCTAGATTGTGGATTTGCACTGCATATGAAAGGAAAATATTAACTAAAAAGTCTCTTTTCTTTTGAAATGTGATCTGTTGCAGGTATAAGATATTCCAGAGTTCTTGATATCAATTTGAAATGATTGAGAAATTTTTGGGTTTGTTTATATTTTTATTGATTCTGTAATTAAATTTAGGAATCCCTTGTCTTGGTGTTCTGCAGTATATTTACTAAAAGGTTTTAGATATCTTGAAATTTTAAACTTAGCTAGTGAATTCAAAGGAGGATACTAATGGCATAATTCCAAATTTGATTTACATATGTGCTTAAATATAGAAAAATAAAAATTACCGATAATTAATATTTTGTTCAATCTCTATGACAACTGTCTACTAACTTACAATATTTGGTTTCATGGGATCTGTTATACCCACAATCTTTTGTTAATTAGTCCATTAAATAAATGTATATTAACTTCAAATTTGGCTCCAAATCTAAAAATAGCTCATACAAATGGAAATTACAATAAATTCTCACTGGATTTATTATTGAAAGTACTTGATGGTATGAAACTCTTATCCTGGAACCAAATTACAAAAACATTAAAAAATTTCATAAATCCTAAGGTATGACTTGAGTTATGCCAAATATTGAAATGGTGAGAAACTTGAAAATATCTTTTAGTCTTGTTTTTGTGTTTCTGAACTAATATGTTGCTAATTGCAGTCACATACAGTTAAGCGTAGAAAAGAAGGGAACATACCAGGCCAACATGGCCACAGCTGCAATTCTCCAACACCTGATTGATATAATACTGTCAGCTCTTAAAAATGAAGCATCATTATTGGGAGGCATCTATGACAAATTTTACAACCTGAGGCGTGAACTAGAAAGCATGAAATCTTTTCTCGAGGATGCTGAGAGAAAGCAACTGAAGTCTGAAGGAGAGAAGACGTGGGTGGCAAATGTGAGGGACATAGCTTACCAAGTTGAAGACATCATTGATGAGTTCATGTATTTTGTACATCAACAACATAGCAGGGGCGGTTTCTCTCAGCTCTTTCATCAAACAGTTCGCATTCCAAAAGTTTTTTGGCTGAGGCATCGAATTGCCTCCAAGTTGCAGAACATCAATAACATCATCAAAGTCATTCCTGAGTGGAGGGATAGATATGGTGTTAATAATGTAGAAGGTGGATCTAGTTCCAATTATCTTGACCACAAATGGTCATTATACCGCAGGGATTCTCCTTTTTTCATTAAAGAAGATGATCTGATAGGGAAGGAGGAAGAAACACAAGTATTGAAGGGATGGCTAATGGATAGAGATTTGCAACAAATTCTTATTTCAGTGGTTGGAATGGGAGGATCAGGCAAGACAACACTAGTTGGCAAGATCTATAACAATGAAACAGTGAAGCGCCGATTTGACTGCTATGCATGGATTACTGTCTCTCAATCAAATACAAGAGAAGAATTATTCAGAAGCCTGATCAATGAATTCTGCCAGGGAAGGAAGGAACATCAACTTTCTAGCTTGAGTAAGAGTAACTCGAGCTTCAAAAACCTGGTAGTGATTCTTACTGAGTACTTAAAGGACAAAAAGTACCTAGTTGTCTTGGATGATGTGTGGGATATAAATCTATGGGATGCAATAAATGTAGCGCTTCCAGATAATAAGCTTGGAAGTCGGATCTTGCTTACAACTCGAAATAAAGATGTGGGTTCTTTTTCTTCTGGGGTTAGAAGCCATATTCTTTCTATTCAACCACTAAAGAAGAGTGAGGCATGGGACCTCTTTTGCCAAAAAGCATTCTTGGGTGAATCATGTCCAAGTGAGCTTGCATCATTGGCTACGGAACTGGTGAAAAAATGTGAAGGCCTACCTCTTGCATTAGTGGCTTTGGGTGGTCTTATGTCTTCCAAGAAGTCAATAAGTGACTGGCGTAGCGTTTGCAACAACTTGAACTGGCAGCTAAACAACAATCATATGTTGGAATTTGTCAAGAGCATTTTGTTGCTCAGTTTCAACGATTTGCCTTATCCACTTAAGCATTGTTTCTTATATTGTTGCCTTTTTCCTGAAGACTATCTAATTCGACGTAAAAGGCTTATTAGACTTTGGATAGCAGAAGGATTTGTTCAACAAGTTAACAGGATTACTCCTGAAGAAGTAGCTGAGAACTATCTCATGGAACTTATTGCTCGAAGTATGCTTCAAGTTGTATTGCAAAATCAATCAGGAAGGCCAAAAGCATGCAAGATGCATGATATTTTGCGCGAACTTGCTCTGTCAATATCAGAGAGAGAGAAATTCTGCATTGTATACAATGGAAGGATAGCAATTGAGGAATGTAAAGCTCGCCGCTTATCTGTCCAAACAACCAATGAGGACCTTGAATCATACCATGGTATGTCACAGATTCGGTCATTGTTTATGTTTTTAATGCACTTGTCGTCTTTCCCAAATACATTAGTATCCAAACTCAAATTGTTGAGAGTCTTGGATTTGGAAGATGCTACGATTGAGAAATTACCAGATGGTATAAACATTCTATTCAACTTAAGGTACTTGAACTTGAAAGGAACTCGAGTGACAGAGCTTCCAAAAAATATTGGGAAACTCCGTAACCTTGAGACCTTGAACATTAAAGAGACACTAATAAGGGAACTTCCAAAAGGAGTAGCTGAATTGCAGAACTTGAGAAATCTGATTATGTATCGTTATAATCATGGGAACAGCCATCAGTTTCAGTATGCCAGTGGGACTCGAGTTCCATTTAAAATTAACAAGTTGAAGAAATTGCAAGTCATGTCTTTCATTGAAGCAGAAGGTGATGTGATAAGGCAACTGGGGAGCATGACCCAGTTGACCAGAATGGGGATTTCAAATTTAAGAGCAGGAGATGAGGAGGACTTGTGCTCTTCAATTCTAAACCTGAAAAAACTACGCTATTTGTTTCTTATGGCGCATAATGAAGCAGAGTTCCTTCAAATGGATGCATTGCTATCATCCCCACCTCACCTTGACAAGCTTATATTGGTTGGTAGACTCAAAAGAGTACCACATTGGTTTTGCTCACTCAAGTACTTGACATACTTATACTTGCATTGGTCTAGATTAAATGAAGATCTTCTCCCTCACATTGCAGCACTGCCACATTTGGGAAATCTTGATCTAGACAATGCCTTTATTGGGGAGGAGCTACATTTCTCCAAGGGCTTTACTAAGCTTAGAAGTTTATGGTTGACTAATTTCCCTCAGCTGAGAGCAATAACTATAGAAAAAGGAGCGATGCCAGATATCCAACTGTTGTCTCTTGCCTCTTGTGCAGCATTAGATTTACTGCCTCAAGGTATTGAATTCCTAACCAATCTCCATACTCTGCTATTGTCGTCAGACTCTTCAAGCCTTGTAGAAAAAGATCATTCAAAAGTGCAGCACATCCAAAAGATCGAGATTTTTCAGTAGGTTCCATGCATCTTTCAGCTCACACACACGAACACAAAAGCTTTTATCCATTGAAAGTTCTCAATAGCATTCTTAATTTATTCTAACTATAATTCACTGTCATCATCTCCTGCAGACTGATATTATAGAGACTGGGTGATTTTGCTCCAAAATAAAGCTAGCTTCAGTTTGAAACTGTAACGAGAATTCCATTTGTCATTTTTCTTGTCCAATATATGTGAGAAACCATTTCCGTTTGGCATGTATCATTAGCATGGATGTTTGTGTACATGGCTCCTGACCTTTTTTAAGAACATTTTTCGGAAGGAGAATTTGAACTTTAATTTATTGAAGTCTTATATGCACTTAGATGTGCATAGATGGGTCTATTAAATTTGTTTGACTACTAAATTATAAACTCGAGCTTTTCGGTTAAGTAGTTTTATGAAGGTTTAATCATTAAATTGTACTGTATATCATACTACAGTTTTTGAGGTTGGTGTGGTCAAGCACTTGTTATTGAGTGTAATCCTTTGCTAGGCTGGACAATTTGCATTGTATATTATTTTAAAAAATTTTTGAAACAAATTGAAGAATGGAGTTTGATCTTGAATATCTGTTTCAGTTGTCACTATTATTGAGCTATTATCTTAATGATTGGAATATGGTATTTGATTGTATAGTAGCAAGTAATTAGAATATTTTAGCAATTTATACTGCTAAATGACAAAAAAAAGCCATGAATATTAGTCATTTTTATAATTTAGCTAATTGTTTTAGTTTAAAATAATCCTCAGATCTGTAAACAGATCTGAATTATTGTCGCCCATATATTGAGATTTATTATTACTCATATATTGTGATTTATTATTGTCCATATATTGAGATTTTGTCCTCAGATCTAGTTCTGAGTTATTGTTATCATCATTATAGTGATTTTGTCTAGCGTATTTTATTATTTGGATAGTTATGCAAAAACAAGTGCAGATCTTCTCTCCAATAGAAGGAAGAAATTTGAAGATAATCAGATCGGATGTATAGAAAAAACATGGAGTCGAACAGTGGTCATGAATAGCCACCAAATAGAGCAAGCGATCACTTATAGCACAAATATTATACTTTGTTGACTCGACCAAATACTTCAAATCAAGATTGTGTTTTTTTATTATTTGTATAAGTGGTTTATTATTAGGCTTCTTATACAAAAATATAGAAACATATTAATTTGTGAATTAATTGTTTTGCGGCCCAATAGTATATCTGAGGATTTTATTATTACTTCAAATTATATTGTGATTTATTATTGTCATATATTGAGATTTGTCCTCAGATCTATAAGGTCTCTGAATGTTATCTAGGGTTATCATCAATTATAGTGATTTTGTCTAGCGTATTTTATTATTTGGGATAAGTTATGCAAAAAAACAAGTGCAGATTTCTCTCAATAGAAGGAAGAAATTTGAAGATATCAGGATCGGATGTATAGAAAACATGGAGTCCGGAACTAGGGTGGTCATGAATAGCCAACCAAAATAGAGCAGCGATCACTTCATAGCACAAATATTATAGCTTTGTTGACTCGACCATACTTCTCAAAACAAAAGATACGTGTTTTCTTCGTGATTGAATATTATATAAGGGTGGTTCTATTATATATTAGGCACTTCTTATACAAAAATATAGAAACATATTAATTTGAATTCTTATAGTCTGTATCGAATGTTTTGTATCCAATTAATGAAAATTCGCTAATTTGTTTTATTTATTCTAAAAAGAAAAACACTAATGCTGTGAAATCTATTTTATAATCGTCTCGTTTGCATAATTATAAACCCTCTCATATCTTATATTTAATTATATATGTTTTGGTTTTTTTAGGAACCTCAATCTTTTAACATCCATACTTCAAATCAAGATTGTGTTTTTTTATTATTTGTATAAGTGGTTTATTATTAGGCTTCTTATACAAAAATATAGAAACATATTAATTTGATTTTATATCTGTATACAGTTTTCAATTAATGAAATTTTAGTTTTATTTTTCTAAAAAAAAACTAATGCTGTGAAATTATTTTTTCGTTGCAATTATAACCTCTATTTTATATTTATATATATGTTTTGTTTTTTTAGGAACCTCAATCTTTAAGCCATCAATATTTAATGTTTCAAGATTATGAAATCTTCCAATTGATTAGGCAGCTCCTTAACCAGGATCATGGTAGCTCAGTAACCAGATGCTCCATTCTAATTCTGAGCTTTTAGCAAACCAGAGGCCATCCAGTGAAAATAAAATTTTAATATAATAACAAAAATGTTTTGTTATTTAACATTAAAATTATGATAAATATTATGCTAATAAGGACCTTTATTGTCTAATAATTAATTAATGGTCCTTATGGTTTACGTTAATCTAATTATATTATTATCTTATTAAAACTTATGAACTATTTTCCTAAGTCAATTGAAAATAAGAAAAGAGAAAAAGCTTATAAATTTAATTTCACATACTTTAATTGGCATTTCCTAATTTTTTTACCTTTTAAATTTTGCTCAGTTTTTGGTAAAATTTCTGATCACATACAATAACATTATATACTTAGACATTTAATCTATAAAAATAAACTTGAAATATTAATTAATATCAAACTTGATGAAATTGAGATATTTAAAACAATATATTCACCACTCATTGATATGACGTGGTACGTTATACAAAACTCAAACAGTCCAACGCTCCAACTCTGTCCAATGGGCATTAGGGCCTGATGCTGCCCTGCCGTACTTCATCCATCCGGTGCACATTAAGATCAGTTTTTGATAATCACCATTAATCAAATTACTGTTATAAAGGATGACCGTGTAATAATTAAATTATCTCATTGGGTAATATCATTATTATTATATATAATAAAGGAGAATCACGAGTTTTTGTCGTACGTTGACGTGATATTTCATTTGAAAAGAGAGACTCTATTAATTGAGCATTCGAATTTAAATAATTTAAGAAAAAAATTATAAATTTTTGAGGAAAAAATATGTTACTCGTTAAAAATTGTCTCTCTAATTTATGAGAGAATTTTAAATAGAATGACTTCATTATTATATATAATTCTTTATTTATGAGTTTGTTAAACAATGTTTCGTTTCAAGTATATTATGATCTATGTTTTGAATTTGACAATATGGTCTTTTAATAACATATATAGATCGACCGAGAAAGTGCTAAACATTGATAGGCAGTTCTTGGAGTCTTCAAATTAAAAATTTAGGTATTTCAAATATAACAAATGAGTTTTTCGATAATTTATTTTCAACTATTTGATTACTGTCTACATGAGTGTTCTCAAATATTGATCAATCCTGTAAGTAGAAATACTCAATATATATATATATATATATATATATATTGAACTTATTGCATTAGTTTTTTATTTGAAACAATCATATTGGTTTTAAAATAGAACATGTGAGTTCTTAAAATTAAAACCAGTTCCACTTTTAAATGATGATTTGTTCATAAATTGGACTAAAATAATATTTTATAAAATAAAAAATCAAAATAAATAAATATAAATATGGACAAAAAATGTATTACCAAAAAATATAGCAGATATGAATTGCAAGTAATAGTTTTCATACATCTTATCTAATTTTGTTTTTTTAAATTTACTGACTCATATTTCTTACTTATCATTCATTATTTTTTACAAATTTGTTCATGTATGCATTTCTATGATTCAAGTTATTACTCCAAGGGAATAAGCTCTTACTAATTTTCTATCAGTATTTCATATTTATATAGTAATATGTTTTCTCTATTTCAATTGACTATATATAAATATTAAATTAGTATTCTTTTTCTTTTGCATGAATAATTCATTCATTAGTTAGAATAAAATTTTTCAATTTTACATAATACATTTGAATCATACTGCGGATGCATTGTATGGACTTTAAATTTTAATAATTTATTCAATACATATATTTTACAATTCAAAATTAAATATATTATACAGTCCGCATAAAACACGAGAAATCGCCTAATACATATATGAATCAATACTTGCCGGATGCATTGTACTGGACTTTAATTTTAATAATCGTCATCAATACATAATTTTACAATTCAAAATTAAATATATTATAGATTCGGCCGTCGCGATAACACGAGAAATCGCCTAATACATATAATATATAATATATATATATATATATATATACTATATATATAGAGAGAGAGAGAGAGAGAGAGAGAGAGAGAGAGAGAGAGAGAGAAGAGAAGAAGAGAGAGAGAGAGAGAGAGCAAACATTTTTTTTCCAAGAAGTTGACATGTGATATTTTTTAAATGAATACTCTTCATTTGCTCTTGCCATATAAGAATCTTGATGATAATACATAGGATTATAGTGTCACATAGAGCTTTTAAATTTTGATAGTGCCACATAAAATCTAATTGTTAGTTATAGTGTTATATAAATATAAATATTAATTATTATTCAATTATCATAATACATACATAGTAGTAAATAATTATAATTATTATAATATTATAATCTATTTTTTTCAATTAAAATTATAGAATATTGGTCTTAATTGTCATTCAATCATCATATTAATATGTATTAAATTATTAAAATTATTATAATATCATAACATATTTTTAATTAAAAATTATCATAATTTTGACGTTGATTATCATATTAATATGTATTATAATTTATCTTTTAAGACGTTGATTATTCAGTAATGTAGTAAATATGTGATTATACGCTATAATGTGTAATCGTAGTCTTAAATGTACGTACTTATTTATAATATTATAATTTAATATCATTATATTCATCATAATTATCAATGTTATTATTATGAATGAAAATTCATTTATATTTAATTATGAATGAAAATTTTATATTTAAAAAAAATAATAAAGTTAATAGTGAAAATATTTATTAATAGTTTTTATTACCTATATAGTTGTCTTTATTAGTTCTAATGATAATATATTGAATTGCTGTCAATGATAATATATTGGTAAAATCATTTTTTTTTTTGGATTTCAATAATTCTTATATAATTTCTTTTCGAAATTAATATATTTTTTTCTCTTTTAATTTCTATTACTATATCAAATTAGAAAAAAATTTAATAAATCACAAGTGAAAGCGATTTATATGAAATTATCATTAAAAATAATATATATACCTCTATAATCGAATTTCTATTGTCCATCTTATTTTATTTATTTTATTATTTTTAATATCATCTAAGAAAATTTATTAATTCAAAAATATATTGATATCAATAATTTTTAATATATATTTCCTTTTCATAATTTTTAATAATATATCCTTTTCTTTCAAAATTTATTATAGGAGGAGGCCATTTTATTTTTATATAACTAACGTCAGTCCTAGTGTTTTGAATTTGAAATCTCCAGTAATCGTAATGCCTATTTTAAAATTTAAATAATTTGTCCAAGAAATTTAAGCGTAAATTAATATGAAATTAAAAATATTTAAATTAATAACTGCTTTTTTTCCTTTAAATTAAATTAATTATGATAATTTTTGTAAAGAGTTCACCTCAAAATTAAAAATAATTTAAATTATAAATTTTTTTTCTTAATTAAATTATATATTTTAAAATATTATCACAAGATCTCTAAGATGATATTTCATGCTGCTAGTAATAACATATATTAAAGAAGATGGCAAGATAAGATGTTCATTAGCTCTAAGTTATGGCTTAGGCTTAAGCATCAGGCGACTAAAGAGATAATACCCCAAAAACCACATCAAGTTCAGAGATGAACTCAACCAACTCAGCACAAAAACAAAGGGCAGGCATTTTCTTTACCAGCCATACCAAGGAATCAGGTAACCGCTTATAAAGGTACAAAACGATACTAGCTAGAGCTAGAGCTAGAGCAACGCTTTTAAAGAGCCTGCGATGTGTAGAAAATCTAAGCATGTTATCAAAAGATGTAAAATTGTCGAGAGTATGCCTATTCAAACTACACATAAGCCACCTGAAACACGATCAGATACCTGCACTGGCAATTGGCAAGCAGGTACAAGAACCATGTCATTCATCAAACCTCCCGTTCCATGTAGCAATAAAAACCACAAAATCATGGAACATAAATTCAACATAACAGCAAGGAATCTGATTGAGGAATTATACTTCCCTGTTCAGTTCCACAAAAACAAAGGAACTCAGTTTTCCCAATAAACTTGGCTTATATATGAGATTGGTGGCAGGAAACTTTTGTTGCCCACTGGGCAGTGTTTATGCTTGAATCTATTCTCAATCACAAGATACTACATAGGCTTCTGAAAATTTCCAACATCCAATCCTTATTGAACAAATTAACTTAACTTGCATCCAACCTTAAAAAATATTTCTGATAACAATTCAGTTTCCAATCTCAGCTTACATTTCCATCACTACAAAATTATTCCTGCCTATATTCAAGGACTGTGAATTTGGTTCTATTAGTGAAATGTAAGTACATCTTTCATAAAAAGTTAACTAAACTTTCAAATGGGCTGAGCAGTATCGTACATGTTAAAGCAGAATCAGCACATAATCTAACACTAAAATTAACCAGCTGCCTAAACAAATGAAATAAAGTAGCAATTTTTCTACAGCATAGCCAAAAAGGCCAAGACTATGGGCCAACCACTAACAACTATCAATACAGTTAATGGTAACAATTAACAGACTCTACCCACAGAAACACCATTATCAATACCAATATTGAAAAGGAATTTCCTAAAACCATATCAAAACCTCAAAGACCAGCATGAACGCCATTAAAATAGAAAAACTACCCTTAATGTCAATCAGCCCCAATCAAATAGAAGAAAAGGGTAAAATAGCAACATTTAATTCTATTCATGAAAAGCAAAGCAAATTACTCCTTAGATATAAGCTATCCAGATAAGTATATTAAGAAACTAAACCAATAAAACCAGTATATGAATATCCATCAGAAGCATACTCAACTAAACAAAATTAAGCCAAAAGTAGCAAACTTAGAATTACCAAATCCATATAACCAAACAAAAACGCATTAAAAATAACCTAATCACCGCCAGCCTTATTGTAAACATAAGTCAAGCCACACTTGCCGCAGTAGTGCCTATCAAAATGGTTGGCCATGAAAGTTCCAGCTCCACACTCAGCATTCGGGCACTCCTTCCTCAGCCTCTGCACCTTTCCGGAGTCATCGACCTTGTAGAACTGAAGCACGGCAAGCTTGACCTTCTTCTTCTTGTGCTTGATCTTCTTTGGCTTGGTGTAAGTCTTCTTCTTTCTCTTCTTAGCACCACCACGAAGACGAAGCACCAGGTGGAGGGTGGATTCCTTCTGGATGTTGTAGTCGGCAAGAGTGCGGCCATCCTCCAGCTGCTTTCCGGCGAAGATCAGTCGCTGCTGGTCTGGAGGGATTCCTTCCTTGTCCTGGATCTTGGCCTTGACATTATCGATGGTGTCAGAAGACTCAACCTCTAGGGTTATCGTCTTCCCCGTTAGGGTTTTCACGAAGATCTGCATTTTTGCAGAGGAGAGGATCAGTAGCCAAAGCAGGGAATTTAGGGTAGCAGAAGAAAAATTAGTAAAGCGGGATTTATATAGGTATGGCAAAATCAAACCGATCCTATGGGTATGCTCCTGACCCGAACCCAATCAAGCCTGAATTTTAGGGTTATTGGATTTAGATAGGGTATGAGTAAAACCCGAAAGTTTTATTTTGAGTAAGTGTAGGGTATAGGTATTGCTATTATAAATCCAAACCCGATCCCGTGCCCGAAGTTCAAACCCCAGAGATTTAAAAGTTTTTAAAAAATTATATTATGTAATTTTTAATAAATTGGGTTACTTGTAATAAATTATCTATATAAATTATAATTTTACTTTTGTAGTGCGAAATAATTTCACTATAATTTTTATATATTAATTTGAATTGGTCAAATTTTAAAAATTTTAGATTTTGAAATTTAAAATTTTATTTCTAATATTTTTTTTACACTTCAATTTCAAACAATGTAGAAAGATCATAATGATATGATATGGAGTGTTGATATTATATGAGCTTTTTAATTATTTTATTAATTGATTTTGTTATAATTACACTTGTAGAGTCTGCTACTATCACATTTAAGTGAAGTACTATGATAACAAGAATAACTTTCAAATTATTTGAACATTTATTTATATATTAATTTATTTTCACATTTTTTATGCATTATATAAATCATTTGGATAAATGTTTTGATTTTTTTTTTAGTTCAATATAATCTAATTTTTCAAAAATATGAGTCCGTGGGTAAATGAATATATGTGGATAATGGATACTCATGGATACCCACATGCAATGGATATCTATGGATACCCACAAAAAATGGACACCGTGGGTACACCCAAACCCGTTGGATTTGGGATGGGTATAACATTCCCTACCCGATAGGGTATCGGGTAGGGTATGGGCATTGAGGATGAGATATGGTGCCTTTAAGGGTTGCACAGGGATGATTCAATGCATTGCGGTCTCATGTAGTGTTTATGATAGTTGGGGTGAGACACGTGGATATTTATCAATATGCTAGACCGGCTACATTTTGGCTAGTAAGTCTCGAAATTATATGGTGTCGTTTACATGGGATATTTATCAATATGCTAGACCGGCTACATTTTGGCTAGTAAGTCTCGAAATTATATGGTGTCGTTTACATGGGATATTTATCAATATGCTAGACCGGCTACATTTTGGCTAGTAAGTCTCGAAATTATATGGTGTCGTTTACATGGGATATTTATCAATATGCTAGACCGGCTACATTTTGGCTAGTAAGTCTCGAAATTATATGGTGTCGTTTACATGGGATATTTATCAATATGCTAGACCGGCTACATTTTGGCTAGTAAGTCTCGAAATTATATGGTGTCGTTTACATGGGATATTTATCAATATGCTAGACCGGCTACATTTTGGCTAGTAAGTCTCGAAATTATATGGTGTCGTTTACATGGGATATTTATCAATATGCTAGACCGGCTACATTTTGGCTAGTAAGTCTCGAAATTATATGGTGTCGTTTACATGGGATATTTATCAATATGCTAGACCGGCTACATTTTGGCTAGTAAGTCTCGAAATTATATGGTGTCGTTTACATGACTGCCATAAACTCCACCTCCAAACGATCCAACATCATTTGTCTCTCCTCGTCAACCACCAATCCCTATCCCGAAGTACCCTCCCCCACTTAAAAATTCCAAAAATTCCAAAACTTCAACTCCTAACCCAGCTTTCAAGTTCCCTCACCATCGAACCAAGTACTACAAGGCAGTGTGTTGTTTCATCGGACGACGACCGCTACGTCCTCATTGGTAAAAACGACATTTCTTATCAGCTTCCCGGGCTCTGTTCAAGTTTTAGTATAGCTACTCTGAGACTCCTAAAGTCAAGCCGCTAGCTATTCGTGAACCGGCTTTCTTGCCTTTTGTTCCACCTAGAATGCCGCGACCATGGACAAAAAAGGCTCCATTGAAGAAATCAAGGAAAAAGATTCCATTTTTGGATTCGTTTAATCCACTTTCGCCTGATAAGAAAGGGGTGAAGTTTGTGGAAATGCCTCGTTAGGTATAATTTAAAATAATAAATTAACCTCTAACCTAAAGTAAGGATTTTCATTTTAATTAATTGGGTGTCGGTTGTTATAGAAGAATATTAATAATCTCATATTATTGCTTAGGTTAAGTAGATTAATAGTTCAAGAAGAAAAATACAAGAAAAGTAAAAGATGAATATTTTTTCTATTACATATATAATAATTAGTTGTACTCTAATATCTCAATTTGTAAGATTTCTGATCAGTAAAGGCATATATACTATTTTTTAAAGCGTTAAAAATATTAATTTGTACTAACAGGGAATGAATGATCTCTGCAACATCAGATGTTCAGTTCATGAAAAACATATTTACAAGAAAAAAAATGTTAACCTGAAATAAATTAATCTCATACCAAAAAAATTGTGTAAATACAACAACAGTAATAATAAAGTAAATTTGTGATTTCATACACGTACGAATAAATAAATTGATCAATCATTTATTCATTGCAAACACCCATAAACAATGAGTAACAACACAAAGTTTATGATTTTGATGTTTTACAATTAATAATTTACTGAGTCTCAAGAAAAATCATAAAAATTGATAAAGATAAATAAGAAAATAAAAAGTAAATGTGCATTCAAAACGAGGAATCATGATAATTTATTTTCTATAATTTTTTTTTTTAGGAAGCTTATGTATCATAATGATGTGCTAATAGTAATATTTTACCTATTGTAGTCTTTAATCATACAAGAAAAATTTATTAGCTTTCTTACATTCATAATAAGATATTAAATCTTGAAATTTATAAAATTATGTCTATTATACATTTTAACTTGTAAAATTGCATCTAATTAAATAAAATGATTATCTCATTACAAAAATCCAACCACATTAATTTTTAATTATACAAAAATCCAAACACATCCTTGTATTATGGTTAAATTAACACTTTCGTCATTCTAATATTAAAAATAGCTTTAAATTTTTTAATTTACTATTCCGTCCTATAAGTAGGTCATTTTATCCATTTTAAGAAAAAATCATCATTAAAAAAAAAAGTAGCACACACTGCACTCAACTACCATAAAAAGGGGAAAATCTGCAATTTTTCTGAAAATTCCTAATTTTTTATAAATTTAAGAAAAAAAAAATGTTTGATGAATTCCATTGAAATTCTAGGTCAGAAGCATATTTTGGTAGTGGAGATGATGTAACTAGCCTTGAAGCTTTGAAGAAGTCATTCACTAAACCACTCTGTCAAACTCAGCCGACTCGTTTTCAAACACCTGACTAACAACTCAATTGCCTCTATTTGCAAGCTAAATGGTGTTGTTTGCTAGAAAGAGAAGGAGAATCACATTATCAGTGATTTAAATCGCAGAAAATGAACAAGCCTGTGTACATCTAACTCAACCGAGGTTCAGACCGGCGTTAGCTCAAATGAATCCACATTGTATATGTCTAACACAGTGACTGCTTCTCCTACTGAGTTTAATTTGACCAATTTAGATAGCTTTATGGAATCGGTTACACCAACTCAATATCTCGACAATAATTTCCCGTTGAAAATGGAAAGCTTTTGACTAGTTTATATGCATAGCTCTATCAAAAATCTTTTATCTTTAAGTTGTTTTTGTAAAATGGATGGAAATACTTACTTATAAGGCAGAATGGTAAGTTAGAGACTTCAAAATTATTTATTAATACTAGAAGGACGTAAATGTTAATTTAACTATAACTTAGAGACGTAAAAATATTTTACTCTTATATAATGATTAGTTGTACTCTAATATCTCAATTTTTAACAAATTTTGATTTATTGATAAGCAAGGTATATATACTATTTTTTAAGCCCTAAAGACGTTAATTTGTGCCCATAAAGAGTGAATAACCTCTGCAATATCAGATGAACAATTCACAAAAAAAATATTTATAAGGAGAAATAAATATTAACTCTGAAATGAAATTAATCTCATGTAAAAAAAGGGTGTGCGAATGCTCGTATAAAAATAATATAAAAAGACATTAAATTTGTAAATTCTTACACCTACCACTAAATAAATTGGTCAATCGTTTATCCATCCCAAACACACATAAAAAAATGATTAACAACACAAAATTTATGATTTTGATTGTTCACAATTAACAATTTACAAAGTCTTAAGAAAAATCACAAAAATTGATAAAGACAAACACATAAAAAAAATGATAAACAACACAAATTTAATAATTTTGATTGTTCACAATTAACAATTTACAAAGTCTTAAGAAAAATCACAAAAATTGATAAAGACAAACACATAAAAAAAATGATAAACAACACAAATTTAATAATTTTGATTGTTCACAATTAACAATTTACAAAGTTGATTGTTCACAATTAACAATTTACAAAGTCTTAAGAAAAATCACAAAAATTGATAAAGACAAACACATAAAAAAAATGATAAACAACACAAATTTAATAATTTTGATTGTTCACAATTAACAATTTACAAAGTCTTAAGAAAAATCACAAAAATTGATAAAGACAAACACATAAAAAAAATGATAAACAACACAAATTTAATAATTTTGATTGTTCACAATTAACAATTTACAAAGTTTTAAGAAAAATCATAAAAATTGATAAAGATAAATAAGAAAACAAAAATTAATAGTTGCATTAAATATAAGTAAACCATGATTTTTTTTTTTCTTTAGTGCAAATTATACGAAAAGTTGATTTTTTGGACAAATTGAATATTACTCCCAAGTTCAAGGGGCAAACGAGTTTTATTCCTTTTGTTTATAAAAACTTACTGAGTCTTGTCTACAATTAGTTTTTTTTATTTTGGCATTTTAATTTAATTTAATTTAATTTTTTTATCAATTCAATTTGGAAAAATTTAGTTAGCTTTTACATACATGTATTGCAAAATACAAAAACACAAGTCCAGTCTCGATATTTACCTTTACATTCTTGGCTTCTTCTATTTGGGTCAATTTCAGCAAACTACTATTATATTATCTAAAATTGGCAAGTTTTCCTCTTTTAAGGATTTTCTTCAAATTCTAAAATTAAAAAACAAAAAGAACATTATTTTTTATGACTATGGCTAGCTTCTTCTTCAAAAATAAAAAAGAATCACAAAATATCCAATGCATGTGTAAACTTAAAACTAATTAATTTTATTTTGGTAAAAGTTATGATGAATTATAATAAATTAAAATGCATTATTCTATTTAAACATTTAATTTAATAAAATTAAAGGTAAAATATTAAAATGATTATGTAGATAAAATTTTCTCTAATTTGCAAAGCTCAACTCAATCACAGGAAAAACTTATCTAGGTCAGGTTCATGACTTCACTTATGAATCGAACCAATAAAATTAAATATTTTTATTGAAATGAAGATATTTTTGACTATACACTTAAAAAAAAAATAAAATTAAAACACTTTAAAAAATTATCAGTTTTATTGATTTACCATATAAATGGGACCAACCCGGTCTATGCAAGTTTTTTCCCTCAATCACATCCACTTCACTACCGCTATCTCTCGTATACAAAGCTTGCATCATAACATTTGTCTTTGAGAATTATAAGATTCAATCACAATTTTATAGAGATACGAAAGTTGAGGATGAAACAGTATATTATATTAGCCTATTTGTACAAGTTTTTTACTTGTACGAGTTCTTCTTTCAACATTTCTAATGTTGGGATCACTTACTAGTTTTAATTTTAATAGAAATTAATTATTTTTTTAAAAAGAAAATGCTATATGTATGTTGATTTATAACTAAGTAAAAATCACATAGTTAATAGTAGGCTCTCACTTTTCAAATTCATGTTATTTAAACAACAAAAAGGAATAAAGTGTTAAATCGAAATTATTAAAATTTTGTCATTCTTGTCATTATTTTTTCTTCTCTCAATGTAAATTTTATGGTACATAGGCATTCATATAAAAAAAATAAATAATTATTGTTATTTGTTGATTTAGGATAACTATCAAACTATGAATTTGAAGAAGATTGTTTTTCCTATATTAAGAAAAAGATAATTAATTTACTAAATAAAATTTGATGGTGGCAGGAAATGAGGGGCTTGGAAAAATTGTGCAAGGTTGCTATTTCTAAATTTGAATATTGTAATTAGGATATCTAAACTATAAAATTAATTACTTTTAGAGGAAAAAGATGGATGATAATTATTACTAATGAGAACAATTTGAAAGTTATAATTGGAATGCACTTAATGTAGACTATATTTCCTTTGTTCCACTCAAAGTGCCGGTTTTTAGAATTGCTCTTCTTCCATTTTAAGTGTCATTTGTTAAAATTCAAGAAAGAATTTATTATACTTTTACTTTTTACCTTTTTTTTTAAATGTAATTCATTAATAATAATATCAATAATTACAAATAAGCATATGGAGTAGAACTTTACTATTAGTAACTAATATAATTCGCTGATCTTTTAACGAAACAAAAAAATTTATATCCTTTTAAATAGTGAAACTAAAACTAAAAAAATATAATATTAGATCTTTCCACTTGGAGTTGATATTGACAAAAGATATAAACTGATTTGGACATCAAAATAATAACTCTTCTGAATCTTCTATAATTGGATTATTTTTTCAATAGTTTGCAATATATGATAAATACACATGAGTTTCCGTCGCTATGAATACAGATGAATAGCATCAATAGAGGAACAGACCGCACTACTAGGTTCCATCGATCGAAGATCCACACTTGCAAATAAAGATTTAAAGTCTCCAACTAAATAAAATCAAATATCATAGATTTATTTAGTAATAAACCCTCATAAAGAAATGACTACCCTCACAAAGAAGGAACAAAAAAAAAAAAAAACTCTAAATATGGAGATAACCAATAGTAATAAAACAAAAAAGATAAATATGTTATGGGAAAAATATATCTGAGTTTATTAGAGCAAAAGAAGTTGAAGCGAAATAAATAGTAGATAATAGAAGTTAGGGGTTACCGCTGATAGTAGAAATTATTTTTTTACCTTCATCTATTGAATCTCAGTATAGTGTTAGAAAATTAGTAAAAAGCATATTGAAGTAATTTCAAATGTAAATTTTGCATAATCAATATAAAGTAATCATTTTCTTGATCTACGTAAAAAGTTAAAAGCTAAAAATTTAAATGGAACGGAGAAAATATATGCTGGGTTTGCATTAATTCCATTGATTACTAGGGTGGCCATTTGGAAGATATAATTGGAAGGAATATCTAGTATATATATTTTCTTTTTTGTGAGCTTTTTCAATATATTAATGTAGGGATTAGTTACTAATTTTAGTATATATATACATGTCCATTGATAGCTAAATAACAACCATATAGTCATAATAGGATCTCACTCCTCAAATTCACAACACTCAAAGAAAAGAAACGATGGGTAGAAGCTTTCAAATTTTTGTCATTCTTGTGATGGTTGTTTTCATCTTTAAAGGTAAACTTTCGCGGTACATATTATAGTTCGGTTTTCTCTATTTACAACTATTGGTGTAGAAAATATAAGGAAAAATTACAATATAATTCCTGTAATTTGCGAAATATAATTAATTTATTCATATCTTTTAGAAAATAGATTAAAATATCTTTATAGTTTGCTTCCGTCATCAATCAAAATTTTGGATCTTTTTTGTTAAGTAACTTATGAAATGATTAAAATATCACTTTTATTTTTAAAAATACAGAGACGGACTAGTTGTATTTTGCAAAGCACAGGGATCGCACTGTAATTTTTTCAAAATATAATTATTCTTATCACTTAATTTAGGAGCATATCAATTACTTAACAAAATTATCGATTTGTAGAAGATTATTTTTTTCCTGTATTTATACTTTATATTGAAGAAAATAATTAATTATATTAAATAAATTTGATGGTTACAGGAAATGAAGTGTTTGCAGCAACTAGACGCGTCTGTGCAAAGCAATATCCTCTTCGTAATTGCACCGATAAATCATGTAATGATTTGTGCGAGAAGAATCATGGCAATTCTCGTGGGTTTTGCGCATATAATGGTCCATTATACTGTGGCTGTTTATATCCCTGTGGAAATGAGGAAAATTTAAAATATTAAGTTCGAAGGGGCTAAAGTCTAAATAAAAAGTTTTGAGAGGATATATTTGTATAACAATAATTTACAATTTCAATCCACCCTCAAAACTCTTTCCAGTTTTTGCCCCTTATTTGTCTGTTATTGTGATAGAAAGAAGTAATTCAATTCAATAATATTTAAAATCTTGAATCTTAATTACAATTAATTAAAAATAAAACCTTTGATTGAGATTTTGTTAGTCTATTTATTGCTTAACGTATAATAGGATGAACGGAAATTGAAAACTTTTTATTGAGTGATTCCACCGTTCAGTAAAATTAAATCAATAAAATTTAATTGAAGTTTTAAAATATTTAATTTTTGTTTTAACTTTTTACATATTTTCGTGGGTTATTAGAAATTCACTCATTTACCTACTGTCAACATGGTATGAAATTAAGTAACATTCAATTATAAATTAAAAATAATAAGTTAACCTGTAACCTAATTTGGGAAATCGCCTTTAATATTTTAATAATTTTTTTTAACGGAATGAGATTAAAGATTTAATCCTTTAAAAAAGTAGTTACGGAAAACGACAGTAATAAATTTTAAAACGAGATTAGTATAAATTTATATTCAACGGCTGTAATTTTACAAACTAAAATATTCCAAATGTATAATTTTATTTGTTTATTGAGAATTCTACAATCGTTTTCTTATAAAAGTTGTATCAATTCATGTACCGAGTCTTATCTAAATTTAATTAATTTTTTAGCATTAAAAATTTATTATTTTATCGATTTAATTTCGCCAAAACTTACTTTTTTTTTTAAGGAGGTATATCAAAATAAAAAACCATAATTTCCATTTCTATCTTTAGTTTTCCATTCCTGGCTTCTTCTATTTGGGTTCAATTTCAGCAAAATATTATTATATTATTTAAAATCAGCAAGTTCCAATCAAACATACTTGTTAATATTATTTTCTTATTTAATTAAATAATAAAAATTATATTTAATTTTAAAAATACGAAATAGATAATAATATATAATAATACATGAGCACTTCATAGTTTCAATTAAAATTAAATCAAGAAGTTCTAATGTTAAAATTTTAATGAAACACAGTATATATTTTTATATTTAATATAAATAGAATTAAATATTTAGTAATTTAATTTTATCAAACTTTAATAAAATCACACTCTATGGTATAAAAATAATTAGAGTGCAAAAGATGTAAATAAAGAAGGTTTTATTAGTTATAAAATTTATATATATTCATGTTTATGATAATTAGTTGTACTCCAATATCTCAATTTTTTTCAATAAAATATAATTTTTTGATAAGATAAGGGCATTTATACTTTTTTTTTTTTCCCTCCTAAGCATCAAAGACTTTAATTTGTAATTTTTGAGAATCACTCATAATAAATTGATGAATCATTTATTCATTGCGAAGTGAAATAGTTAGCAGACATGCATGAAGAATGATTTACAACATAAAGTTTTTTAGTCTAATTGTTGTTTCATAAAATATGATATAAAGATTAAAAACAAAAGAAAATGAAAACTACAATAAATGCATTGGATAAAAAATCACGGTAAAATTATTTTATAACAAAACGTTATAATAGTGAAACCATGGTAAAACAAAATAATAAGTTTCACATTATTATTAATGGAATGAAAATTTGAATTTTGAACTGGAAAAAATTAAAAAAAATAAAACTATTTTGATCCGGTTAATTTTTGTGATTCAATCATAGTCATTTGTTCCGGTTAATTTAAATACTCAATAATTTGCTTAACAAGTTCACCATAAGTTTCTGATGCCAATGATTCAAACCACATCAAGACAATACTCATATCTGATGCACTCATTACATTCAAAAATGACAAGATAATTGATAAGTTATGAATCAATTAATATTTGAGTGATAATTTTGTGTGTTAAGACATAATCCGAAATAACCTCGGATCTAATTTTATAATCAAATCTGCCCCATGTTATTATAGTAATTGAATGGATGATAAGGGAAATGGGAGAAGCTTTAATTAGTTATACTCTAATATCTCAATTTTTAAATAAGTTTTGATTTAAGAGCATCTCCAATGCAACCATGGATTGTGGGTGATGTGTTTTAATAAATAAAAATTGTAGATGGTGATGTGGCTGAATGTGTATTTATAGATGTTAGATTTTAAAAATGGTTCTTCAATACACGAAGAAGAAATCAGTTTCAGCGCAAGAAAAAGTTTAAGTCCAAATAAAGGAGAATGCATACAGAAAAATAAAAAAAAATGAATAAATAGGAAAAAAGAATAAAAAGCTGAGTCACGCTATCTTATAGACCCTCTGAAAATGGAGAGAGTGATAGATAATGTCTCTTTTTCTTTTTAATACATCAGACTTGCAGACTACACAGACAATAGCATTGAAGAAAGTTTTTGTTTTTAACTTTCAATTGTTCAAACATGACAAATAAATTAATGCAATTAACTGTTGCATTGAATATGCTCTAAATAATTTTGCTTCTTTTATTTTTTTTAGTGATAAATGATTATTAATTTTAAATAATTATTTATTTTTTAAAAAATAAAAAAACAGGGCTGGTTGAACATTATTTGTAAACTAGTAAAAAATTAATTTAGTGGCCCTTTTAATAATATAAATAAATTAAATGAACTACTACAATTTATTTTTCTTCCCTTTTGATATTCAAAATCACTAATTAGATTTTTTATTCAAATTTAGAAAGTAAATATTTTTCAATTAATAATGTGGCTAAATTACTTAATATTTCCTGTGACATTGTTCAGAAAAGTAAAATTTTATTAAATTTTAATCTTGAAAAACCTGTTTCTGTATGAATGATATATCTATCAAGTGCATATTTTTGGGATTAAATTAGTTCTACAATTTTTTTTTCCTTAGGTATTCAATCCAAATTCAAAATGTTTTAGTAGACATTTTCACTCATCTTATCTTTGATTTTGTTAATGAGAAAAAAATTTAAAAAAAAAAAGGTTTTAATTTCAGTTATTCAAGTATACAAATTATATAAAAATTAATTATAGAAACATAAATTTAACAAAATTTGAGGTTTTAGGAACTGGCCTCACAAGTTAAATTAAGAATTTATGATATAAACATCAAAATGTCCGAATTACTTCCATATGAGTTGAATAATATAGTTGAATTCAAGAGCTGAGCTATGGAGTGCTTAATATTAGAAGAATAATTCTGAATTCTGTGAATTTTTAGGAAATGAATTGTGCAAATGGTTAATGAATGAGATTTGGGCAGTTAAAAAGTCCAACCCATGTTAATATAATTAAGACAGTAATAAATAGATTATAAAGAAAAAATAATATAAATTCCAAAATAATCTTGTCGTCCTAGGGGCAAAGGAGCTAGCCTGGAGGCAGCCCGGTGAGAACTGAAAATCCATGACCTAAGCAATGGTTATTAACCCCATAAGTGCTTTTCGCAACTGAGCTACCCCGTTATAGTTTCTGAAGAATATTGCATTGATTATATATATTCAATTTCCATATTTATAATATTTAGTTGGATTATAATATCCCAAAATTTTAATAAACTTTGATTTATTAATAAGATAAGGACGTATATATATCAATTTTATTTTAAGAACAAAAAGACATTAATTTATCATTTCTCAAGTCAATTATGAATTCTTTTTCTAGGTAGAAAATATTAATAAGAGATAATGAATGATTAAAAATTATGCTACCCAATAATCAAATAAAGTTTTATTTGGCCAATTAGGTGTAATCTGATTGATCTTCTTACCTCTTATAAAATATGTAGAGAGTGAGAAATCTCAGATTCAAGTCATCTCTACCATATGTAACCACATATGTTATTACTAATTTAGTAAATGTTATTTAAAAAAGAGTTGCCGAATGCTGTGTAATCCATAATGTTATTTTAGTTTATCGAGCCTACCATGTATCCAAAAATTAAAAATATAATTTTGTTCATCCTTGGAAAATACAATAAAAAACAATAAAATGAGCGATTTACTATTTATTGAATGAATCATAGGGAATAGTTCTTCCTGGCCGGGTGATCTACTATTTACCAATTAAATTATAGCGTATATTATCATTTTGTGACCATCTAATTATATTATCATTTTAAAGGAAAAAATAAAAACTGATAAATATAATTTTAGACACCAAAATTACCCATTGGATGTTATTTCCTCTGTTTTTTTTTTTCTTGTAACTATTTTTTGGTTTCTTTCCAGTCATTTCATTGGTAAAGATGGATGTCTCTTTCTATCAATCAGATATTTTTAGTTTGCGGTTACAGTTGCACCTTCAAATTTTGTTTTATGAGACTCTTGCCACAGCCACCTCAACATTTGGGAAAAAAAAAAAATTAATTTCCATCCCAAGTGGTTTGTTCATTTAGATTTTTGGTCGAGCTCATACTACGTTTACATTTCATTTTATAGCAGAAAATAAAATGTTGTAATAGCATTAAAAATAAAAATCTGCAAGTATGATATTTGCTACCAAATAATCAAACCTCCAATCCAATATTAACCAATCTGAGTTAAATACAAAACTGTCATGTTCGCAACTCTGAATTGTACACTCTATGGTATTCATCTTTTGCAGCATAGATATACACATTATATGATAGGTTCGCTTTACATTTTTGCCAATTTCCTATATCTCCTTTTATGTACAGACAAATATAAAACGGCCATTTAACTGCTCAGAAATGTCTACATGCAACTAACAAATTCTTGAATACGTATCCTTCTAATAGTTCTTTTAATTTCTAATCGTACTGTGTAACATCATCTTCATTTTGAGGCGTGATAATTCAGCTCTACGAGTATACAATTAGTGTAAGCTTCAGTAGATGTTGGTTTAGGGCGTCGGTTGCATTGAAATCCAGCATGCATCAATAAGAGGACTCCTTATAGCATTCATGTATTCTTCATAAACCTTTTAGCTTTTCTCGAAAAGCTTTTAACCATCATTCTGTCTGAGAATGTCAAAGGAAGCTCCTCCTCTTTAGTCTCCCTTTGATCAGTCCATCCTGTTGAACTACTCTCGACTTTTGAGTTGCGTTCACCATCTATGTTATGTAAGCTGGCTTCTTCAGGTATATCCTTATACAAGTGTTTCAAAATAAATAGAGCAGTATCAAAATCCCTCCAGTAGTTTCTGTACAGAGAGATCCATAGATTAGAGGAAAGCACTTGGTCAAGGAGATGGAGCAATATGTGTGTGTGTGTAATATATGTATATTTGGTCAAAGAAAAAAAGTTGAGAAAAAAGTAAAGATATGATGATTTCTCGTATAACTCAAAAAAGAGCTACAAACAAGAACAGAACAAACAAGTAAAAGTAATGCTCTCCAACAATTTCCATTTTCTCAGATATGCTCCTAAATTTCATTTTTCCTAGGTACACAACAGTTTGTCCCACATATCGCTGTCTCCAACATGCATCAAAAACTTTACAAGAGACAACAAATGTTTCTCTCATATAAAACCAAGATGAAAAAATCCACACCGTGTTTAATAAAATTGTTAGTAATGGTATATAGCACTTACGTATGTGACCCAATAGCTTGTAGATATGGATGTTCAAATGTCTTATCCTGCAAAGTTAGCAGCAAAACATTAGGGCAAAAATAGCAGCGTGAAATCTAACATGACATTCATGACAAAATTAAATATCTTCTATTCTTTTATAGGTTAAGGCAACCAGACAAATCCATCAAATCAGACAATATGGTACCTCAGTCCTAGGAAAAATTATTGCTATGCAAAAACAATTTCAACATTGATAGAATTGCATTGGCTTTGAAATTGGTCAGACACACCTGCATTGGTACCAGGTTTTATTGCAAAAATTTTACCGATACAAACAAGTTTCCACATTTGCAGGTGCACCAGCCCTTGTCACTCAATAGAAATAGATAAACACTGGTGAATGGCCATTACAACTATCAATGCCCCATTTCTTACCTACCCTACTCACAAGGTTTATCATTCCTTTCTGACTTCATCCTGCTATAACTTATTTTGGCATCAAAATATTTGTATTTCACTTCATTTTTAAAATTTTTTCACAATTCCAAGACTTACTGCAAAAGCTTTCATCAAAACAAGGTCCATTACACGTTTTGGTAGGCCATTATTTTAAACAACTATAAATTGTTAGATCTACAAGATTACGATGCTATTTTTCTAATTTTCCTTGACATGCAAGCTTACCGTGCATATCGAGCTAAATTATTTCTAATATTGCTTGAATTCATTCTGTCATATTTTTATAGGAGACAACAAAAAACAGTAGTACAGTTTGGTAGATCTAGAACCACAACAATGCCACAGGAAATAATAACATAGTTTGAAACCTCAAATGGAACCCCAAAACCTTTTTAAGCATGTACAAAATTACATGAATGATGAATTTAAGTCATTAACATGCTTGATCAACACATTCTATCATTTGCTAGAAGTATCAAACTGAAATGGTGTTATTGCAGTGGTACTTACTCAAATCCAGTGACTATAAGCTAAAACTCAAGTCAAGTAAGCCGTAAACCCAATCTTGCTTAACCATTACTCCAACCAAATCAGATCAAAAGCACCCACATAATGCATAAATTGTCTATCTACTTTCTCGGCTCTTGCTCGCAGAGATGACTAACAGAACCAGAAATATCAATAAGGAATCCCCAATTCCATGAAATCCTATTTTCATTCTAATTTCCCATATCATTCCAGAATAGCTGGAGATTCAACCAGCTAAAGCATATTCAAACCCACTAGAGGATGGACATCAGAACAAGTACATAAATACTTATGAGAAGGGATAAGAAACACCAGTAATCCGTCCTGCAATCTAATAATCCTATGTTTCTAAGAAGGTATATGGACCTCAACAACAACTACATCAACTACTCACAAGAAGTATAAACATCTAAAATGCATACACACACAGAGATGGGAACAGAATTATAGCATTGAACGCTGGAATGTAATGCACAACATACTTGAAGCATGTGATCAATCCGCCCTTCTTCACTTCCGGTTAATCTCTCCATCATTAAAGAGCCATATGTCCTCTCTTCTTTTTCTTCAGCATTTTCCGCTCCCTCTGAAACATAGTATTTTCTTTCTAATTTTAGGGGGGATAGTACAATGGATAGCAAACAGAAAGGACAGAAGGCTGATACTATAGTGAAATTCCACCTAAAAAAAAAAGGGGGGAGTGACACAAGCAGCACTGAATTGGAAATTTCTTTTACCTTCAAGGCCATCCTTGTTTCTTGATTGGCAAACTGTAAGCACTTTAATCTGTTTGAAGTGCAAAGAACTTAGAACTACAATGTTTTCTCAAAAACAGAAAGAAAACAAACATAAACCCTAAATATAAAGGAACTGTTGTTTCAGCCACTTGTGAAACAAGAACTCAAGCATGTACTTAAGCCAGGTATATCAGCGAATCCAAGGATTCATAGATTAAGAGTAAGCATATTTATCAATTCTAACAGATCAAGATCTTATTAAAATCCAGCATCAGCCTTTTCTTTTTCCAATTTTGCCAATTTAGAAATAGTATTGATGGTACGGAAGGGAAAAAAAGACGACCAAATCTAAGCTCATTCATTGAAAAAAGAAAAGAACTTTGAAACAACTGAGATTGAAAAGTTAATCCACCTTTACAAAATTTAGACGATCCATCATCGCATGAGAACGAGCAGCTAAATCTTCTGTAAATTCCTGCAGAACACAGTAACAAGCATTGAGAGAGAAATAACAAAAAATAGAAGGCACTTTCAACCACACTTATAGAACATCTGAGGACCTTACCTGAAAGCCAATATGTAACCTTTTTCCACCTCTGTGATAAGGTATAATAACTGGGCGTTTGGTCATGTATTCTTTACAGACAAGTGGCTCTACTCTGCGTGAAAATCCAAAATAGCATCTATAATGTGTTCCAGTGTAAACATAGGCCCCAATATCAAGATATGAGAAAACATACACAATGTATCGAACTATCTATCGATAACATTATAGAAAAATATAAAAAGTGTGGATGCATGTAAGTCGCTGTTCTATATAAGGTAAGAGAAGAAAGGGAGAATTCTACCCCATCCCAGCTTGGGTGAAAGATTATCAAATTATAAGCTCACATATGCTCTGTGCACTATAAAAAAAGGCAACAAGACATGGAAATTTTACAAATGAGACGACAAAATAGTAGCATCTAACAATTTAATATTGATAGAAGAGAACAAACCTATAAGCAACAGGATCAAATGGGTGAAAAATGTTGAACATTCGCTGACAAGCTGGCATCTCTTCAGTAATATTTTCCTCTGCCCAATATTCTTGCCCTTTGCCTGGAAATAGACAACAAAAGGATAAAAAGCTGCTGAAACTTGGATATCAAGATATTCAAATATTAGACCAAGATTAATGACAGAGCTGCACCCAGAAATGATTAACTTGATTCCCTCAATATCATTAAGTATACTATTGAATTTAATGTAATGGTATAATATTTAAAAAAAAAAAAAAGTAGTAGACATAATACTTTCTATAAAATAAATTATAAATTAGACGTAATAACTTGTTGAATTTGTTTGGATTTATAGTATGAAAGGTCAAAATATTTTGGTTGTTGAATATGTAAACGTCTCTAAGGATATTGTGTACAAATTAAACGATATTGATGGATATTGTAAAACGTACATTTCCATCTCTAAGGATGCAAATGCTATTTCCCATGTATATTGGAAAATGGCAATTGGAACCACGAGCAAAGAAATGGAACTTTCTAGGGAATGCAACATTTTGTGCAAACCATGTCACATTTCTGATCCATTCTCACAACTAACTCTAGCAACCAAATTCAACATGAGTACTAAAAAATAAGTTGTTGATGTTTAGAATGAACACTGTGTTAGCGTACAAGCCCTGGAGGCATAGCTACCCAGATCATGTATTTTGGAAGGAAAAAGGAGGTCAATTTCATAGTGGTTGGCATATCTAAGAGAATAGAAATCCAAAAATACAGCAACTCTAAAACGTAGGATTGGCAATGAGGTTATCTTTAGCATATAACTAATGTAATTGCCTACTAGATTTACTAATTATTTTCCCTTTTGAATGTTATTTTATTTTCTAATCAACAGCGAACTTTTTTCCCCCTATTCGTATTTGATTTCCTTCTTGTTCTCAATAATACAGTATCCTACTATCAAAAAGTAAAGAGAGAGGATGGAAAAAGAAAAAGAGGAAGAGGGAGGGGGTGGAAGGGAAAGGAACTCAACGGAATTGCTGCAAATGTATACTTGAAATTAGATGGGCCTAAATCACTGGAAAAAAGATCAAACTATATAAACATCTCAAAATAGACTACTTTACTCAAATTTCAGAATTAGTTGCAATTCTTCCAATTTGATCATTTTTTGTAATTAAGGAGAGAGTGATGAGGAGTAATGTCAGAATTAAGTTTGACAATGAGTTCTTGAAAAAAAAGGGCACACTATATTTCATTCAATTGGGCCCTATTCGAACAGCTTTTAAGATAGTGTTTAGTGTTTTGATTAGGGCCAAAACATCATCTCTGCTATTTATATTGTTCGGAAATATAATGTTTATACTAATGTTTAGAAGTTGAGAGAGTGAATCATAAAACGCTAAACAACCCCCCCCCCCCCCCCCCCCCAAAATGTTAAGAGATGAGAGGATAGAGTGTGCAAAGTAAAGAAAGAGAGGGAAGGTGTGGTGATGGAAATGGGAGAAAAGTCGAACTCAAACGGAATTGCCTGTGTCTAATGTTAGGAAAACGGCAATTCACTTATACTTCTCGCATCGCCCTAAATCACTCGGTGAACAAAAGATCAAATAATATAAACATCTCTAAATATAGCGACTACCTTTCACTCAATTTCAGAATTAGTTGCAATTTCTTCCAATTTGACTATTTTTTTTAATTAGGAGTGAGTATGTGATTTGAGCGAGGTAATGTCGAATTAAGTTTTTGTGCAATGAGTTCTTTGAAATAAAAGCGGGCACACTATACTTTCATTCAAATTGGGCCCTATGTCAGTACAGCTTTTAAATAGGTGTTATTCGTGTTTTGCGATTAGGCCAACAATCATCTCGTGCACTCATTATCTATTCGTATCTGGAAAATATTACTGTTTCTATTATAAATGTTTGTTACGAGAGTTGAGAGTAGCGTGAATCATATCAAAACCACATCGTGCGTGCTAAACAACCACCCACCCCCCCCCCAAAACAAAAACAAAAACAAAGTCAGCTAAAACTAGCGGCCACTAGAATAACTTGATATTTGCCAAACTAAGACCCTAAGAACGTAAAATATTCAACTGATTTTAGAAAACTTAAGGTGCTCTTTTTTTGGGTGGCAACTGCAATTTTTTTGAACAAAAGTTCAAGTTGCTTTCGATCAAAGGGTCAATTAGATAGCTATAAGCGCAGAACACAAAATAGTTTCTAGATATTAACCAATAACATGTCTAGTTTAGTGTTAAAAATTGACAAATAGCCCATGAAGCAACCTAGTCATTTCGGAAACTTTTTCTACAGGGAATGCAAACTAATTGATGCATAAAAAAAAAAAAAAAAAAGTCAGCTAACAACTAGCGGCCACTAGAATAACTAATATTGCCAAACAAGACCTAAATAAAATTGCAACTAATTTTAGAAACTAAGGTTTTTTTTGGTGCAACTGCAATTTTTTGAAAAGATTCAAGTTGCTTTCGATCAAAAGGTCAATTAGATACTATAAGCAGAACACAAAATAGTTTCTAGATATAAACATAAACATGTCTAGTTTAATCTTAAAAATTGACAAATAACCCATTGAAGAACCTATCATTTCGAAACTTTCTACAAGGAATGCAAACTAATTGATTCTTCAATATTTGTAGCACAAAAATTCACCATATTGCATTACGTTAAAAAAAAATGTCAAATAAAAGCATTAACATATTTGTGTAGTTGTGATGGGGACACTAGCATTTGAACCCCTATACTTCTTGCACTATGACTCTATGAGGCAAGCACTTTAACAATGGCTGATCGGCCCAAACATCTAAAATTGATATTGTGGAGATATTTAGTTGAAGTGCACTTACGGTTAAAACTAAAATTGAAAAGAAATCCTTCATGTTCGATCCAATAAATTGTATGCAGCAAACATAAACATAAAAAAGAAAAAAAGAAACTATAAATGCAATGTCACAATTCTTAAAAGTATGGAATCAATAATGCTTTAAGCATATCAGGAATTTAAGTACTACCAACTCCAATACGAATGTTTCGAAGCGAAAGGAAGACTCCAAGAGGCGATCCAACAGCAAAGAATGTGTCAACCTGATATGTAAGAATTTCACTCAAATCAGTGTCCCATCTCATGAGATATTAAATATGAACTTTAAAAGATGATAAATTTACAACCTCTTCCCTTCCTATTTTTTTTTTAAACTACACATATTAGCATTTGAAACTCTTATCTTACACATAGAAGAAAAATTCACGCGACACAAAGACTCCAGATTATATCACAACATAAAGGGTGCCCTTTGTGCAAAGGAGTCCCCATTTTGCAAGGGTTGGTGGAGGTTCATCCATTGTTCACAACCTTGTCTCTGCTTTTCTGCAGAGGCTGGATTCAAAACTTGCACCTATGACCTTCTAGTTGTAAAGGAGCAAAATACTGAATGCCAACGCTTGCCCTCTATATCAAAAAACAAATGTAAAAGGAACTTAAAAGAAAGGTATAAGAAAATTTTTATCCAAACCTTGAATTCAAGCTTTGTGTACTTGATATAAGGTGTATAACTCTTCGGTTCATCATCTAACCCAGATGGCAACTTCTCTGGAATGGGTTGCTTTTGTGTGGTTGCAACATCAATTATATTTTCTGTTTATCATATAAAACCCAGAGATATCACACATTAGAGCACCTCTATAGCACAAGAAACAAACAAATACTGAGAAGATCAGATATTACCTCTATGCAAACATCCAGTTGTATCTCTACCATTGAATTGCAATTCCAGTTCTGCTATTTTGGCTTTTAGGGAATTAATCTGGAACATAAACCCCAAATTTTAATGGATTGAGAATCTGTCTTAACTAAATTATATAGGAAACTAATTAAATACTATAAACACAGACCTCTTCTCTTAGCAATTTGATAGTTTTATCTTTATCCTCAGCATCGTTGCAGTCCTCTGCTACCATTTCGTCCAAACCATTAACTTGGTCATGAAATTCCACCTCTGTAGCTTTAACTAAATAATCCCTTCCCTGAGAAAGCATGTCAGTGGAATCATTACCCAATTCACAGTCACCTTTGTCATCGTTTCTCTGATTAGAATCCACTGCAACTGCTGGTAATTCTGAATCTGACACTCGTGGTTTTGAGATTGAGGAAGAATCTGCAGCTTGTTCATCTGGACAAACTAAAGTTGATTGTTCACTCATCATTTCTTCATGAACATCATCCACTTTGTCTGATGCCTCGTTTAGTACATTGTTGTCACTCTCTGCACTGGCTGAAGAGTCACGTGCAGAAGATTTGTTATTCATACCAAGAGAAGATTCATTACCCCCATGCTCCTTATACATCCAATCCATTGGAAATGGAGAGGACAGATTCTCCTGATGGCAGAGGATGTCATATGAAAGGACACTTCCCAAAGAATGGCCATAAATAGAAACCTATTCAAACATTGGCAAACTTTTGAGACAATCCAGTGCAAATCAACTGCCATGCCTTGACAACGAAATGAAGCATCTGCTCAATGAGCCACGTACCTTTCCATCATAACCAGGATTGCGTTTAATAAACTTTAAATATAAGCGGTTTAATTGGGTTGATACCTGGGAAAGAAGTAATTATTAATCAATTCAGACAAGTTTCTAATCCCAACATAAATAGCCTTCATCCATTAATTGTTGTCCCCTATGAAATGAAGTTATTCTTTTTCAAATTAATTGGCAAAAATTACCAAAAGGAATAAACATAGATCACTATGATCATATCAAATATTATCACATAAACCTATGAAAAGGATTTGAAACTTGTTGATACATACGACAGATAAAAGGTTTTTGAATTGTGCAATAATATATCATCTGTTGCTAAAGATATCTCTAGAAAAGGTCATTTCCACAAGAAACTACTAATAAAGGCCATGAAGAAAAATTCATACACTCTTAAAAAGGCCAAGGCATTTCTACATATACACTCATCAACAGCAAATGTTTTGTCCACCTAGAACACTTAATCACTACCCTTCCTCATCAATAATGTGGACTCACAATCAGGAATAAGTTTTTCAAAAGAAAAAAAACAAAAGAAACTAAATTTTGATATGCCAAAAATGGATTTTAAAACAACCTGCAAGTACATGTGATTATCCCATATCCATCAAGTCTGAAAATCCAAAAAAGCATTTTAGAATATTCAAACAGCCTAGGATATTGAACAACAAAAAGAAGAAAGAAAATTTGAACATCAGATACACACCGAGTTAATAATATCTTGACAATAGATGGGGCTCATGTAGTATAATACATCATGTACTGTTGCACTCAGCATGACACGCAAACCACGTACACCATCCAACGTAATCTTTTCAACTGCAGTTTCACCACTAAGCTTCAAGCCCTTTCTCCACTGAAATGAAAATTCAATATGCGTATCCAAAGTGAGAGAAATAAATGAAAGCAAGATAAAATAATATGAAGAAGCAAAAAGGAAGAAGTTGACAAGAATTACACATGTTAAAAAATACAAGGGAAAAATGTTTGTTTCAATGCAAAAAATAAATAAATAAATAAAGAATAGTTCATACCAAAAAGTGAACTTCAACCATCCTACAGCGACGCTTGAGTTTTAATTTACCATATTATTTGTGGGATCCCTCTTCTTTTTCATGAAGTTTCCGCAAAAGCAGGTCCAGAAGCATCAATATTAAAATTTTAGAAAATTTTAAAATTTTCTACTCTCAATTTTCCTAGAGTAGAAAGCCTACCTGATGTTGATGCTCAAAAGATCTATAGCTTTCTCAGGAATTCTCAAAGAACCTATCTCATTGGTAATTTTAGAAAATAAAATAATAAGGGCTTAGTGGTTTTGGGAATGCTTAGTTCAACAAATTACATACACCTTAAAAAAAGGCAACCCACACCTTAAATTTTGTCCACTTCTAGAACACCCTATATAAACTTTTTTATGGTATGCCACGTTCACAAAAATAGATAGCACAATCTTGACACATCCGACTTAAATATGCAAATAATAAACTGCACATCCTGCTGATACCATGAGAAGAATAACATTTTAGAAATAAAATGAATGGAAATAGATAGAAAGAGGAAATGAAAATTCTGATAAAACCTAATCAAACAATGACGAGAGTACCCATCTATTCATAGTAGATAACAAAGCCTATCATCCTCCAAACTATTATTTTTTTTTGGGTGGCCTATTTTCAGAAAGGGAGTCGACCACACAAATAGGTAAGTAAAGCAATAAACAATTAGGGTATTTTGTCCTATAAGACAATATCCATTTGCTTTTCCAGGATTTCCATTATGGTTGTTTGCCTTGCAGAAGATACGATAAATGTTATCAAATGACCCTTTCATGTAAGGAGCATATAAAATTGTTTAAGGCTTCAAAAGTAAGCATTTATTCAGGAACATGTTTAGGTAAACACTTAGGTAGGTTATGACTAAATCATTTCTTTATTAAAGGGTTTTTCCAAGGGAGCTCCAAAGTAAAGAAGTATTTTGTTTACCTGGCATGGGATAAAAAGGACTCGCTGAGCACCACGTTGGTGTGCAGTAAGGTGTTGTTCAGCAAGACTTGCTGTGATATGGCGGAAATTACCCACATCATCAACCAAATTGGATTTCTCCAACCTTTGACCAATACCATGAACCATAAAAACAAGATGTTGAACAGGAACCTAGAGCAGAAATAAAGATTAAACCATATCCAATCAACAAAATAAATCAATAACTTAGTACAATTTAAAAAATAGGAACCTAATCACTAACAAAATTACTGAAAATAATTAAAAGAAGAAGAAAAAAAAAAAGCGACCCAATCTGAATATGTCCATATGCAACCTGCAATTAAGTTTAGGTGCACATAAAAATTTTAACAAAAAAAAAAAAAATTATGCCCTCATCAGAACATAAGAAAGTACAAGATCAATAGCCACATTCATTACAAGATTACAATCAAGAAAAAGGGGAAGTAAACATGATCACAAGTAAAATGGCCTTACCAAAACCACTCTATGAATCACTGAGTTTTGAAAGAATACAAAAGAGCATCTGTAGAATTAACAACTGCCTAAGGAAAAAAAAAAACGATTTGTATCCATGGAAATCATGCATTCTCTGAATTATTATTGACAAATTATTCAAACAATCCTAAGATCCAGAGACAGGAAATGGCCCAAAACCTTATGATCATCCTTCTTTTTACCAAACAAATCTCCTGGCTCAAAAAATAAATTGTTGGCTCTGGAAATAACATTTTAAACTGATTATTGCACAAAAAAACTCTATAAGGACAGAAATTCTGACTTCCAAAAAAAAAAAGTAGAGATTTCTTTTAACTTCTTGAGAAAATCTAAATCAATTCAATCATTCTTCCACTTCTTGTATGTTGTAACTAGCTTGAAGCAGCAGAACAAGGAGAATCAAACAAAAATCACCTGTGAACAATAATCATCCATCTCTTCTTCCTTTTGCTGTCGAAGCTCATCCTGGATAAAAGAAAACATATGTTAACAGGAGTAGCAGTAGTAGTCTTTATGGGAACAATTGGGAACAAGTAAATAAGACATTCATTTTATTTGCAAACATGCACTACAATTGAATTTATTTATACTGAAAACTTCATGCCAGCATACTATATGCATAATTCAATTGAGTCGCACTTAACTTTTTTATGTGCAGCAAATGATGAATTGAATTCAATATACCTTTGCCCTAAGACCCCCTTAACACATATTAGATAGGTGAACAAAAGAGAGTAGGTATTCCTTTCACTAACTAAAATGTCTTATTGATTTTGTAATTCAATTAATATTGAATTTAACAAAGTGAAAAGCAAGTTCTACAGAATGGCAATGAGCCAAGTAATGTTATATGGAAGTGAATATTGGCCCAAAAGGTCCAACATATTCACAAGATAAATGTTGCAGAAATGAGGATATTAAGTTTGATATATGGTCACACGAGATTGGACAATATTAGAAATTATCACATCTGACAAAATGTGCAAGTAGCACAAGTTTGGGATAAAATGAGAAAAGGACAAGTGAGATGGTTTGGATGGGTTTATAAATGTGATGTAATGATAATGGAGGGTGTTAAAAAGGGACAAGGTAGACCTAGGAGCACATGGAGAAAAGTTTTCTCAAAAGACCTACTACTTAGCGAACAAGAAGTAACACAAGAAGTGGTAGAAGACACCGAGTCAGATGGGGAACCAAGATCTGTGCTGGTATACTGGAGAAGGAAAAAAACAGGGAATCAAGCAGGCAATCAAGTTGAAGATTGTGACTGATAAAGAAAGAATCATAATTGACTCTTTGATTACAAGATAATAACACCCTAGGAGATTATAAAAGCATTTCAGAGGAAGAGATAAAGACGTCACAATCAGTATTGTTTATGGCTCAAACTACAAAAATACTCCAAACTATACGACTTGTTGCAAAATCACTCCAAAATGACCTTTATACTCTAAGCATCCTCTTTTTGAAACTTATATATATTGGCACCCTAAATTTGAACTGGGACCACAAATTGGACTAAAATCATATTATGGTGGGACACATTGCTTGACCTAGGTTAACTTAACCCAAGAAGACAAAACTCACAGTTTTGATACAACTTCCCGTATCCCTAAGAAATCAACTTCAACTCATTGAACCGCTATTCTAAAATTGCAATCGGGCCTATCAGCAAAATCAAACAACCACTGTAGAAAAACGATTGCCTATTATTGAGGCTGGTGCAGGAACTGGAATATCAGCAAAGTTTAAGGAAGCCGGTTGTGTTGATTTAATTATACTATACAACTTGGGACGCTTTCGCATGGCAAGAAGGGATTCTTTAGCAGGCTTATTGCCTTTTGCTGATGCTAATGCAATAATAATTGACATGGCCAATGAAGTTTTACCAGCAAGTTTCCTACTTCCTAGTGCTAGGGTTTTAAAGGAAATATTTAATATTTTCTTTTTTTTTTTTTTTTTTTTTGTCCGTTTTTACTGATGCTAATAGCAGTAATATGAAGTGAAATGACTAATGTGCTCAATGTCTAATGGAAGTGTTTGACCAAAGCAAGTTGATCTCATTTAACGTCTCTAAGGTTGACATAGAATCGCTGTTTTTAAGAGGAGAATGGAGCTTCTATTAATTGAGTATTATCTTGATTTTCTTTTTTCTCTTTTCTTTTTTTAGAATGCTCCTCTGATTACTAATAATTAAATGATAATGAAGTAATATAAATTAGTAATTTAGTATTTCTTACTAAATAGGGATATATTATATTATAGTTTTGGGAACACTTTGTTAATGCAATCCCAAATCTCCATGGGACTACAAAGCAGCTTTCATTCCATAAGTTTCTCTTTCATGTATAGCCGCCGAAAAGTCAAATGAAGGAGCATAGTTCGTATGGATTGATATTCTAGTTAAAAAAAAATAATTCAACAATCTATTATTTGAATCCTACAAATCAAATCCATAGATGGATTAAAAGTTTTTGCAAGCGTTTTTGAATTTTTGATATAAGCAGGTTCCTGACTATTATTTTGTGTGTATATTGGTATTGTGTATTTTCTTAAGGTTATGTGTTTGTAAAGTTGTATGACATATCTGTGAGTTTGCTCTCCTAGGTATTAATTACATACTAAGTCAATACAATGGGTCCTCTATCTCTAAATATTTCATTTCAATTACCACACTTTGTAAGTCCCCAGTTAAAATTATGGTGCTAATATAATGCTAAAAATAGTTTCAAAATGGAGTGGCCTCAAAAGTACAAGAAGAGTTTCATTCAATACTTTGGGGGAGATCTTCTGGCAAGCAAGGTGCGAGACATCACTTCTAATAGTAACACTTTTTTAATAGTCTATCAGTGGGAATCACAGCCACATTGTTAATAATTTGATAATCTCCTAAGGATGTAATCGTATCATATGATATTTGTCCTGGGAACTTTTTTGAGCGCTTTCTTTAAACCTGAGGAGTGATTGAGGCGAATTTACACTAGGCAATATTATCATAATACTCACTATAATTACATGACAAGAACCAAAAATACAATTAAGCTATTCAGTACTCTTAACAGTTATGAAATCAGTTAGAGATAAAATAATAAAAAACAAAAGGATATGTAATATACAAAAGTGTTTTAATCCACAACAAAAAAATGAAACCTGTTAACGGTAAATTCAGAATATTAAGGCAGGAGGGAAGCAGTTCGTGCCTCCCTAGAAATCTAAAACAAATCAAGATTAGTGTGGATAATCATGGGCTTTCATTCGATGATCACAAAGAAAGAGTGAAAATAAGCCAGCAATTATAAAGCTCATACTATAACTGCTCACATTACGAGAAACAATGTGAGGAGCAAACCTAATCATTCTTAACCTAATAAGCTTCATGGTTTCAGGTTGAAAGATTCCTAATTATATTCATATTACTAAACATTTATATCGGTACACTGCCTTACCAGCAATTCGCTAATTGTTTTCTGTAGCAAGCTAAATTGTAGGATAACTGGGTAAAATCCACATGCTATATATTCTTGCAATCCCAAATCTCCATGGGACTCCAAAGCAGCTTTCATTTCCATAGTTTCTCTTTCATGTATAGCCTGCCGAAAGTCAATGAAGGAGCATAGTTCGATGATTGATATTCTATTAAAAAAAAATAATTTCATCTATTATAACCTCAAATCAAAGTCATAGATGGATTAAAAGTTTGCAAGCGTTTTTTGATTTTGAAAGCAGGCGCAATTTGGGAATTGGAAGTTGATTTCTTAAGGTTAGGGAAAGTTGTATGACAACGGTGAGTTTTGCCTCCTTAGGTTAAGTTAACACAAGTCAAGCAATGGGTCCCACCATAATATCATTTCAATCCAATTTGTAGTCCCAGTTTAAATTATGGTGCTAATATATTTAAGTTTCAAAATGGAGGTGTCCAAAGTACAAAGGTCATTTTGGGGTGATTTTGCAGCAAGTCACATAGTTGAGAGTATTTTTATAGTCTAAGCCATTGTTTATTTAGCTCTAGGAGTTGTATCAAGAATATTCCTGGAAACTTTTTTGCTTTTCTTTACCAATTATCAATAAAATAATCATCCTATATTCTGACAACCATTTTAACTCTTAACAGTTATGAACAGAGAATAATAAAAACAAAGGTTTTATACAAAGGTTTTATCCCAACAAGTTTGGGATTAAAGGTTCATAGATTCCAAAGAAATGAGAATCAGCATTACCATCTACTGCTCTTCAACATGGGGAACCACATCTAACCTAAGATTCATAAGTTTGGTTGAGTTCTAATTTCTTTTACATTTTTTTGACATGCTACAGCATTCGCTATTGTTTTCTTGTGCTATTGTAATAACTAACCAATGCAAAAGAGTACACAAAAACTTATAGAAGAAAGAACAAAGTTCAAACAACTACAAATTTATTGAGCATTATTATCAAAACTAGTGTTTATAACCAATGTGGTTGTCTAAATTTAATTATGATTAAAAAAAATCTACTTATAAGATTTTATGCTTTGATGTCATCCAATGATTTCTTTTCTATTAAATTATTAACTTATCTTGCTACCTAATTATTAAATTACCTTCAGATAGCAGGACGGATAAAATAGAGAAACATAATGACAATGATGCAACACTCCTCCAATAAACTGAAGGGAAAGTTCTATAAGACCACAATTCAACTAGCTATGATGTAGGGTCACTAGTGTTGGGCATGAATAAATAATGTCCAAAAAATTGGCATGGTAAAGATGGGGATGCTGCAATGCATGTGTGGAAATATTATTAATGATCATATAACTAATGAGCTCATTCGTAGGAAGGTCAAGAGGCATCCATCATAGATTAGTTGAGAGAGGCAACTAAAATAGTCTAGACATGTCCCTAGAAGGCTAACAAATGCTTTAGTACAAAAAGTTGACCACATAGAACCTATATAAGAAAAGACAAAAGTAGAGCTACGATGACATGGGTAAACTAGTGAAAAAGGATTCAGTAGCACCAGGCCATTATATAGATAGCCCTAAACCAGGTGAAACCGAGGAAAGGATCCATATAGCCATTAGAACATATCAGAATTTTTTTTATTTGAGCTGGTAAATTGATTAGTATATTAAGAGGAAAATATTTAACATTCAAATAATTAATGTAAGAATTAGGATACCAACAACTTCCGCGTCATGGCAGAAAGCACTCTTATTTCAACCAATGGACTAGATAACTAATCTATGAAAATAATTTACCAATAAACCGGAAAAAAATTATGAGCATTTAGCTTTTTCTTATTATATATTATTAAACCCAAAAAAAAAATATGAACTTTCAGCTTTTTCTTATTATATATTATAAGTCTTCCTAATAAATAATGTTTTATTAAAATATATCTGCAAAGTCTTCCTAAGGCACAATGCTTCCTTAAGGCACATGTCTATGCTTTACACCTTGCAACTTTCACTTCGGCTTCACCAGCAGTCGACAGTTGAATGGGCCAAGTGCTTTTAATAACAAATTATGAAAAATAAGAATAGTTGCATTTCAGTCAAAGAAGATATGTATACAGCCATGTATTGTATACTGTTTCTTGTTTCCAGAACTGCATTTTCCAGAAAAAATGGACACTAGAAAATACTAAATAGGCCCCACATAAGCATATGCATGCTAGTGACAAGATGTATACGTCATTAGCAATTTGGCATCAACTAAATAAATCAAATATAACTCTCCTTTACCTCCTTATACACAAGCAAATGCACCTGTGCTAGGATATTAAAGAAAATCCCCAGCCATATGAATGAAAGAGAGGAACTCCTACAATTTTTTATATCATAATAAATTCAATTACAAAGCTATAATTAATTCTAAATTTGACATAAATGATATGTCTGAGAGGAAAGGATTAGTTGTCAAGGTAACACAAAGAGCAGCTCTTAGACCAGTTTTGCTATCATGCATAAATGCCATTTTTCTGTGAATGATAAAAATAAAATGATAGCTTGCTATCTGCTATAATGAAGTTTATGAAGAAACCTGGGTTGGTTTTGCAGAGTGAGATGCTGCATAACCACGCCTTAACTTAACCCCATTTCCACTTAAGGTAACGATACCAGAAAAACCAGAAGCATCAACATTAAGCCAAGCCTCCCAAGTATCATCTTCTCCCGTAAAAAGTGCATGAAGTCCCTGCATGCCACGGCCCATCATATATATTGTCATGTATTACATATTTGTACTCCAGAAGATAATAATCAAAGATTAAAATTTCCCTTTTACAGCAAGATATACTCACTGGAGTAGAGCCTTGCAAATCAACACGAGCTGCAAACAGCCCTGATGCTTGAAATGTCCTCCGATGCCAAACCTAAAGCCAAGTCCAAATTTGAGGAAATGGAAAGAGAAAGCTTCACGATAATGGTAAAGAGAAAAATAAAAAGGAAAATATAATATCAAATAACCCGCATAAACAGCACTATAGAATTCAAAGGCTGCAAACTTAAAATATGCAAGTTCAAAGAGAATCATACTTTCTCCAACAGACAATAGAAATTATTAGACAACAATTGAGAAATGGTATCAAATAAAATTACTTAGGACTAACAAACCTTGCTACGATATGCAATCTCTAATTGTTCTGCAACATCTTCACGAAGTGGCAACCAATCAAGGCCTCCTTTACGAGCGAACCAATGACCCCTTAAAACACGCCGATTTTCTCCATTCCAGTAAACAGGGAAACAATGTCTCTTCACTAGATCTACCTGCATAAGAAAAACATGTCAGTTTTAGAAAATATCATCAAGCTGATTCAAATTTTACATGACATTATAGAATAGCATGCCAAACTGAAGAAAGTTAGATAGAAAATTATGAGCAAAAACAAATATATAAGATTATAGTGCATTTAATTACAAAAAATACAATAGAACCAGATATGTCATTGTCTCATTACATGGAAAGGTCAAGAAGAAACTGAATTTAAAACTAAAGGAAATGGCTTAGTGTGACAACACAGACAAATGTTTTAGCCATTCCAGCTTCTAAAACTAGAAAATGAATGCAATGTAAGATGGCAAGTAGTAAAGAGTGAAGAGCCAAATAACTGCCCAGACATCCCAAATCTACTTAAAACAACTAATCATTAATTCCAAACTAGTTGGGGTCGACTATATGAAATGTTTGTTCCATTCTGGTCTATTCATAGCTAAATCCGCACTAATGTCAAGAAACTATAGATCTTTTGCAACAACTTCCCTCCATTTGGCCCTAGGTCTACCCATCTCAAATCAAACCATCTTAGACATCCTTTTCTCAATCTATCCATGATTTGTGCTACTTACACCTTTCATCAGATGCAGTCATTTCTAATCTTGTTCAATGTTATGTGACCACCTTCATCTTAACATTTATACCTCCACAATATTCATCTTGTGAACATGTGGGCATTCAGTGCCCAACATTCACTCTCATATAATCTTGTAGGCCTCAATGTTGTCCTATAAAACTTGCCTTTTACTTTGTTAGACATCTTCCTATTACATAGCATATCACTATACCGCAGCTTGGGTGCAATAAATAAGATCACCGTACCTGGTAACATCTTCCATTCTATGTAGCTAAAAGATCTACACCTTTCCTACAAGAATTTTATTTCCTTATTTTGATACAAAAAGAATATTATATGGAGAGAAAGAAGGAAATTGTGCACCACAAAGAATCCATGAACACTTGCTTATCCAAGAGTAATAGTTCAGCAATACTGCTCCATACAAATTCTAGCATTATGCTTTGACCAATCAATCCAACCACTACACCATGAACAACCAAGCAAACCTCCAAGGTGCCAGTAAAAGCAATATTCACAATTAATAGAAAAAAGATTGTCTAAATATACCAAGTGATGGAACAACCCATTATTCTCACCACAATGAGAGCACAGAAAAAATACAGCCGACAACACCAACCACAAAAATATAAATCACTATTTGCACTAGTTGTAGCTATTATGAGCACTGAGGTTACTTCATTTATACATCTTTTGTCATCCCCTTTTCTTCCCCGTAAGTGAATTTCCATCACTTTTCTTTTTGTTCAGTTTTTGTGTTTGCCTTACAAGTCCTTGTTCAGGATTAAAGTTTATCTTCAAACTGACCGCTTTCGGGATAAGAATATAGCATCCAGTAGAACCAAAATGAAAATTACTGACAAATTAGATAAGTAAAAACAAATAGGGGAAATATGAGGTATACCTCATAGAGTCCTCCCTTTACAGGCACACCGACTCTCTCCTCTTCCACTTCATATAATTGAGCTGCTATAGCACCCTCTAGAGAATATCCACTTTGTTGCATATCTTTCTTACTGGACGTCGGTCGACTCCTCGGACCTTCACTACATTCTGCGTACTCTCCCCACCAGCTAGAGAGCAACTCTTCCTCTCTCTATAATATTTTCACCAAAATAAAAAGTAAACAAACCAAAAACGTAAACAAATCAAACAAAAAAAAAAAAAAAAAAAAAAAAAAAAAAAAATGTACTTCTTCCCCACCAGCTAGAGAGCAACTCTTCCCTCTCTATAAATATTTTCACCAAAAATAAAAAGTAACAAACAAAACGTAAACAAATTCAAACAAAAAAAAAAAAAAAAAAAAAAAAAAAAGAAAAGAAAAGAACTACTATATATGATCAGTACTTTAAAAAAAAAAAAAAAAAAAAAAAAAAAAAAAAGAAAGAAAAGAACTACTATATACTGATCAGACTTCTCACTTAGCTTGATACACAAAGTACAAGATAGGATGGATAATGCGAACTATTTCATTCAATATTGACAAAATGCATCAAACACCAAAATAAACACACCTAAATATCCTAAATTCAAGAAAAAGTTACTAAATTAAAATTTTTTCTGGGACTACACTAAAAGGGTTAGTTTAAATATCTAAAGACAATAGAATTTTCAACATCCAGACCTGCAAGAAAGATGCCTCTATTGCAAGAGAATCTCTCATACCAAAACGAAAATAATCACCCTTTCCCACTATTTCAGTGCGAGGAATTGAGGCAGCTAACTCTGTAGAAACACCAATAACAAGTAAGTTGATTTTCACTTTCCTTTTCACCAGATACTATCAATAAAAGTTGTTTCCAGTTATAAATTAGAGGCAGCAACAAAAATAAAAATAAAAATAAACTGACAGTGACATTTGAAAGTATGCTATAATAGAACAATTAAAAATAATAATAATAAAATCCACAAAATTTACCATTTTCAGCCAAAGGCACCTTGCAAAAATACCATCGAACATCACTTCCATCAGATGGACTTCTAGTCTGCGCATGATACTTCTCTCGGCCCTGAGAATGCTCTATCACATCCTCCAATCTCGCAATATTCCATGGCGTATTCTTCAACAAATCAGGCGACGTCTCCTCTGAAATTCCCGAGTTTGCTTTGGAATCCGCCATCTACGGTTCCAAAGCAAATTGATCAAATTGGATAACCTTCAATATCGATTATAATCACATTAATGAGCACTGTCGCTGTTGTTGGAGCAGTGTCGCTGTTGTTTGTACGTGGAATGCGAACTGAAGAAATGAATAACAAGTGTTTGAAATTTAGAGGAAAGAAAGACAGTTGGATATTGAATGTCAGGTATAAGCATACCCAAGAAGAGAAGAAAAAATAAAAATAATAAAAATAAATTTGGCGGTTGCGTAAGCGGTAGGCGTAGGCGTAGGCATGGCCGGAGATACTGCACAAGGATGGCCCCAAATTCAAGCTTGTCAGAGGGCCTAACTGTTGGCCCATAATAAAGGGTCTTCAGGCCCATAATAGGTCTATATCTCATTGTTACACAGAACTCCGAGTTTCGTATACCATTTGGATTAACTCGGTGGTAGTCGACCCTTGGGTTATGTTTGGTTGAATATGCAATACAATATGATAATGAAAAATGTAGTGTAATCAGTATCAATCGGAACAAATATTACGAATCTTAGTTGTGAATCGAACTAAGACTGAATCGCGTTTAAATCGACAAAATCGATACTGAATCAAGGATAATAACTATTCGAAAATCAGTCGAAATAGAAGAAGAAGAAGAGAAAATACTCTCGTCGCATGCATATTATCCCAACAAGAAGGAAAGCCGATTGCAAAAAGGAAATAAAAGGCTCTTGAGTCTTGACTTACCTAAATAATTTGAAAGAAAATTGGGACTAGACCTCTCCTCTCCATCAATTCTAAGAACTCTAGAGATATGAATCTTTTTCCCTTCCTTCCCTCTCTTTTTTTGTTTTGCCTCTTCCTTCTCCACTTCTCCATCTTCTTTCCTCTTTGTTCTTATTGCACTGCAGTTTTCTTTCTTTCCCTTTTTTTTCCCCTCTTTTATCTTTTAAAATTACCAGCCTCCGTCACACCCTTTTTTTTTTCTTATAAATATAAGCATCCATCTACTGTTTCCTTCCTCCTTTATCTTGAACACTTGGCTCAAACTCGGAGTTAAACTTTTGGCTGATTGCACTGTACTGATTCCCTTTTTGATTTATTTTCCTTTGTTTACTATTACTGTATTATTTTAGAAGTGATAGACAGGTGAAAGAATTAATTACTTATATTTTATTTAATTCAAAAATTAAACTTATTGACATATAATCTTTAGTTAAAATTTTAATATCTTTCAATAAAATTAGTAGGAAATATGTTTTATTTAATCTTGAAAATTTATAAAAAATGTTACAATTCGATCCACAATTCAATTCAATTGTCGATTTCCAATTCAGAAAATGAATATTCGGTTCTCAATTTGACAACTATGATTATAATGTAATACAATTAACATTTCATTGCTGTATTTGGCCATGTGATTAGAAAAATTTATGAAATGTACCCAACATACCATTTTTTATGTTTGTTTCTAAATGTGATATAATCAGCATAACACCACGAACAACAAAAGCAGTTCTCCCGGCAAGCAAAAACAGCCAATGATGCCCAAATCAAGGAGATGAAAACAAAGCATATGACATGATTACTTAACCAAAAAGCTTGTGTAACCAACAATATATTCACAATGAATTGTGACTACTTGCTAATTGATTCCTAATTCCAAGATTGCAAAAACACCAAAACCTCAAAAAATGAGCTGCTATTACATATCTCTTATCTGAAAGATATTCTTTTGGGAAAATCATATTGCTTCTGTTATTATTGGCTTAGTCTGATCAAGAAACATGGGAATGGGTTACTAAAACTTGCTGAGGTGCAGAAAATAGAGAAGAAAAAAAATACAATTTCTAACTGTTTTCTTCTCAAGTTTTTGTGTCCTACATCAATATTACAAAAACATGAATGAGAAATAAAAGGGAAAATAAACCACAGCGAGTATTACATGCCATGCACATATTTATTCAATGAACAAAAGAACAAAAATAAGCCAAGTGGATACAAATTTTACCATTACAAACTTTTTTTTTTAAACCAATCAAGTTGGCAGCTAATGCCAAGTACAAGAAATAATTATACAGAAGTGATAAGGACATAGTTAAATGAGAAAGCAATTGGTAACTTCCATCTAAGTTTCAACTAATAGATAAATCACTATTAAACCCATCATTCTGGAATCACAAATCTTGCCCTTATCCAGACATTGAATGATGTATCAACAGCAACACAAAAAAACTTTGCATGCAGTAAAATGATAAGAACTGGTATATTTATATCATATTATAATACAGCAGTTTGTCATTTTAAATGTTAAATAAAAAATTAAAAACTCACCCAGTCATCACATTGTCAACAAAGGCAATGAACTGCATAAATGTTCAGGGCAGAGTAGATTAGATCAAGTTCTTCTATCAATCATTTTCTAGAAAAATGGGGTAATAAAATTTTCAAGTGGATTTAAACTGCAAAAATATGAATTAAACAAGAGGACAAGTTAAATGCAGAGTAATGATCTGCTATTAGATTCAACTTGGTGTTGGTGGAACATTTTACTGGATGGATGGTCAAAAACTAATAATTACAAATTCAAGAATAGCAGATTCGACCACTCTGGGACATAACCTACTGTTTTGTAGTATTATTTTTTCCAAATCTTGAAGATATTAATTAACCAATCAAGAAACTAAAATAATCAATTAATTCATCCATCAAAGATCATAAAACTATGGGGTCTGTTTGATTGTACTCGTCCTTATTACCTGTTTCCAATAATACCATGAAGTTGAATAACAAATTTCTTGTAAAAGGACACCTTTTTATATCTGACCTAAGATAGTTTGTCCATCTAAGCCTGCAACTGTTTCCACAGCGAAGAAGACCTGTCAAAAACAAATTGCTGAGAAATAGAACATGACTAGTCTTATTTGCAGCTATACATCTGTTTGCGCAATACCATTTGGCTCAAACACACTAGCCAAACTCTGAAAACTGAAAATTTTAAACTCAAAGAGAATTAACAGGGTCATGAAAATTAAGGAGATGTAGATGCTCCGTAAAATTTGCACAAGCAAATGGCATGCATATCCGTGGTTGTAACATTTGTTAACCAACTACAGGAAATTAATTACATGTATTTTCATCAGAAACCACAAAAGAAGATAGACCCAAAGGAAATTTGAAACCAACTTATAGAGCATTAATCTCATCAGCAACCGAAATAAAAAAATACAAAAGAAACAATCGAGAGAAGCTTACTCAAAGAGAGTTAAGTGAGCAAAGCGGAAAGAAGATCAAACGCGGGTCTTGTTGAGTTGTGATTTGGGAGAGAATCAAGAAAGCAGCAGTTAACAAAGAGAGACTCGATTGGAGATGATTCACAGCAGAGAAACAGAGAGAAGGGAGAATGATTCAAAAACGTTTTCAAAGCAGAAGCACCAATGCTAAACATATGAGAATGCTAAAATTGAATGCATAAGCATGTGAGATTGTAGTGAAAGAGTTCTTGGCTCTAGGGATTTCGAACCAAAATGTTGAAAATATCTTCAAATACTTTTGGGATCCATTGATTCTATATTGACAAAGATGTTTTTGGTGGGATTTTGATGATATTGTAGTGAAATTCGGATTTGATTTTGGAGATAGTCACTGAGTTGAGAGAACCAAAAAGAAGAGATTTAACAAAAATCAGATGGGTAATTGGAAGTTGCATCGATGGACCCGGCGGTGGTGGAGCTGGAGTTGCTTGAGGCTGGCTAGGGTTTCAAAGAAAGTTGCTTGATGCAAGGCCTCAGTTGTTTGCAATTTCACCTAATTTTGACCTTTATTACATTTATATTTTAATTATGACCTTTTGAAGCATCCTAAAAATAAAATTAGGTTTAGAACAAGCAAATGTTACCCGCGCTTCGCTGCGTGTTTTGCAAGCATTAAAAAATAGACAAACTGAAATTGTCTTCCTCTGTTAAAAATAGACTGTCTTTCAAACACATCATTTCTAGCCTTCCCACTGCAGATGGATATCCAAAGACTTTCCCTGAGGGAACACACTCTTTCGAATCCATGTATAAACTTCTCCCCACTATTTGTGCTTAAGAAACCAAAAATTGCTCAGTCTACCAGTTGAGAAAGGGTCATTTTACCTAAGGAAGCATACGACATAGATAAAATAGATTAGTCAAAACCAACTAACCATGCCCTGATATATACAATAAAGAGATAAACATTACATGTAGCTGCTACATAATAGGCCGAATCAGATGCAGAGGCTCAAAAATTTTCTTACCGTTAAAATTAGAAGGGAAATATAGGTTAGTTCTAACAATGCAAAATAGCTAGCAATAAAACATGAATATAAAATAGAGTCTTATATAGTGCCACAATACCCCATGTTTCCTGGATGCCACATGTCACATATGTTCGATCTAAATCGTCTGTTGAACCCCAAGTAATGAGCTTTCCAGACTCTGATTAAAAAAGAAGCATGAGTAAAATACTTGCATTTTCCAAATCAAAAGGGGGGATCAATTGACTGAATAACTAAACATATAGTTTACTTAGTTTTAAAGAGATCCATGAAAAAGCAAACTTCATGTATATATACTCATCATCCAATGCAAAACTTCAAATAAAAGCAAGCAGACAATTACAATACATGTTAATATAACTCTACTCCCAAACCAAATAAAGTTCAATGTCAACATGAAAAACTGTTTGTTTAAATTGCAAAGTTACTACATCGGAAATCAAATAACTGTATTAATCTAAAATTTTTTTTATTCAATACTATTTTTTTATATAGTTTTGGAGTGTTCATTACCCATGACATGCATGGCTTAGCTAGCTTTTTCCATATTCCACTCGTCCAATTTAATTTCTTCAAACTCCTAAGGCTTTCACGTCAAGATTCCCAACTGCGAATCGGCTGGATTTCTACTCAACTATACCAATTCGCAACTATAAGTAATTAACTTGATTCAAGTCAAAAGATCATTCGCATTATTAATGAAATATATAGCATTAATTAATAATATATCCTTGTTTAATTAGCAGTAGCTATATACTTTTGCAATTGAATTTCATTAAGAAATTTTTCTTTTACTTGTAAGTGAATGTTCATGTTTAGATCATCTCATTATCCATTGTTAGGATTTGAGCCAAGTACAACTAATTTCTTAGAATTAAAAATGTAAAATTTTAAATGAATTTAGATTTATATCAAACATGAAAGTTTAGAAAATCTTATGGAATTCATTTACACCAAACAAACTGATAAAATTAGACCATCAGATTTAAATTCTCGGCTAGAGCATCTCCGCCGACTTTACAGTTTAAAGGCTGGCCAATTCCATCACCATCCTTTGGACCAACAACAGCAACACCACCACCATTATTGAGAGATATAACTCAAACAAAATGAAATAGCATTACAATGATGAAAGAGGAAACAAGATGTGTACACGAAAGAGGGAAGAGGAAAGAGAAAATATAGAAGGCTTAACGGGGAAAGCTTACTTTCATATCTTTTGAAGGTTGAAGTCTTTGTCCTTGGTTCAATCTCACTTCTGAGCCATCCCAAAGGTTCCTTCCCCTTTGGAATATTCAAATTCCAAAAATATTCATTTTCTCTTCTACTCTGATTCTACTCTGTCTCCATATATAATACCCACAATTTTCCTATTATCTTCTCCTTTCCTGGAAAATTTTCTGTATAGGTTTCATGCCAAACAAAAGAATAAGAAATTGATTTCTCTTGTTTCAAAATTCATTGTGAAAAGAAGAAGAGGCCAATATCTATAACCTGAATGAGTATTTTTAAGTTTCTGATAGAAAAAACAACAAAATAATAGAAATTAAGAAGAGAATAAAGGCAAATAAAAAGGAAAATTACATTGAAGTATCATCTGGAAAGGTACATGAAGAAGATGAGAGTGAAATTAGTCAGTAGGGAAAAAAAATCTAACGTCAAACGAAAAGAAGTTTCAAGGGAAGATAAGGGTATAATAGAAATAAATTAAAATGAAATGGTTAAAAGGGCATAACATTGTTCTATGAACAGTGAATTTGGATTTCGTTTTAATACATGTACAAGCAAAGTTTCCCAAGCTTTGTAGCGGGTTAAAATTAATTTTATTGATATAATTACTATTTATTGTTTACTCAAATTTTTATATATTTTTTTCACGGAAAAAAAGTATATTCATCATATAAATTTTTTGTTTCCCTATTTGTTATTATAAAAGTTACTAAATTCATACAAAAGATTCATTTCTATACCTTTAGATTTTGAAGTTTTTCCTTTCAAAGAAAAAACTTTTGGTATTTTAACTCTAAAAAAATAGTTTAAACTACTTATCACAATTTTTTTCCATATATTTTCGGTTCATCATTGAAGAAATACATAGAATGGAAAGAAATTCAAAGAAGTAAGTGCTAAGCGAGGATGATCAAAAGTTAGTTGATGAGCCATGTGAACGCAGTCTATGATATCCCCATCTAGACTCTGCATAGCCATGAAAAAGAATAAGATATCCAGAATTATAACTCAGAAATTTTTCACTCAAATAAATTATGAAATTATGTTTAAGGTAATGAGTGATCTTAATGTATTCAAACATGTAAAAACAAAAATATCAAATTTAAAAAAAAAAAAAGCCCAAAGAATAAAATAAATAATGGGAGCTGACTAACCATTAGCATTTCAGTTCTATTTGATTGTATTATAAACACATTTTGCACACCAAGACCGAGCCTAGACAAGTGCATGTACGACCTTACAACAGTTCCAGCTTCGAATCCCCCTGTACTAAAAAAAACACATATTTCAATTGCCTTCTTTATCTCTTCAATAACTACACAAAAATAAATAATTGCAAATAGAGAGAGAGAGAGAGAGAGAGAAGAGGAAGGTAATAATCAGAAAATCATTGATTCTTTGGAAATCTAAATTTTTAGCTATAGATTAAAAAAAAAAAAATTGATGGACATTATAGATATAGAACAAAAGTTGAAGAAATGCCCATTAGCATTCATGACCCATTTGATTGATGGGAAAATGCAGGAAATCAAAAGAATATGAAATCCTATTTAAAATATTTATTATTTGAACTATAATTTCAAAAACCCAAACAAATCTGCCGTATAAACACTCCCAGTGGAACCCTTGTCAGGCTTAAAACCTTTGGCAACCAAAAGCCAACAAAAAAAAAAAAAAAAGAACTCCAGTGTCAAAATTAACTTTGTTTCACTTTTCTCCGAGTTTCTCAGAAACCAAACGCGCTTTAGAGAAAGAAAGAGAATACCTTAATGCTCTTAACAGCAGGCTTGCTCTTAAGAGAATACCTAGGTTGAGATAATAACAATCAAAGAAACAAAGAATGTACTATGCTTTTAAAAAATCTTAACAACAGTAACAACATGAATGGCATAAACACTGTCAGCTCTAGAGTTAGCAAAGATAGTATATACTAAAGAAATATAAAAGAGAAATCAAAAGCCGCAGCAACCCACATTGTCAAGGACGTTATGTTTTATTATTTGAAGCATTAAAAAGTTCATCTTTCTTAATTTTGCTTTCTACAGCAGCACTTATTGTTTTAGTTCTGGAGAGGCACGAAACTGCTTCTCCTCCTAATTTCTGCAATTTACGTAACAGGTTTCATTTTTTTTTATTTCTTGTTTAATTATAAAATCTGAATAGCTTTTTATTTCTTCTTTTTATTGAAATGCCAGGAACCCATCCAAAGTAAACAAACAAAGTAATTATTCATTTTATGCGTGATTCCATGAAAGAATGAGACCACTGAGCTCAGTAATTGAAATCTCTAAGCATGCTTTGTGTAAAATTTGTATAACATGTTCCCAAACTATCCAATTAGAAGAAATAACAAATCTAATTATCTTCAATCATAAAAAGCTCAAGGAAGAAATCTTCAATAGCCAAACAAAACAGACTTTCACTACAAATATCAAATCCTCAAACAGAAATCCTCAAACTCATAACAAATAATTTGGATAATTAAAACCCTGATTACTAAAGTTTAGGTCTAAGCTCCATTAGTATGAGTTAAAGATCAAAATTCTCCCATTTCTAGGCCATCGAATGCATCAACATACAACAAAGAAAAATTAAATATAAGTATTCAAAGAATGTAATTAACTCGAATCGTAATTCGGAATCAATGAGTATGAACATATTAAGGATATGCAGTAATTTCAAATATAAAATCTAGCAAGAAATATAAAGATGGGTTTCATGCAAAAGAAAAGAAAAAAAATTCAGTTTCTCTCATTTTAATTTCATTCTTAAGTTTCTTACAAAAGAAGAGAAAACAATACAAATCAAAAAGAGAATTAAATGCAAATAAAAAGGAAAATTACCTGAAAGAGGAGGTATATTCTAGAAGCAGTACATAGAAATAGGAAAGAAGTGAAGGTGAAGGCAGCAGGGAAAAAGGAAGAGAAGGTCTGATGGAATTTGGAGAATGTGAAGTAGCGTTTTTGTCTGTAAATGAACGATACACAAAAAAGGGGTAAAATAGAAACTTGGTTAAATTGGTATAACCCTGTTCATATGATTTTGGATTTTGTTTTAGTATACTAGGAGAACTAAAATCAAGTCAAAGTCTCAATAACAAAATTGCTTTTGTACGCATCCTACATTTACATTCAAACTCTTGTAGATAGAAGAATAAAAATTCAAGAATCATGGACAAACACAAATCAAACAATTGAAATTTTACAGCTAAATTTTGCACATGCATCCAAAGAGATGAAAATAGATTGGGACTGTAAACCACTGTCTCTAATGTCAAGTTCGATTTTGAGATAATTAAAATTAAATTTGATTGTAATCTTGAAATTGCAATTGTAAGTATATATTCCATTTTCACCTAATCAAAGCTACTAATATATAAAAATATTATAATAAATTTGGTTCCCCATATACTGAACAAAGTAATCGTCTTCCACCACAATTCTAGAGTAAACCAAACATACAGACCATTATTATAATTTGTTTGTGCCATTCATGCATATGCAAGCCCTAGTAAACAACTCAAGAATACAAAGATTGGGCCAACTGGCCATCTAAATTTTGAATAAATGTTAATGTCAAACCCTAGAATTCGAAAATTATTGAAGAAAATATAAACAAAAGAAGAAAGGTAATAGCTAGACGGACATCATTGATGCGATATTACATAATTCTAATGAACTTACTACGCTCTTCAGCTTTAAAGATTCGAAAGATAAAAACAGAAGACATGGTTTTTGGACTCACCTGAACGGAGACGCGACGGCGGAGTCTTCAACGGTAAAACAGCACAAATGATTTTGCTAGCAGAGGAAGCATCTCATTACCCAGAAGGCCTAGAACACGTTCTTGAAAGGAAAAAGAAAAAGGTCCCAGCCAACTACAAACGCTGTCGTTTCTCCTATCCTCTTCTCCTTGTGTGCTCTTTTCCCTCAACAAAACAAAAGAGAGTGTTTTTATAATTTTTCACTTGATAGTATTTTTATTTTATATAAGTTTTTTTAATATGTTTTATATTTTATATTGCATAAAAATTAAATTTACTTTTTTTTTAGAATGCAAAATTATATTTACTAATTTAAATTTACTTAACTTGTTTAAATATCTAATAAATTATTAAAATTAATAAATACATTTGTATAAGTATATTTTTAATTAAACTAAATTAAATTAAATTCAAATACTTGATTATAGTTTTTAGGGTTACTATTAGCACTATTTTTATTATTATTTATAGTTTTCTGTGATATTAGTCTTTTATTCTATTATTTAAAAATTCAAGAGTATTTATGAAATATTAGAGGAAGTAACCAATGTTAGTAAAAAATAATAATAATAATTAGTAAGACTGGTTGCCATGAAAGTAAAAAATTTGATCCAATCGCAAAATTTTTAATTAAATTGAGCTTAAATAGTATATTATTATATTATACAAATAAGTTAGTTCAATGTACAATCTTTAACTATGGATTACTTCTTATTATACCTACTCATTATTTAATTTATAATTTTTTATTATTTATAAAATGATATTCATCATTGTCTTCAAATTTCAGTAAAATAATAATTGAATATAATAAAATATAAATAAAATGATAATCCTATCATTGTCATTCAAATTTCAGTCAAAAATAATAATTGAATATAATACAAATATAAAATATAAATAGAACTTAAATAAAATTAAACATTTCTTTTCTTTCTAATTTATAGATATTATATAATTATAAATTAGTCCTAGACGTTTTGAATTGAAGAATAGACTGTTCTTTAATTTAAACATAATTTCTAACAAAATTATAAATATGAAGATCTAAAAATTTAAATTAACAAATTTTTTCTTAAATATTATATATTTTAAAAATATATTAGGACAATATCTTCTAATACATATGATCAGGATATTTACTTGTCATACAAAACGCGCACAGATTGTGTATGAGTTGAAAAGCAGGAGGGTAAAAAGTAAATAGCCAAAAAAGTGATAATGTTTAAAGATGCGGTGTTACCACTGTGGCAATGAAAATGATTTGGCTGTTTCTTTTAATATCTATATAAATAAATCATATCTATTTATAAATTTACTTATTATTTATATTTATAATTAAAAATATAACATATATATATATATATTTATTTATTTATATTACATATATAAATGCTGCAATAAGAGGAATCATTCAAATAATATATCTAATCATCTAAAAGATATCCTAAAATGTCTTACTCATTGCCAATTGCAAAATTTTAATAAAATAATAATATGTGACAAAGATTTAAAATTAAAAGTTAATTAAAATTATTATTTGTTGAAGTAGTAGTTAATTATTCTATTAGCTGTTTCTGTAATTGTTAAATTATAAGTTTTCGGTAAAATTAGTTCATTAATTTAAAATAATTAAAAATGACATTAATTGTTTAATTTTTATAAATAGCTGAACGTTATAATGTTTAATATTTCATAAAAAAATTTCATAAACCTCAAACAATTCCCTAGTCAATAATACTTTATCAATCTTATAAACTATTGACCACTCCTCATCTTTTATTGTTCTCATTATCTTAGTTGTTATAACCGTTATTTTTAACGTTATGTCTTCTGCATTAGTTTACATGATGAAACCATGCTTATTAGCGCCGTTAGTAGCCAATGTGTTCATAAATCTGTTACTGGATGTCAATATTTGTAAGGACCGATAAATAAGGATTCCATAATATAGCAGGAATGACACATTTTGAGCAGTGGTTAAGTTTTTATACTCAGGCATGAAACAGTTTATGATAGTTTCAATGCGAAAGGAGCTCATGGGAAATGAAAATAAGGAAGATGAAGACTATGAACAGTCTAAAGAAAATCATGGATGGTTATTTTATGGGTAGGTGTAATCTTGAAGAAGTTGGGGTTTTGGAACTAGGAGAAAAAACAAAAAGAAGAAAGGAGAGAAGGTGCAAATTGACCTTTTTGGACCTTGAGTTAAGTCAATTAAAAGTTATATTGTGAACCCACGATTATATTATTTTAATTTAAATTTTAGTTCAAATTTGAAAACAGGGTGGCTCGAGATATAGAGGTAAAATTAGAGTGTTTTTGTAACTATTCGCAAAGTTGAAGGTATTTTTTAGATTTAGCTAATTAAAATTTAGTTGACGCTTCACATAAGTTTGCCCGGAAAAAGGATGAAGGATACTTTTTGTTATATAAATCGAAATTTAGGAACCTTTGTTTCACAAATTAAATGTGAGGTAGGTTGTGTTCGATAGCCACTATTTAAATAGTTTTTGCACGTTGTGACTGAACGTTATTTTTATAATATTCGATAATATAGAGTTTAAATTAACTTTTTAAAAATTAATATAATGTTTTATAAAAAGATACTCCTGCTAGCTACTAAAATAAAAGCGCTACTAAAATATACAAATTTGTCGAATATGCCTGCAGTATAATGTGACAGTGATTATAGTTCGGAGACACCGGGTGAAATTAAGCCTCCGGTTTATTTGCCCAATGAGGATATAGGCCCAATGCCCATTTGCAATGCAAAAATCTAGAAAAGCCCATCTACACCCAAACCCTAACAACTGGGTCACAATCACAATTAAGAAATCAAAAAATATCTCCTCCTTTTATATAAAAGCCTTAAACCCCCTTTTACACTGTGTTTGCCTCTCAACAGCATATCACATTCTCCACCTCTCTCTCTCTCTCTCTCTCTCTCTCTTCCTGTATCTTTAACCCGGTACCAAAACCCTTCTTCACAAACTTACCAACGACACCACGTCCTTGTATTCGGCATTTCCGATCTCAATTCACTAACCCTAGGGTATTTTGGGGTCTTCTTGATTCCAATGGCGGAGGAGGAGGTTGTCCCACTGACAGCTAGCCCCGTCCCTTCAGATCACAAGCGTAAGCTCGAAGATTTAGAGCCTGAAGCTCCAGAGCCAGTCGAGTCCAACCCGGAACAGCCGGCTGACTCTAGCGCTGAGCCTGATGCAGATAAGAAGGCGGATGATGCGGCGGTGGAGGATGGTGGATCGCCGGACACTAAGCGTCCACGGCTAGATGAGAATAAACCTGATGGATTAGGTAATTGCAGTGTCTGTTGAGTCTTAAGTTTTAATCTTTGGTTGATTTTTACTAGGGTTTTGTTTATATATAGCGTGTAAGTGTAAAATTACTTGGTGCATTAGTGATTTTGAGTTTGAAATTTGTTCTGATACTCTGTTTTTATTTTATTAGCTAGTGAAAATGGTTTTGAAGGAGAGAAGTCAGAGCAACGCGCAAAGGAGGAGGCTGAAGAGCCAATCATTAAGAATGAGGAAACAGATGATGCTTCTCCTCCTCAACCTGAGGGTGTTACTGATACAATAGTTAACGACGAAGCCACTGGACATGAGCATGAAACAGTTGATACTCGAGAGACTTCTTTTGAGGATTCCAAGCCAGATGATGATGAGAAAAAAGAGGAAAATCTCTCCCTGGAGGCAGAGGAGACAGCATCCGAGACTCAAACCACCTCACGCAAAATGGATGTTCCCAATGATAAGGTAGAACCAAAATGTTGACTACTGAATTTGCTTAAAGTGATTAGCTTTTTACAAATCTAATTTTCGTAAACTAATATAATGCATGGGAGTTTTTTTTTTTTTTTGTACAATTGAGCACAATTCATAACTTAAATGATTCTCATTTTTATTGCTATGATTGTAGTTTTTGAGCAGAATGCTAGGCTAATCCAACTTATTGTATCATTGGGAATTGAGCTGAAGTCATAGTCCCATACATAAATGAATCTTCATTTTCATTCCTGATGTCCTAATCATAGAATAGTGATAGGCAGTTATTGGCACAGCTGTGTCCATCACATATTTTTCCTGTCCCATGGACTGTGAACAGCTTTTTGAATTTTGGATTGAAGCATTGCAAATCATCGGCTAGAAGCTTCATAGCTCCGTAAAAAAGTGGGTGGGTTTTTTAGCCATGGGCCTAGCAAAAGAAAAATTGGGATAGGATCCTATAGGGTCTCCCCCCTTCAAAATCGGATGTGAAAGTTTCCTCTCATCTGGCTCCAGTAGTCACTCTACCCTTGTCATGTTTTTTGTGATCCTAGTGCAGCCATTTCTATTTTTTTTAATTTGTTACTTTGATTATTGAATTTGTCATCAGATCGGCTTTGATTGATGTTTAGGAAACGCTATGTTTGCAGGTTGGGGTTCTTATTGGGAAGGGTGGGGATACCATACGTTACCTGCAGTATAATTCTGGGGCAAAAATTCAAATCACAAGGGATGCAGATGCAGATCCACATTCCACAACAAGGCCAGTGGAAATAATAGGGACCTTAAGTAATATAAGCAAGGCTGAGAAGCTCATTAGTGCTGTCATAGCAGAGGTGGCTGATTTAATTTTATTTCTTGATATATATCTATATTCCATGGTAACAAATGATTCATATAGTTGATCCCAACTATTTTGGGACTAAGGCTTGGTTGTAGTTGATATATATTCCATGGTGTTGCTTTGAATTTGTATGTTCTTTTTAACAATCAAGGAGTTGATTAGAGATTATGTTAATGTTTTTTCTATTCTTCTCTAACTTTTTTGTGTATTTATTGCAGGCTGATGCTGGTGGTTCCCCTTCTCTTGTAGCTAGGGGACTTCCTAGTGCGCAGACTGCTGTAGTGGCAGATCAACTTGAGATGCAAGTTCCAAATGAAAAGGTTGTTGGTCTCCCGTTGACCATTTAGTTATTACAGTTGATAGCTTTGCGTACTTTTTTAGCATGTTTATGGATGCTTCCCTTGTTCCAGGTTGGTCTGATCATAGGCAGAGGTGGAGACACCATTAAAGCTCTCCAAGCCAAATCAGGGGCTCGGATTCAGGTAGTTGATATCGTTGAACATACATTGAAATTTATTTTCTTGAAGCAATGCCACTGCTTCAGTTTCAACAGCTTTCTGAAGGTATTTAATCACATGGATGCAACTGATGATCTTGTTTCCATTTAGTTGATACCTCAACACCTTCCAGAAGGTGACGGATCTAAAGAAAGGACAGTGAGAGTGACTGGTGATAGAAAGCAAATTGAGATGGCAAGAGAAATGATAAAGGATGTTATGAATCAGGTATGTTATTGACTCTTTTTTTTATAAGTTCTGATCAATAGAGTACTGGTTCCTCTTAGATGTAATTGCTTCTATTCGATTGCTATATTGGTATATTTTTTAGTAGTTTCTAATTTTGTGTTCTCTAGTTAATTGTTATATTGGTATTCGCTGAATGATTGCAATCAGTATCTGTTATTAAGTCCTCTTGTTACATGAGGCAATTGAAAAAAAATATCTGAAGGGGATTAGAAATCTGTTAGTATTTGAGTGGGAATAGCATGTATAATTTTCGTTCATTCCATTGATAAATGCATGTGTAGAATCATGTGAGCTGCACTTCCATATTTATTGGTTAATATATTTCAGTTTCGTGATCTTTCTAGATCTAGGATTCACATGCGGTTTATATTCGAAAATGTTATGGAGTATGATATGAACACTTTGTTCTTGCTCTTACTTCAATCAATGGTGTCATATTGGGTTGTATTGTTGTTGTGAATGATATGCCTTGGCATAACATGATCAGCTGTGGTTGTGGAGGAACAATGTTAGGTTTACAATTTATAAGAGAAAATGTGAAGAGAACTTTTTATCATAGCAGTGATTGATTGGTGTATATATCTATAGAAAATAAAACCTGATTCATGTTTTTATGCTGAAGTAGGAGTCTAGCAATTGCCTTTTGTGTTGCCAATTCATGTTCTGGTTGGTTTCTGCAAATCTTGTGTTCATGGATAAACTGAGATGTTGATCGTTATCAGTGGGTTTTGCCAAGAAATATGCAACTGTAGGTCATGATATGTTTTCTTTGCATGTATGAGCAACTTTTTTTTTTTTTTTTTTTTTTTCTTTGCATGTATGAGCAACTTTTTTTTTTTTTTTTTTTTTCCCATATTGAGGAAAGAGAATGTAATAGTTTAGCTGTTTTTTTTTTTTTTTTTTTCCATTTGAGGAAAGAGAATGTAATAGTTTAGCTGTGGGAGGGAGAGCTAATTGCTTGATAAGTGGGAATTTGTGGTATTATCCGTTCCAAGGTCACTTGAATGCTCTTAGGAAGATCATATATTCAATCCAAGATGTCGGTTGCCATGATTTATTTATGATGAAGGTGCCGATTTCGAATTGGTTGACTTTAAAAATGCAGATTTGGCTTTTGCTTTTCCCATGGGGTCAGCATTGCTTTCTTGGTGTAGCAATAGACAACCACCATTCACTATCATCCACTGAAGAGAGGTATCAGGCATTAAATCTCGCAATGCTGGATGTTAATAGTTGGTAAGATTGCTTTGAGACTTAAAAGTTAATAGTTGGTATTAACCTTAGTGCTATGTAGTGCCCCATCTATGCATGAGACATTTGTTGGAAGAAGTGTAATGTCTGATGAAGTCGTCGTGTATGAAGTTTTTGCCAGGCTCGTACAAATTTGTTTTTATCTATTGCTGTGCTGAACATAAGAAGAATGTGGTAAATCTTCTATGATATGCATTGGGCTGCAGGAAAATTGTAAATAAAGGCGATCACATTAAGATCAGTGTAAGAATTATGATTTGTTGCCTTTTCAACATGCTAGTATTCCGAAATGGATTGATATGATGTGTTGAGTTATCAGGCATGCATGATTTGGAATGGACATTTGGTTATGGTGAAAATGTGAACTCTACTAGATTTTAAACTTCAATTCCTTCAGTAATGCGAGATATTTCTGTCATGGATGTTCAGTTTCTGTCTGAGTTTACCTTCTACGTGAGTTTGTTGATCATCATGGCAATGTAGCATTGACCTTGAGATTGTAATTTTTCCACCAGTTCTAAGTTCAAAAGTTATTGTGCCAAAGGGTCATTTTGCTCCGTTCATTTGGTTTTTGAGTAGCTTAATTTTTATATATTGAATTGTACTCTGAAGTAGACGTGTAGATTGATATCTTGATGAACTGTGGCTATGATAACATTTTTAGGCTTTTCCTTCAATAACAAGAAAGGAATCTAAGATATTTTGCATGAGCAATTTATTTTACTTTAGTATATATTGTATTGCTTTGAGCTGAACATGGGATAGTATCTGAATTGAATAAATTCAAGCAGGGCAAGCTGCGGAGAATGGCTTATGATTGTCTTTCAGAATGCTTAAGTTTATCACTACAGTTTGTGTTTTCCTTGATTCAAAAGGGAAGTTTAAATTGGGATGAGTATTCTTTTGGACTAATAATAGAAAAATCTTGCCAGTGGTTTGAAAGTAATACTTTTTAGAACTTTTGTAAATATATCATGTACAATGTATTTATGCAGGCATGTTGTCATGTATATATGCATGTATAAGCTCTTAAATTTCCATTGTTTCTCTTATGGTCTTTCCATCTTGCTCGGGCTCCGTCCTCAGCCTGTTCTGGTCTTTCCTGCCAGTTTTGGTATTGACTGTCAATCAGTATCAAGAAAAAGAAGAAAGCATGTATCATATGATAAGATTTTCTCATCGTAGTGTTCCTGCATTTTGGTTCATGATTCAATGGGAATAGTATTATGAGATCAGTTCGTTTCTGATTCTAATTTAGAAGGTTTGAAACATGGAATGCTTTTTTTTTTAGCATACGTTTTGACTTTGTAATATTGCTCTTCTTTGGTTTTTTGCCGGCTGTTATGATTTTGAAGAGTAACATTAGACTAGGATGATTTCCTTGTTTTTATTTATATTTCTATTTTCAGTTATTATGGTTCATATTTTGTATATGTTATACATAGTGTTGCATTTAATCATTGTTGGGGGTTGCCTGGGGTGTATTTGCTTTGCAAAAGAAGACATGGTTACTCTATATAAGCAGCTATGCCTTTCTTTCCTCTCTTCCCTATTTCATTTTTATAGGTTTTTACTGGACAATTGCTTCTTGCTAACTTTGTTTTGTAATTTGCCTTGAATAGAATGTGAGGCCATCACATTACTCTGGTGCTTACAACCAGCAGCAATCGTATAGACCTCGTGGACCTCCTGGTCCATCTCACTGGGGTCCTCGAGGTCCCCATTCATCACAGCAAAGCCCTTATGATTATCATCACCGAGGACCATATCCATCTCAAAATTCACAATATCCACCTCCAAGTTATGGTGGCTATCCTCCACAACAAATGGCTCCAAGAGGTAACTATGGTTCTGGCTGGGAACAAAGACATCCTCCCAGTATGCAGGGGCCAGGGCCACATGGTGGTGGTTATGATTACTATGGAGGTCAGGCAGGCCATGCATCTGACCACACAGCATCTGGCCCTATGTCAGGGCATGGTCCTGGCCCTTCCCCTACCCCTGCTATGTCACATCCACCATCGCAGCCAAATTATAATTATGGGCAGTCACATGGCCTAGATTATGGGCATCAAGCTCCTTATTCTCAGGGTGTACCTCCGCAGAGCTATGGGCATGTATATGATGAACCAAAATATGACAATCATGGTCAGACTCAGCATCCTTATGGACATGGAAGTTCGCAACAAGTATACCCACAATCCAGCAATCAACCAGGCTATGGGGCTCAACAGCAGTATGGAAAGCAACCATCATACGGCATGCCATCGCAGGGACCACCTCCCCAATCATATGGCCCTCCTAGGCCTAGTCAACCTGGTGATATGCCTTACCAAGGTCCCATTCAATCCGGTCAATCATATGGTCCAAATGTGCCACCTCAACAGCAGTACCCATATGCATCAAGTGGGCCCGTGCAGCAATCATATACTCAGTATGGATCTACATCGGCTGCTGATGGGTACAATCAAGCAATGCCTGCTTCTGGCCCTGGCTATACTCAGCAAGTTGGCCAGCCAGTTCCGTCGTATGGTCAGCCTAGTGGACAGCAGGCAACAGGCTATGTGCAGGGTCCCTCTGGTGGTTATGGTTCATACCCATCGTCACAACAAGGTTATCCAGAGCAGCCAGCTCAAAACAATGCAGCTTATGGGTATCAAGGTTCTCAAGATCCTGCTTATGGCAGTGGCACTGCATCAGCCTATAGCGCACCGCAAAGTGGCCAACAAGCCTATGCTCAGCCAGCACCAACTCAACCAAGTTATGATCAGTCAGTTCCACAGTCAGGTGCTTATGCTGCTGCTCCAGGGAGTGCACCTGTTGGCTATGGTAAAACTGTCTCTCCTCAGCCTACTTATCCTCAATATGACTCGACCCAGATGTATGTTGCACCGAGATGAGGATTCTGTTGTAGCTTGAAAGTGATTTTGTACTCTGAATGTTATTAAGCTTTTGCAGTTAGTATTTGAGATCTGTTATCATTTGGTAGTCTTATTAGCCTTAGACGTTTGATATTCTTAGATCTTTCTCTGACTATTGATGGAACATCTTAGATTTGCTGCTCAATTTCTGTATCCACATGATGCTAATTCACAAAGTTCCTTGTGTTTTCTTATTTGTTGTTATTTGTTTCTTATATTCTTTTTTGGTTGGCTTGTGAAATCGATTAAGGAAAGGCATGAGCACTTGCCATAAGATGAACAAGGCAGGGTACTGCAAGGTGAAAGAGGTAAAACTTCTTTTAGTTCCGCGGGGAAGAATTTATTATAGTAATTGTATATTATTTGACTTTTATATGTATTTCATTTCATGAAAAGTAAAATTTCTTTTTTTTCCATAACTTTTTATTTTATTTTATTTTGTTTTCATATGGAGCAACATGTGTGTACTTAAAAAAGTCAGTCTTTAGAAATTCATGCAATAAAAAAAATTAAAAAAAGAGATTAGAATCATGAAAATACATGATATTCACACAATAACAAAAATTATTAAAAAGAAAAAGATGAACCTTTTATAGTTCCATAAATTACAAATTTTTAGAATTTTCAAGTAATTCTAAAACTACTACTACTATAAAACAATAGACAATGAATCCATTTGTAACTTGAAGAATATTTTTCAAGAAAGTTATTCCATAAAATCAAACGGTTATCGATCAAAAACTGGTTGCGACTTGTTCCTCCCAGGCATTAATTAAAAACTGGTGTTGTCTCAGATCAGGAGAATATTTTAATTTTGACAATAAAACTACTGCCATCATCTGCGGGGAAAATAGAGAGACATGGCCGAATTATCTTTTGTGTCACCAGCATGCATGAGAAGTGTAACTCCAGCAAATCTAAAACAGCATTCAGTTTGCAACAGATTACATTGAGCTCGTTAGTATTTGCGTATCAACTCTCTTCATCCACGAGAATGGTTGAATCATTGCCAATTCCAACGTCCATCAAAGTTGCCATTTCATCATCCAACAGCAAAGGTAGAGGGGAGCCCTGCAATTTCCCACTCAAAAGAAAAAGTAAGAAAGGAAACTCTTTTCCAAGTCAGTGGTGAATCAAACTTCAAAAATAAAACTACTGGAAAAGAAATTCTACAAAAGGAAAAGCTTCATTTGGTTCCTTCAGAATGAATGGGATTTATTAGGTCATAACTTATGTCGTTTCAGCTATATCATGTTCTCAATTTCATTCTTTGGCAAAATCTATCAATGTCAGCAAGTTATAAAGGCATCTGAGAAGTAAGAAATCAATTGAACGAATGAATGATTATATTCTTCTTTTTCTGGTTTTTTTTTTTTTTTTTTCTATCTCTTCTAAAATTGATTATATTCACTTACTTTTTCTGGTTTTTTTTTTTTTTTTTCCATCTCTTTGGTGTTGGAATGGCGTTAATTTTCAACATTTAAGTGATAAAGTATTTGCTGTGAAATATGAAGAGTGTAAATGCCATTAAAAAAGAAAAAAAACAATTCAAAATAGCTAACTTTTTTTTTTTTTTTTTTCCATCTCTTTTGGTGTTGGAATGGGTTATTTTCAACATTAAAGTGATAAAGTATTGCTGTGAAATATGAAGAGTGTAATGCCATTAAAAAAGAAAAAAACAATTCAAAATAGCTACCAATTTTAAGGGTTGAGATATTTTCTTTTTGAATATTTACTATATAGAAAAGATGATTTAGCAAAAAAATGCTACACCAAACTGGATGATCAACATACCAAGAGGTATTCACCATAGTTATATATATCAATGAATAAAAGGGTGTAAGGACAAACCTCTTCTTGAAGAAATAATTTGGGTTTGATAGACTTGAGATTGAAAAAGCTTTCACACAGAATTTTTAGCTTGCCAACCTAAAATGAATTCAGAAGAATAATTTCATCTTAAAATAACATCCAGGAAGATATGCATTTTAATACAAGTCATGTGAATATCACCGTTGTAGTGGCTGGCAATTTCTTTGTTAACAATGGTTTCTCACCAATGGATGCACCAACGCATTTCAGGGTGATAGCTGCAAGATTTATTAATAATGTTCGAGCATATATATTGCAACTGTGTTAAATAATCAGATGAGAAAAATCTGAAGATTCATACATAGAAGACTGGATGCCATTTTTTGAGGGCCTGATGTTCCAACTGATGGCCTTTCACCTTCAATGCCATGAAAAGCCTTCAGCTCAGCAAACCTTTAACAAAATAGGTCCAGGAGTGAAAAGGAAGAACATTATTGCTGAACAACTAATACCAAAAAGTTATTTGCCATTGTAAACGATTGTAGGTGGGTTTGTTCCAGATTTTCTGTTAAGGCCCCAAGAAGAAACTTTGGCACATCCAATGGAATAAAAGGGGGAGGTGCCGGAAAATCAGGGGTAAAAAGGAGTTTCAGAATAAAAATTTAGTCCCTCTTAGATATGCAGACTGAACCTGGAAGAGATTTGAGACAGTAATACTGAAAATAAATAGATCATCACTAGAAGAAGGGGCATTGGCAATCACTAAGAATGATGAACTCCAGCAATCAAAATCTATGTGGCAAAGAAATTTTGTGGATTTTCATGTAAATTCACAGGAAAGTGATTACCTGGGATGCTCTTTGATTTCATCTGGATTTTCATGTAACCTTGACATAACTAAGCGGACATATCTGCAAAAGATATTCCAAGGAAAGAGGAAGCAAATATTCTTAAAAAAAGAACAATAAATATATGTAAACCAAAGATTATATTCATTGGAATGAGAAAACACAATAGCAAGAATATCTTATTTTCTGAAAAGGTAAATAAAGAAGTCAGAAACAGGATAAAGTATTTACCGAATCTCAGAGTCCTTCCTTTCGCGAGGGCTTACCTAAGAGGTATATCAGATGATGGTAGATCGGATTTACAAGAGCATCGACATTAAAATCCTTTTAATATATAGAACTTAGAAATTTGAGAAATTACCTCACTTCCATTTAGTATTTCAACTTTGGATAACCGTGCAATCAAAACAAATCTTGGGATACCACCTCTTCCAGTATCAGTTATTGGATTTTCAGAAAGTCTGATATCCTAAGAATGTGACAAAGCAAAAAAATAAAAAATAAAAAATAAAAGAACAGAAAGCTGCATTTTACCTCTCAATCATACAATCTAAAATTCTGAATGCTTCTCTATCACCCAGGTTTCAAACCAAATTGAGGCTAAATGTCATGTGCAGAGCAGGGACAACAGGAATACACTATATTGAAGCATGTAAGGGGCATCGTATTGCAGCCGGTAATTTGGCATGTTGACGAGGCCCTACTAACCTCAAATGTAGTAACATTTGGACTATGAAAAAAAAAAAAAAGTGTGTCCATACGGAGAACCGAGGCTTCCAATGCACAATAAGACAAGTTGCATTCTATGCCAACTTCGAATCTTTGCTTGGAGTTGCTATCAATCATACAGTGATGATTTTATTTAATAAGCACATAATCAGGCAACTAGGTTCAAATATTCAATTATAACAAGGCCAGTTGTCCAATTCTTTCTTGCTAAATGAATGATATCAAGTCTTATTCATTATGTGAAAAAAAAAAACAGAGAGAGAATTTCATCTGCATCAAATTTCAGATCAAAATTTTTAATCATAAGGATTTCTGACCACATTCTCCATGGGGCCCTGTTGAATTCTCAGAATTCAAATTTACAACATAGGCCATTCATCCAAACTAAGCGTTGGTCCAGTACAAACTTCTGTCATGTATGTAATAAATATTCCTCTCTCGCTTTCTTCTCTTTTCATTTTAATCTTTAAGATGTTTAACCTTACCATTCAACTTCTATATGCAAATGTGTGGAAGGCAATACCTATATAGTGTTGGTAGAGCCTTGTCATGCATTCTAGTCAAGTAAATGAATAATCAGCAAAATCTGATTAGACCCTGAAGGTTAGCAACAAGGAGGTAGGCTAATCAAGCATTCAAGCAACTAGACCTCTCTCTGCTAGCAACATTCATCTTGCCAGAAATCTGTTATGATCAAAAGGAGGGATCATCTAGATCCATAACTTAATCCATTTGTTGAATTCATAATGCAAATTTACAAATAAATACGTGTAACTAGCATAAAAATTCGTAAGTGAAATCTATTTTGCAACTAACTTATAGCCATTAAAGTAGAAGAATTGGATCTCAGACAGTCAATCTGCATCTTATTAGAGCTGAATGAGACTCAGCAAGCAAGCCTATTGGCTCAGCAAGTCTTTTGCTTTGGTGGTCTGTTCCCTGATAATGACAATGAAGATTTAAAATGTGGAAAATCAATGCACTATATGAATTAAATGTATGGACCAAGAGAAAAACATATCAAATGAAATGGGGCAGTGCACAACCTTTTCTATTTGCCTAGCTTTCTTCTTCAGCATAAAGGAGTATATGTGGTACAAAGACAATAATAAAGATACAAATATTAATTTCTTATAATCTGTAATGCCAAAGTAATTCCAAATTACCTACTAAGGAATATATAATCTTTTAAACTAAAACCTAGCTACTCTAAAAAGTGATATATGAGGATGATCGGCCATATGTAATTAAATTAGTAGTCTTATTGATTGATTTTATATTACACAGATATGGTATATTATATATTCCTAGTCTGATATCAAGTAATAGACTTGCATACAACATATTACCACCAATTTCGGGAATGAGTTCAGCGAGTCAATTGATGCTAGATCCTCAAGTTTGTTAGCCCCTGACGTGCATAGAAGAATCAGAAACTTCTATGAAGTAAAATAACAAATTAACAAATCAAAGAGGAGTTTTTGATTAATTACCCAGAAGAAGGCAATGCAAACTTTGAAAAGGCGTTTTCAAATGAGATTCAGATCCACCTAGTAATTTATCCATTATATCAGCACCCGGGTAGAAGATACGTTTCAAATTGTTTTTATTCAAATGAAGCTGCTCCAAACTGAGTGCAAAACATGTAATAGTGCTTATCAAGAGAAAACCATTGGCAGAAAAATTGGGATGTATGGAAAAGTTTCAGATGGAAGAAAACACACACAGATTTTTGACCTTTTTAACAGTGAAAGCTTTAAGATTTCATTCCATTCAGCTATCAAATTATCTTCCAAATTTAGAAGCCGTAAAGAATCAAATCCTTGAACAATTGATGAAGCTGTTGACTGAAAAATGAAAAAAAAAAAAAAAAAAATTGAGTCTTATCTACAAAGAGGTCAACACAGAACATACATAAGCCGAGTGCAAATGTTCATAATATGAAACCCCAATCTCAGCCAGAAAATGGTAAAATAAAATAAAGTTCAGTGAAGCAGCTGTACACATATTTTCTTTCTGTTCCCCTTTTTGTTGTTACTTTTTTAACAGGCAAACATCTAAACAGTAATATAAACAACTGTGCATTATCTTGCAGTACCACAAACCTGCATTCACACATCAAAACTTGTAAACCTGCATATTACTGTCCAGTCTTAGCTGAAGGTTCTGCAAACGGAATTCTTAACATGGATATTTGACTTCTACTAATGATTAAACTAGAATGGATTGAGTCCACTTTACAGTTTAAGATTTATTTCTCACATTTGGAGTTTCAGCAACATGCTCATCTTCAACTATATAGCTACACGCCCCTGCCCATAGGCAAGAAAAGGCCTTTATCCATAAACTCAGGGCATTTCTGGATGAATATTTCAAGCTGAGCAAATCAGTTATCATCTTCTCCATCATCATTATCATAGGTTACTAACACAGCTTATTAGAAGTGCAAAGCAAAAGCATACTGGATAGTGATTATGAGGGTCCAATTCTTGACTGGAGGGAGCACTAAAGGCCTCTGCTCTTCCGTCCCTTGGGGTGAATGATTAGTGGAACTTAAATTTGGTAGCGTGTAGTTTCTTCCTCCTTTTTTGATAGGATTATTACACATTCTTTCATAATTTTATAGTTCACCATAACTTTTCAACTTCATGCTATTGCAATCAGTAACCATCCACAAAATTAAGTTTATTGTGTGAGAACAAAAATAAACATGAAAGACTGTTCAAATATTATCATAATGGCAAATATATATAAGAGTAAAACCGTTATTGTGCATATGCCGTTCCCCATCAAATGTAGCTCCTCAATCACTGGTAATAAATGATTAAGAACTTCAACCTGCAACGTCAAAAGTACTATATTTAGGTTCTAAATTTAAAATTTAAAAGGGAAAAAAGAGAACAACAATTCTAAGACAGATGGAAAAATAACCTAGACATGAAAAGTACATAAAAGCAGTCCACCTGTGTCCAATTTATGCCAGAATTGTTTAGAACTAAAACACGGATGTTTTTCAGTTGGGGTAGCCCAGTAATGCTCTGTGACATTATATTATTAGACAAATTGAGAGCTGAAAGAGCTGGTAGATGCTCACACATGGTACCAACGTCCTGCAATATTAAGAAGCATAGTTCTTCAGCACCAAGAAATTCATTAAACAATTCAGCAATAAGCAAAATTTGAATAAAAATTAAGAATGCATCTCCTCACTAACATCTAGAGAACCTAGTTAAAGTAGGAAATACACAGTAAAGGAACATGTATCACCAGCAGACTCCATATCTAGAGGCAAACTCACAATCCTTTACCAAGAACATAAAATATGAATGGGAGCAATTTCCAAGAATTTATTTATTCTTAGGCTCCTTTTGTTCCTCCTCCTTGTGATTTCCTTAAAAAGTGAAGGCATCGGGATCTGATATCCTAGTTACTGACAAGCCTTATGTATGACTGGTAAATCAGTATATCTCACCATTTTAAAAAAAAAAATAATTCAAAAGCCATATCATGAATCTTCAGATGTATATAAAAACTTTGAAATGCATTGTGTATCCTAGTTATTTTATGACTTCAAAAAAAAAAAAAAAAAACTTCAAAAAAAAAAAAAAAATCATGATCGATAATACACAAGTGGAGAAAAGCGTAAAAATCACCAAGAAAAATTTTCTCCAGAAATTGCGTACATCACCTGTCTTAACGAATTTAGAACTGAAAAAAAAAAAAAAAAAATCATTGAATCGATAATACACAAGTGGAGAAAAAGGTAAAAATCACCAAGAAAAATTTCTCCAGAAATTGCGTACATCACCTGTCTAACGAATTTAGAACTGAGAAAACTGCAACCTAATTTGTGTTGCAAAACTTAGTAGCTGAACTTATTTGTCCCATCTTAAGTTACAAACAACATCTAATGGACTGAACGTGTCTAGAATTACTCTGAGTTTTAAATAAATTAAAAAAAAAAAAAAAAATCTACTTCTAGCTCAAAAATTATAAGTGGCAGGCAGATGGATTGTATTCTATATAGCATGCAGAAAAAGTATACACTTACATTTTAAGAGAATGGCAGTAAACAGTACAAGAAATGCAAGTTCATGATAAAAAATTCGATTGCTCACAAATGGAACATACCTTCCATTCCGAAAGTAAATTTCCTGTCAAGTCCAACTCCTTCAGATCTACAAGAGAAGCATTAAATCATTAAACAAATTACTATCACATATGTCATGCTAGCATAATCATGCTATATATAATTGCAATAGCAAACAATTAGGAAGATGCACAAGAAGTACATGCTAAAATACTCTTGCTTTAAAATCTTGCCTCAAAATTTACTTAATTACTTGATCTTCATAACTGAAAATGGAAAGCACAGTATTAATATACTCACTGGGAACCAAATTGCTAATATCAGTTGGATTTCCAGTAGTGCTAACACCCAAATAAGGTAGTGAAGCACCCTTCAGTTCTTCAAATCTACTTAGCTTATCTTGAATTTTCTCTTTACCCACAAGTTCAACTGATACCCGTTTGTTACTAGATGAAAGCACATACATTTCATCTGTATCGAATCCATGCTACACAAATTAAGCTCAAATTGCCAAAAAAGGGGGAAAAAAAAAATACTGAAATGATCCAAAGAGCGATAATGCAACAATCGCAATACCTTCTTCTTCCTTAGTGGACTCGCTTCTGTACCTGATATGGAGAGCTTCAAGGAAAGAAATGCCCGGACTTAAATTTTGGGTTCGAACAAAGGATCCTGACCGTTCCAATCTCGAATGGAAGTAACGGACGCCGTTGACGGATCCGTCGTGCTTGCCTTCTCCATTGTCCCAATCAACCCCGACCCATGTACCCGGATGGCCCTGCAAGGGTCCAACGTACTTTACCGTCCCAATTCGGCGACGATCGCTAGTTGAGTGGACCCGCTGGCCGATTTTGAAAGACTCGTTGCTTGACTCGGTTGAGTCTTGCATTTTCTTCGCTAAAATCACAGTCGCAAACCAGCAAGTAGGAATTGTAGTGTAAACCAAAAGGGAAGGTTTTCGCGCTGTTCTGGTATTTGACTATTCGGGTCAGGAACCCGTATAGAAAACAAAAGAATTTCTATGAACCTGCAATTAACAGGTCAGTACGAGTCCAATACCCGAAAACACATAAAACGTCACGTAATATCAGTGGGCCTGTGTGCCAGTTATGGAATAGGAAAAGTGTCAGTTCTGAAATCGTCAGAAGCATATGCTAATTTATTGTCGTTTTGGTCTTCGACGATGACGATGACCCCTTCCCTCCGATTTTCTTTCTCCATCTCTTCCCACTGTTAGTTCTTTCACTCCTCTGCTAGTTTCTGCCACCGTGGGGGTGCTCCCAAAATCTAAGAGTTTTCCAGTGAGTTTGCTCCCAAAATCGTGTAATTTTATGCTTTGAATCGATAAATTATGCTTTTAAGCTCAAATTCATTTTTGTCTGGTTGCTGCTATTTCGTTGTAATTTTCTTTCTTTTTTGTTTAAATGAGTGCTGCCATAAGTAGATAAAAGAGGACTCTTGTACTGACACGTGGCGTTCGACCAGTTTCCTTTAGGAAATACACATTAGTAGATTAGTAGAGTCAGCAGTAAGTTAGAAAAGGCCAAGGAGTAGGAGACAATGCCCTTCTTCAACAGTGCAAGACCTGATTAAGTCCTCTTAGTGCTAAGAGGTCAGAGGTTGAACCTTATTATCAGTCAATATCCCCTTATAAATATTTTAGATATATATCAAAAAAATTTTAAAACTTGTCATTTAAGTTGGTGATCATCATAACATTTTGTGTCATAAAGATTATAGGATAGTCTTGCAATTTCCTATAATTTGTAGTTGGTATAAACCACATCCTGAAGTTATGTTCTGAAAGTCTGTTGGAGTATTATACTTGTATAACATCTAGCAGAACAAATGAACTATTATAACAATGCCATCTTTTGTTCATATATCCAGCTATTCTACCACTGAAATATACAACACTTCTGAATGTTTTGAAGGTTGCTATGGACATCTACTGCAAGTGAACTCATAAGCAACCTGTAGCAAGCTTTTAGAAGCATCATCATCTGGCAACTTCAAAAGGTGAGCAACTTTAGAAAACCCAACATTTTGCTTAAGATATAAACTTTCATTAGTCAAGTCAAGCTCCATCTCCTCTTTAAAGAGCTCAGGCTTTGATAATGCCCACTGCATTGCCCATATCGCTAATGGTCGCATGTAACAAATAGATCTATACTGGTCATCAGTATTCCACCCTTCTGGAATCTGAAATGAATAACTATGACCAGAAAACAAGTAATGAGTAAGTTTTAGTGGAAATTGCTAGAGAGAGAAAAGATACAATAAACCCTTGTTTGCTTTCATACTTTTACAGAACAATTTTGTTATAAAATTCATGAGTTTGTAATAAATTTTAAGTGATAGTATATTTGAATTCTATTGTTTGGAATAACTGAAAAATAAAAGGGTTGTATTTAGTTATAAAGAGACATATTTACTTTAAATAAGGTTATCTAGGGTTTTAACAGTGAGTCTCTTTAAATGAATTTAATTCTTGCAATATCTTACTATTTTGGACATCATTTCATTTCTTCTAAAACGACTCATACATGCTGCTCTACTGATTTCTTGATATTCAGTTTCCTACTTTTTCTGTTTTCAATACTTTATTGTACTCATATTGTTATTGTTCTATAAGCTTATCATCATACTATTAAAGGATTCTTTGATACCACACAGCTTCAAGAAATATTAGCTGAACATAAAGCATATCTAAACATTAAAATAGGAAATTATAGTTAGTGAAAGAGAAGAAGACTCACCCGAGACCTTCTTGTGACCATGCCGCTTGATAGATACCTGCAGCAGTCTGAAATGCCATTTCCACCATGTCCTCTTGAATCATAGACGCAGCAAGACCATATGTAACTCCAGGCCATATTTCTCTTGATTGCAATGCTGACTTATCTACTCTTCCATCTGGTAGCATCCCATTGACTGCACCCCGCATTCCCCCTTTGACTTGTAAGACGTTAAACTTGTAAATCTTTTCAAGGGCGCTTCTCAATTTTTCCTCATCAACGATCGGGGAAAGGCCACATGCCCTGGCATACCTGTAAAACAATCAAAACATTAAGCCCATTTCCAAATGTCAGGAAGTATATGTAAACTACTCCTGTAAAAAAGAGTTAAGCACTTAAATAATGTAAGTTTATCCTATAGGTTATTATTATCAATACTCTGAATCTCGACATAAAACCTTTAGGAACTAGAGAATTTCATGCTCACCACTGCCCAGCCAACTGATCAGCTTGAATAGAACTATTACCACTGCTGTCATAATTGAAGTAGGAACCATTCCATAGTGTGCTATATACAGCTTTTGCCTTCTGAAACTTGACCCAGAAGTAGCTAGCAGATGCATTGTCACCAACTTCACACGCCAGGGCTGAAGTAGCCTGGAGCGCCGCCACCCAAAGCCCACCACAATATGCACTCACACCAGTAACAGACCATGCATCATAGGTTTGATCAGGGAATCCCTCGTTCTCAATCATACCATCTCCATCCTTGTCAAACTGATCCATATAAGCCATTGCAACATAAACTGATGGCCAAACAGCTTGTGCAAAACTTTTATCCCCAGTAGCAATTACATCCCTGTATATTTGGAGTACAAATTTAGAATTCAAGTCCTTCCATCTTGATGTACTGAAAAGATTATAAGCATTTACTTCAAACCAAGGGTCATTAAGCCCAATATCATGTGGAACAGCACCGAGAACTGTTCGTGGAACCTGCTTTCCATCGCTCATCACTTGCATCTTAGTAGGATCATGCATCATCACTCCAGCTGCAAAGTCTCTTTGGATGCTTAGCTCAAGTTTCGGGAATAGCATTAGAAGTGCAAAAGATGAGTAGAAATGAACATCATAGGTATTCCACATGAGGTATTCAGAACCTTCAAGGTACAGGAATTGACCAATATTTTCTTCTCCAATTTGGAGCAAATTTGTTCCGAAAGCAGCATTTGAGATTTCTGGATTTTGTATTTGCTCATATATAGATGCCATCCTTTCTAGGATTCCAATAGCTGTATCATTCTTGTGAGCCATACCATAAGTATTTCCGAAATCTGAGCTTGACTTATCCAGAAAAAATTTTCTATCTTTAATTGCTTGAAAACTTTGCATTGGAGGTGATCCATCTGGGGAAAGTAAATGTTTAATATTGATAAAGAGTAAACCAGGTTCCTGCAATTACATATTGAACTACATAAATCATGATCTGTCATAATATACCTGTCCAAACAGTTCCCCCAGCAGTGAGATAATAAAGCTCATTGAAGAGAGCAATAGGATACCTAGAAACAAATTTCTTGCAGTTAATTTCTTTTTAAATATTATAGCCATAAAAATGAAGAAAAAGAATTAAACTATTGGAAGTTTTAATATGGACTCATACTTTTAGCAGAAGATTCGTCTTATCTTACCATTCAGGAAGTCTTTTGTCTTCGAGAATTGGTCTTTGCCATGCTTCTATCTCAGATTCCCAATGAGCATGCTCTAGTTTCAAAAGGAAGAAAAAGGAAAAATATTTGAGTTCCGTATTATTCTCTCTCCATTTATTTCTTTCTTTTTTTTTTTTTTTTTTTTTGAGCATGCTCTATTTCAAAAGGAAGAAAAAGGAAAAATATTTTGAGTTCCGTATTATTCTCTTCCATTTATTGTCTTTCTTTTTTTTTTTTTTTTTTTGAAAAAGCTACTGCCACTTGTTTTTTGGTTTTATTTTTCCTTTTGATACGCCTTCCATCCAATTTCGGCATTAACCAAACTAGGGACCTTTCAGCTGAATGACTATTTCAGTGGACCAGTATTGCTCGTAAGAAATTTTTTTTTTTTTTTTTTTTTGAAAAAAGCTACTGCACTTGTTTTTGGTTTTTATTTTTCCTTTTGATACGCCTTCCATCCAATTTCGGACATAACAACTAGGACCTCAGTGAATGACTATTCAGTGACCAGTATTGCTCGTAAGAAAAAAAATACTGATTCTGTTCATATCAACAAACAGAAAGCAACTCGAACTATATCAAATTTTGCAAAGATGATGCATAAGTAAAATTCTCTTCTTAATGCTGTAGAGAAATATATGCTGGTTTCTGAAATGCTTGTGACAGAAGAATTTGCATTTCATAATGTTTTGAAAATTAAATGTTTCATTCATAAAAATGATATTATTTCTTTTTTTATTATAAATACCTGCATATAGTTTCCGGGCTGAATCTCCAATTATAGCAGTAAAGAGGATGGGATATTCCCAAGAATGGCTCTCTAAAGTTCGAGGGATTTCAGAAGACTGATTCTGAACAATTCTATTACAGTCCCAAGTTTGGATCTAGTTGTGTATATTTGATTAGATTTAAACATAGAATTGGGGCTTGTTAAGGGAGTACCTTACAATCTCTTAGGACTTGTTGACAAAGAACCCTACAATCTCTTAGAGCTCGTTAAGGTAGAGCTTGTTAAGGAAGGACTCTAGAATCTCTGAGTTTTAGGATCTCAAAAACTAGAGTAAAATTCATTGATTGTTGAAAATCCCTCGATCATTGTAATATCTAGTTTGAGGGTTTTGAAATCTCATATAAGAGGTAGAATTCTGTTGCATTCCTCATGAATGAGGGATTTCATGACCATTTATTATAAAAAAACGCCCTTTGTTTCTACTGCTCTAATCTTCATACCAAAGAAATGAAACAACATAATGGAATCAGATATCCAGATTTTCAATTCCATATATTCTGAAAATCTTCAATCCAAATGGGGCCTAAAATTACCAAGAATAGCATCATGTGCAATATCAGCAGCTGCATCCCCTAGAGTGCCATAGAATTTTGTATAACGCCTGTTTTTGAGGTGTTTTTATCAGTTCAAGGAATGCATATAACATAACAAACCAAGTAATAGCGCAAGTTCTAGGGAACAAAAGGCAGTTCACCTATGATAACTTCTTCCGCTAAATCTTACTTCTGGGCTGTCCCATGCCAATGAAAATGTTACAGTACGGACACAGTCAGGAGGAATAGACACCGAGGCTGCTATCGCTGCACCAATGGACGATCCTGGTTCTGAAGGTGAGGTTTTGTAGGAGCCTAGGTGATCAAATGTTCCATGCTACAAGAATAAAGGTTAGAAAATTCAAAAAACTTTGCGAAATCCTTGTATCGTTGTCAAGTAGAAATTGCATATTAGTCCCTACAAAATTTGTGCTCTTGAAAGGTAGAAATGCGGTCATGACAAGAAGAGAAGACGTACCTTTTTAATTTCCTCCCACATTTCTTTTGCTGTAATGCCCTGAGAATTGCCTGATGTAGCGAAGCAAGGGCATTCTGATACATGTATATCAGGTGTCTCTTGTGCTGCAATGGCAAAAGTAAATGGAGGCTGTCCATCTGGTGTTCTGCAGGAATTAGGCTTAGGATTAGAGTTACAAGGAGGCCTTGATATCATATCAAGCATATGGAAGGGAATTTTACTTGTTAAATTGGGAGCTAGAACTATTTTCAGAAATTAGGACTCACTTGTGCTGTAAATTGACTACATGAACTCCATCTTCTTTCCTGTTATGAGCTAATAACTGTATTAGTTGATTGAACTATTAGATTAGATGAAATATCAACTTGCAGCAGAACATTATATCTGGTGCAAATGATAAGTTCCAGTTAAATAAATATATAGAACTTACATGATAATTGAGTTGGAATGATGACCAGAAAATCCTGAGACACCACCAACCGAATTCTGGACGATGAAAAGTTAAAATTTTAAATAGGTTATGTCAGACAAATTTGTAAAAACTCCATTCTCTTTTTTTTCTTCTATGATACTATAACCACATTCCTGCAGCTAGTCTGCTTAAAAAGAAAGAAAAATTCTATGAAGAACATGTTCCTAAACTTACAGCCCATGTAAAGAGCAGAGTGACATCTGCTGAAGTCCTTCCATAATTAGATAACTGAAATAAGCATATAATAACATACTTAAGTCCTCAATCAAGCTAAAGAGAACTAATAATGACAAGATTACATTTCTTTGAGTCTCTGTCTTACTGTGAATGTAAAGACTGATACAGGAAAGCTGCTTTCTTTATAGTTGTGAGGAATGAAAGGTGAGATTTGGCGCGAAACAATTTTAAGTTCTGGATCTGGTTCATCTGGTTTACAAATATTTGTTATATTTCTAATTATGAATATCTAATTCCTAATTTTATGTCTGCAGTGTCACTGAAGCAGATATTACCTTCATAGGTTGTCCAGGCCCTTGGAAACAAACCATGGTATGTACATTTTTCGCCTTTCAGATTCCAATCCCATGATTCAATTCCTGAGCCTGTGCTTTCTCTGCATATTGCAATTCATGAGAAAATATAACTGTATTTCTTAAGGATTTAGAAATCAGATCACGAGGAAATAATTTAAGCAGAAAATGTTAATTACTGTATAGTCCTTCTGGTTTAACCATATTCATTAATCGGAACCTCTATTTATTCGACTCGGTCACTACGGTACAAATTCATTCTGTCGACTGCTTAATCATTTTGTTAAGTTTTTCCTTAGGCAAAGGAATTACAATGAATTAATATTTGGTCTTAAAATTGCGAAAAATTCTTTAGTCATGAGCTGTATTTAACAAACCTTAGAGACTAAATAGTTTATAGAATGAATTATTAAGTACTTAATCTTAATAATTTATTTTTTAAGATAGCATACCATATTAGAGAGCTTAAATAGCAATTAAGAAAATACCATATTAGAGGGCTTAAATACCAATTAAGAGAAAGAAAACTAAAGAATATGGTATTGGTAGCTTACTTTGGTATCTCTGGCTTTCTTGAACACAATACAGTAGAAAACTTGTTACCGTTTGGGCGGGTAACAAAAACCTACAAGAGATAGCAAAATTTCACTAATGGTTAGGGAACATAATTGTCTCTAATGATTCCTCTAACTTGCTATAGCATGTGTTTGAATTTCTGAGGAGCTTGTGTTTCATTATATGGCTACATGCCAATTTACTCTCTTCTTTACACTACCATAAATCAATATAAATTTCCTTATGAATTTCAGAGTGAATTATTATTTTGTTCTTATAATTATTGAATTTACAAATTATAACTTTTGCTTTCGAAAATTAATTAAATAGTCCTCAATTTTGTTATTGTTTAACTAAATAATCTTTCAATTAATTTGTCAATTTAATTGTGATAAAATGTTAACTTCACCTTTAACATTTACCATGATTTACCATGAGTTAAATAGTGATTTACCATGATTCAAATGAGATCTTCTTTCTTTTCTTAAAAGAAATATTTTAAGAAATATTAATTCTTTTGGGAAATTAAAAAAAAAAATCATGATTTGATCTATGCTTACAAAATTGGAAACTAAAATGATCTGTCCTTATATATGATACATTTGTACATAAGAGTTCATCTATTTATATTATTTCAGGCAATAAAGTAAAACAAAAAATAAAGAAAGATGAACTTACTGAAAACTGATTTGCTAAAATGGGGCTTTCTTCACATATTAATGGAAACAATTTAAAGAATTGAAATTCCCCTTTGTAGCTTCTTCCAATGTTTCCTGCTCTGAAATTTGTAATCTCAAATAACAACAGTCACAATTTTTAATTTTACGTAAATAGCTTTATAATACCTTCAATTTTTAATTTCACTTATTGAACACTTCAGCTTACAAAGTTGTATCCGTTAAATATTTCAACTTACAAAATTATTCTATTGAACATTCAAATTTGTAAAATTAGATCGTTTTATATGCTTATTGAATAGTTGAAAAATATAAAAATTATTATTTTAAAAATTATAATAACCACACATCAAGTGAATATTTTTTATATAATTTTTATTTTTTTTGTAAAGTATAAGGGTAAATTTATGAATTTGACCCAAAGAGACAATCTACAACAATGTTGTTCGATTAATAATTTAGTACTTAAATTTATGATCCAATCCATAAATTTGACATTGAATTTTAAATTAATGGATGCTTGTCGTGACCACCTGAATTTTCTAAGGTTTAATTATAAATCTACATTTTTTAGTTTCAATAATAGCTATGTTCTCGTTAAAATAAAATATGAAAATTCAGGGTCAGTGATATGACCGTGCACTTTCAAGAATTGAATTAAATAATATTATTAATTTATATTATGAAAATTTTTATGTTGGTAGAATTTATTAGAGTATTTTAATAATAATTGAAATTAAATATTAATTCACATTTTAAAAAATAATAACAGAAATTCAGTAATATGCACAGGCATGGTGTAGTTGTCAATTGTCACAATCACTGTAGGTCAAAGAAAACGACCTACCCAATACCGCCTAAGGGAACGGCGTGATCACCCGTAATCACACGCTTCTTGGAAAAGTCAAATATTGGAAACTGAAAAAGAAAAAAAAAAGTTGACAATTTGTATAAAAAAATATTATATATTTTTTTAAATTTAATAGTTTCGACTTTTACAAAAAATTAAATAAATAATTGAATAGTCTCAATAAATTATAAAATTATAAATGAAATTAAGAGTGATCGACTAAATTACTCTTTTGCTTGGAACGAATTTAAATGCATATGTCTAAACAAGCATAAAATTGGGATAAAATAATTAATGTTATTTTAATTTTCTGAAAATGTCATCCGCGAAGCATAAAAGAAGTAAAAAACTGTCAAATGAAACGGAGAAAACTTCATTTTGACTTCATAATTTAATAAAATTTAAAATTAATTCCTATATTTCGTAAATTTGAGAATTTTTGAATTTTTTTGTCCATTTAAATGATTCTTTCAGAAAATTAAAATAGCAGTAAATTTTTTTTTTCAACATTTAGATGATACAAAATCTAAGTTCTTTTTTTTTTATAATCTTAAATGTCTTATTTATAAAAAAATATTAAATACAACATGTATATGTTTAGATTAAATTATTGAATAAAACTTGATTTCTTTCCCACAAGCATAAAATTAAAAGAAAAAAAATTTTCCATATTTAACTTCTTCTTAAGTTGATTAACGAAAAAAAAAAAGTAAAATTTTTACAAAAAGACTATTTAGTTGAACATAAATAAATAAATAAAATTTTAATTTTTAAAAATAAAGATCTAATTCATAATTTTTATAAAATTATAATAATAAATAACAATTCACCCAAAAATATATTAATTACTCTTCTTTTCGCTGCTTCTTCCTTGGTGTAACGCCATAGTCGCAGGCCTATTGGAAGCTTCCAAAAAAAAAAAAAAAAAGAAAAAAACATGTAATTTTTAGTAAAATTATAATAGATTAAATAACAATTCACCCAAAAATATATTAATTACTCTTCTTTTCGCTGCTTCTGTCCTTGGTGTAACGCCATAGTCGCAGCCTATTGGAAGCTTCCAAAAAAAAACAAAAAAAAAAAAAAAAGTCAAAAAATGCAACAGCTACGTAAGATAAATATAATAATTAACAACTAATGCAAATAATTGTTACTAAAACTGAATTAAGCCCAAATTATAATTAAAAACTCAAAATTGAATTGAACGGAATTAATAAATTCAAATTGAATTTTTTTGTTAAGTATTTGAGAGATTAAATATTCAAATTTAAATCTATTGTCAAATCGTACATATACTTATTTGGGTGTGTCTTCGTCCCTAAGTTGTAAGTGTCCGAATCATGAAAGTATGAAATAGAAATAAAAGTATAGCATACCATATGCATTATTTCTCGAAAACTTAGGTTGAAAGCCAAAGGTATATTTCCATTAGCATTCAGCTGTCGTTGCCAAGTTAGTAAAGGAGGTTTTCCTGGCGATATCTAATTATTGAAAATACACAAATTTATAAATTATAAAAAATAAGATGAAATATTAAAGTTATAAATAAATATTAACTTCATAAATATATATATATATATATGATAACACGCACCTCGTGTGCAGAAGAATCTTTTTCAGCATTTTCTTTCACAGTATCCTCCACCATGTCTGAGGTAATAAAGAGGAATAAAATCATGACAAAGCATCACCAAATTATGTCCATTTTCTTTTCAATATTCCCATGCTTTTTAAAATGTCTGATTTAGGATTTCAGATTCTCGGTTTGATTTCAATTTTGACTCAACGGATTCGATTTGATTTCGATCTCTTTAAAGCTAAAATCCAGTAGAAATATAATTCAGAAAATAATCCAATACATAAAGGGTTTATTTTCTGATTTGCTTTGCTGAAGATAATCAAAATCAAATACGAAATAAAAATCAATTAAATAAACATTTAGAAATTAGTTCTAACTAAAAAAAAACACATAACCAACAGTAGAAATAATTTCTCAAAAAAAAAAAAAAAAAAAAAAAATTTCTTCAGAAAAAAAAAAAAAAAAAAAACAGTAAAAAAAAAAAAAAAAAAAAAAAACAGTAGAAATAATTAAACTACAATATTTTTTAAAAAGAAAATGGAAAAATCAAAGTAAAAACTGAGAACCACCTCCGGAACCAGGCATGCTGGTTCAATGCACCGATGGCTTCGGTTCACTGAAGCACGGATTCAAGTCTAACATGTTAAACCTGAATCAGGCCTTCAATTGATAGTTCTTGGCCGACTCTGGTTCTGATTGGTTTTGGTTCAATTTTAATGAATCGAAGATTCTGATTTTTTGTGCATTTTTTTTTCTAAAAAAAAATGCTGAGAAAGTGAGAATTTCATCTCAAAGTTATACGCGACTTTTTTTATAAAAAAAAAAAATCGAATTTTAGAAAATAGACCCATAATTTTTGCTATCTAAACCAAACAATACATTTCTAAATTTTAAACGATGTGGACTATATTTGTTTATTCACAATTGAAAATGGGCTGAAGAGCCAAAAATTTTCACAAAATAATTTTAGGTGTGCCTATATTGAACCGGACAAGACTGAACCGCCGGTTCAACATCCAGTTTCGAGCCGTTTCGGTTACTTTTTTCCGGAAATATAAACCTTAACCAACCTGAGAACCGCTGGTTCTGATTCAAATATTTGAACCATCCATTTCAGGCTGATTTCAGTTTATCAAATTGTGGTTCAGTTCAGGTCCAGTTCCGGTTCAAACCAGCCCGGTGGCAAATTGAGACCGGAACCCACAATCAAAATGAGGGAGTTAACGAGTCAAGTCAACAAAGCCAACTCATGGGAATCATCAAGAAGTTTACTCTTAACAAATAATAACTTCTATGAAAAAATGAGATCAGATAGCTATGAAAGGAAATCGAAAAGGAAATTAAGGAGAAATATAAAATGAAATGAGATCAGATGGCCGTTAAGATGGTAGATCCACCACCACAATAAAATCTGCACCAAGTATGAGATTAAAAGGATAGAGAAGGCAAAAATAATGGAAAAAGAAGAAAGAGAGAGGAAGGACTTATCTAAACCTGGATTATTTCATACACCAAACTAATCAAAAACAGTGAGGGAGAATAGTTGATCACAAGTGGCTCTTTTTTTGTCCTTGTTTTACTTGCCTCACGGCTTTTTTATTCTACTACAAGACAATGTCTAAAGCAAATAAAGCATCACTGAAAGCTAAGATTCATTGACATTCAGAGAAAAGCAGAGTAAAATTACTTGCTCTGTTTCCTTTAATATATACCACCGATTGTAATAGACGAATACAACATTATATCAAATATTGAATGACCCATTTTTAGAAAAGAACTGAATTTGATATTTAATGCAAAAAGGTTGAGAGTTTCTTGTTTATATATCAAGTGTTTGTTAAAACAGAGGAAAACCAATAAGAAACAGAGCATTCTCTTGGTCTTGGATCGACCTTTGTTTTCCGTTTTATTATCAGTTACCATTTCCTAAAAGCATAAAATTCAATTAAAAACAAAAATCATATTCAATTTCTTAAAACTTAACTTTCAGGATTAAAATCAGTATATTCATTTTCAAACTAAAAACAGAGCTGCAAGACTAACCTGGAATTGCAAAATTGCTGTCTTTTTTGGATTAAGCAGCGAGAGAGAGATTGATTTTGATTAGAAGCAAAAATAGTGAATAATAATAAGGTTGTTCCAGAAAATTGCAGACCAGTTGATTGGGAAAAAATGGATAATGGGTGATGAAGTTTCCAAGTTTCTCTATTATTGTATGGCTATGGCATATTTTTCTTTTTTTCAATGCTTTGTTTGGTAATGTGGTTGGTGAGAGTTGTGAATTATTACTATTCAAATACAATAAAACTATAACTTATCATTGTATGTTCTTATCTGTCAACCTGTCATTGTCTATTTGCGTGTAACTTAAGGAAAAACACAGAAAACATTATTATTTAGTTTATTTTAAAAACTAGAAAATTAAACCTTCTAAAAAGAAAAAAAAAAAAAAACTAGGAAAAAAAGTTATAAAAAAAATATCGTAATAAATGTCAAAATTTGAAATTTAATTTAAAAAAATATCAGTTTGACTTTGAAATTTAAATAATTATTGTTATTCATTATATACTTTTAATATCGTCTCTTTTGCCCTTATAAATTTTCTTATTGTTCTTTTTCCTTCTGCTGATTAAAGTTTCAATATCAAACCAAAGTGAGTATGTGGATTGACATGAATTTGTGACAAATGCCATTGCTTTGTCTCGTGAGCTTAACCTTAGGCTCCTTTCTCATAACTTAAGGTTGAGCTCGCTTCCCAACAAGCAATAGCTCCTTGGAAGAAAGAATGACTTTAGAAGAACTTGGCCGTCATCTAATAAAAAGGGCTTCCATTTTTTTCAAATTAACGATTTCAAGACCTATTAATTCTGACAGCTGATTGTAGAGTCGATTTGCACTCGTTGTTCTCATTATTGGTATTGTTTCACAATTTTATTTTTGATTCATAAAATATGTTCATTTTATGTTTTTGATCGATTGTTTATTATTGGAAATATCTCTATCAGTTTTGTTGTACAACCAGTATTCTTGATTTTGTTTGGATTGATACAATATATGCACCGCATTTAATTGGTTTGATCCACTGTGTTAATTTGTGTATATGTGTCTATTATGTATTTAATTGATTTTATAGTATTTACTGATACAACATATATATACACACATATATACACACAGTATATACCATGTATATCGTGTTTACCTTCGCTGTTGTTGCCATCATATGTCGTTATAATCGTGGTTGAATCACATAAGCTGTATAGGAATTTGCTGTTACAGATTTCGTATTTCCTTGTGTTTCTTTTGTTCAGTGTTTCCTTGTTTAGTGTTTTTTTTTTAATATTTCTTTTTTTTAGTGTTTCTCGTTTCTCTTGCAAGATAACCAAATTTGTTACTCCCTCTCTTCTCTTTATTAAGAGAAAATAGAAAATGCACGGGAATTTAGGTGGTAGTTAAACTAAATATCTTTTTCATTTTCTACCTAATATATCCTAATTTGCATTAATTGTTTTTTAGTTTTCATGGAGCCAACTCACAAAAAGAGAGTCCCCAGAGGACATTTATTTGAGAATTAATGCCTGAAATGGAGGGAATATTTAAGGAAATGCTGTAAATATTTTGAGAATTCAAAATTTCCAAATTTGATTTTTACAATTCAAAATTTTGATTGCCCCGCATTTATATTGAGTGCTAAGGGTTTTCAATAATATACGACCAAATTTAGTGAAAATTTGGGCCAAAATTTTTTGTTAAACCAACAATCTCCTCAACTTCTATAATATGGTTCCATATAAATTTCAACTAGACTTAGAACACATGTTTTTGTTTAGTTATCTTTTGTTTTCTGGCTTCTGTGGTCGTTTTTTTGCTCAATGATTTCATAATGAGAAGGCACAGGGCGACAATTGTGAAAATGAAAGGATTGTGGAGAGGTGCAACGAACAGTTTTCAAATATTGTGTCTCTTTATATTTCGAAATCTTTATTTGAAGAGGGAGAAAAAAAGATGCATAACCCTACAAATACACACTATCGTATGTAATAAAAACATAATGCTGATAGACAAAGATAATAAAATGAGCACACATTTATAAATTGAGCACATTTAAACGACTTAAGACCCTTATAGGCAAAATAAATATGTGTCAAATATATTTTTAATATGAACACATTTGTTAATTCTCAATAGTTTACAATTCTGTAATAAAATAAACATTGACTTTTACTTTGGAAACACAAGGGCATTAAATGTCCATTTTTTTTTTTGCCACTTTCTCTTGCTAACCGTGCACAATTAACACGGGGACTCAAATGAAATGAACGTATTTTAGTCTTTGAACAATTGCATCCTTTCTAAAATTTTTATTTTAAATAAATTTTTCTATATAAAAAGAATCCTGAAATAGAAATTTTCTCTAAATAAAAAATCACATAAAGTATTATCTCATTAAGTATTATTTCTTGACATTTTGTTGGAATCGAAACATGATACACGACATTTGCTAAATTGCCCCATTAATTAATTCACAGTCCAAACTTTACTTGTAGATATAATGGGCCGCGTTAGACTTTTAGCCGAGACAGAGATATATATTAGCCCATTGGTTTTATTATTTTTAAATTTATTTTTCCTTCAGTTTCTCTCACTTTCTTTTGCACATAGGACGATTATGAACAACTTGTTTTAGTTGTTACCTTTCACATTTGGTGATCGATCCAGAAAAACTGTATGGACAGAGAAATGGACTCTTCAAAGAATCTAACTTCACTTCCCGAAGAGGTCTTAGAAGGCGAGAAACAACAAGAAGAGGAAAGCCAAAAGCCATTTGTCTCCGCTTTTGATGCTGTTCCTCATCGCCCTCCTCCTCCTGCTCAGTAACTGCAAATTATTAATTAAGTATTGAATTCTTATTTCTTTTTCTGGTTGATTGAATCGAATTTTTCATTGAAAATGTTCTTGTAGGAGTTCTTTACAGAAGTACTCTCCTTTGGACTGGAAGGAGTTCTTTGATCGAGAACAAGATGTTTCAATTCCAAATAAAAATGATGTTAGTGTTGGTTTATGCTTTAACAGCAAATTTTATTTTTTTTCATTTGTTCTTATTATGTGTGATTGTTCTCTTCTAATTTTCTTTATCAATATAGGTATTTCATGTGTATATGGCAGGAACTGAAGGACCAGTTGTTTTCTGTCTTCATGGAGGTGGCTATTCTGGGTATGTTTGATAGTGTTTTTGCTCGGGTCATTTTATGATTTTCGATACCTTTTGAGAAAAAAAGAAAAAAACAAAGTGTAGTGCTTGAAGTGAGATAATTATTCTGTTTGCATTTTCTTTTTCTGTTGAAAATGCTTGAACTAATAAGGAGCTAACAATTATTTTCTTCTGCCAAAGAGTGTTTTTTTTTACATGTATATGGAACTTTCTTTTTTTTGGTATTGTTTATTGACAGTTATGTATCAATGCAGTTTCTTCTAGAATGTAGAACATAAAGGAGTTGATTAAACAAAAAATGATGTCAATGCAGTTTCTTCTAGAATGTAGAACATAAAGGAGTTGATTAAAAAAAAAATGATGTCAATGCAGTTTCTTCTAGAATGTAGAACATAAAGGAGTTGATTAAAAAAAAATGATGCCTCTTAATTAAGAAAAATGATGCATCTCTTGCAGATGGTAACAGATTTGGAGTTTGGGATTTGATACCTTGATTATATTCATTCTCTTGGGCTGTTTCTGCCCCTCAAATCAATTATATACACAGTTATTTATCATTTAAGAAAATGGTTTGTAAACTTTGTCATTCTGATTAATATAAATTACCACTGGGGCAGGCTTTCGTTTGCACTGTCAGCAAGTAAAATCAAGGAGAAAGTCCGTGTAGTTTCCCTTGACCTGAGAGGACATGGGAAAACATCCACAGAAAATGATCTTGACCTATCTATTGAGGTAGTAATGTTATATTCTGTCCGTATAATTTAATGACACTGTTTGTAACTAGTCATGTTTTTCAGATTTTATGTTCTGGAAAATTCTTTTCTAATATTCTTTTGTATTGTAATATATATGCTATCTTAAGCATCTTGTCATATGTGCAGACAATGTGCAATGATGTTTTAGCAGTATTGAAGGAAATGTATGGAGATTCTCCTCCCGCGATTGTGCTAGTTGGCCACAGGTTGTGCTCTTTCTGTATGTTAATTTGCTTGGAAGATTGATTTTTTAGTATTTTTAAGTTCATGTAAATTTGAAGTTAAAGAAAAGCAATAGCTAATCACTTCAATCTTTTCAACCATATTCCAAGTTTTCCATCCCTCCTCCAAACCCCCTCTTGCACTATGAATGCTGTTATATTGTGATGCTTAATATTATTGATATTTACAAGGTTTTTTTTTGGATGGGCTTGGTGTTATGGGAGAGAGGAGTGAGGCCAGATGATTGTCTAAAATATCACGTACTTTGAAATTTTAACAGATATTATTTCATTACTTTTAAGCATATGCCTGTTGTTGTAATGGCCTTTGCCAAACAACTATCAAGAAATGTTGTTAGCTGATCAAGGATGGGAATTGCGCAACTTCTATAAAGTTGTTATCTCTTAGTCAATAATTCTTGAATTGTTTAGTCCAACCATATCTCGTAAATTTTCCTTATATAAAATGAGGAAGCTATTTTGATATTGTGATTTTCATATTTCTTTTCTGTTTCTTTGGCAACTAAATTTGAAAATTTTTATTCTTTTATGCTTATATCTATTTCATAGTTTCCTCTATCTTTACTTCTGTTTTTTATTGTCCTCGCGTGATGGAACACAGCATGGGGGGCTCAGTTGCAGTGCATGTTGCTGCTAGGAAAGTGTTACCCAGCTTGCATGGGCTCGTTGTTGTTGATGTTGTAGAGGTCTGATTTTTAATAATAAAGTTTTAAGCGTTGCATCTGATGGTTTATTTCATATCGATCCTCTTTGAAGCTTTTGTTGTATAATGTGATGGAATTTCAGGGAACTGCTATGGCATCTTTGGTTCACATGCAGAAAATCTTATCAAACCGGATGCAACATTTCTCCAGCATAGAAAAAGCGGTATTCATAATTTCTTGGTCCCAATTATTTCCTATCTAGTAGTTCTTTGGATATCATGATTTGTTCGTACCTGTTTATTTCCGAAGTTGTAAAATTGAGAATCAAAATTCTAACTTTATGAATCAAGAATCAAATTATATTGTAATATTTAGTTCAAATTCTCTTATCAGTTAGAAATGGCACAGGCGTTGTTCAATGAAATCTTTTCACTAATATATAGAATTCTATGACCAATCAGGATTGTGAGTGCTTTTAGGGTGAATGATGCGGATCATAGTTGTAATTAGTTCTTCTTAGACCTGCATTACATGTTTAGTAAATTAATACTGAAATATATTCTCGTATAAATTCAATGACAGGACTATTTGAAATTCATATGATATCTGGAGTCTAGACATGTACAGAAAGACAGAATTTCTTTTTTTTTTTTTTTTTTTTTTTTATGGACAGGCACTATTTGAAATTCATATGATATCTGGAGTCTAGGACATGTACAGAAAGACAGATATTTCTTTTTTTTTTTTTTTTTTTTTTTTTTTTTTTTTTTTTTTTACTAATACTTTTGTTGCTTTCACAATTTCACCTTTTAATAAGTTTCCTATGATTTATAGGTGTTTTTATGTTCTATATTTTATATAGAATGTTGCCAAAGTTTTTCTCTTTATGACCACTGTCATCTTTGCAAGCTCCATTTTTTCACTTTTTATTAGCTTTACTGTTTCCTTTGTTTTTTTCTTTGGAGAGGGAAGGCAGAATGAAGAAAAGGACAAGTGAGGAACAGAACTGAGGATAAGTAGAGGGGAGACAAAAGAAAAAAAAAGGGATTAAGGAGGAAGAAATTCAACTTTTCACTTATGATTAGCTCTAGTGGTTTCTTTTACCTTCAGAGAGAGAGAGAGAGAGAAAGAAAAATGAAAGAAAAGACAAGTGATGAATAGAAGTAAAGATAAGTGGGAAGATAATTTGAATTCTTACTTGAATGACTCCCTAAAAAAATAATCGTTTTCCTGATCCCTATGAAAAAGGTTAATCATTTAGGTATTGCATCAATTATTTGTGGATTACTTGCATGTGTTTGTGTTAGCTTATCCATTTACCTGTATCCAATAGTTGGTCCTTTTTAGCGAAGTCTGAAATTTAAACATTAGATGTGGTCATGCAGCTAGTAGCGGATCTAGAATATTTTTTTCTGGGGTCAATATAAATTTTATTGACAAAAGGGGGGTAAAAATATAAATTAATTGAATTTTATGGATTAATTTTGACAAATATACATATTTATATTAGAAAATTCCAAAAAAAAAAAAAAAAAAAAAAAAAAAAAAAAAGAAAAAAAAGAGGGGTCAATTATAAAAAAAAAAAAAAAAAAAAAGAAAAAAAAAGAGGGGTCAATTATTGACCGCTCTTTTTACTAAGTGGATCTGCCACTGCATGCAGCTAGCTATATATACCTCCATCTAACACCTGTACCCAAGTCTGAACAATACAAGTTTTAGGCTGATAATTTCCCAGTGAAGCTTATGCATGCTAATGAAGTAAGCGCTAATGAATTGGAAACTAATGTTTTTGCACCAGATAGAATGGAGTGTCAAGGGGGGTGTTTTGAGAAACATAGATTCTGCCCGTATATCTGTGCCCACCACTTTAAAGTATGATGATTCAAAGAAATGGTATGTACTTCTACCACAGTATGTTTGACCCACGGGAATATTCTTCCTTTGAACTTGTAACCAATTGCTACAATATAACATTCTAGAGCTTATAAATTGTTTATGAGCAGTTATTGCTTTTAATCTTAAATAAGCTTACAAAATGGCAGCTTGACTAACAAGGAGTTATTATTTTGTGCTGCAGTTATGTTTATCGATCACGTCTAGAGGAAACAGAACAATATTGGAGAGGATGGTATAACTTATTGTGCAATTCGTGTCCACTTCTATAAATTGTTTTATGATGATTACTTAATAATAGTTATATGATAAAAGCCAAATTCTTTTAGTGTGCAACCTGATTACAATTTTCAATTTCAGTGCTAAATGTGGAATGCAATTTTCTCACCTAGTGTCTTAAATATCCTTTATAGCATACACAGTTTCTGTTTAATTTTGAACTTGCTGAAGATCAAAGATACTTTACATTGCCTTGAGCATACTGATTATTGAACCAAAGAATTCTAGTTTAATTTCAAAATTAAGATATATTATTTTTGCTGTTCAATGGATGGGGAGGTCAGCACTTGAACCTTGACAGCTTATACTACAGCTTACTAGGTTACTTGCATAGTTGATTGTCATGTTGAAAAATTATTAATAAAAGAAAAGTAGCCATAGACGTATCTAGTTAAAAACTGTAATTAAGTAATTATGCATGTTCAAGTGTTATTTATTTCTTATATTTTCTATTGTTTTATTTTTGTCTTTAATTTTTTATATATTTACCAAGTGATGTACGCGATCAAACAAATAGGTTACAATTTTCAACCATCAATTAATGAAAAATATAATATTAGAATCTTGAAGTTTTGTAATTAATTGAAATAGTATCAAGATGAAATTAGACGGTGTTATAGAGGAAAAATTTGAGCATTTTAGGAATATAAAAGAGCTTTATTATCCTTTTTTGCCTGTCCATATAGGCATTTCCAATTCAAATATGTTGATGAATAAGCTACTTTGCATATCGTGCAGGTATGAAGGCCTTTCAGAAAAATTTCTGTCATGTCCTGTTCCAAAGCTCTTGCTTTTAGCAGGAACGGATAGACTGGACAGGTTAGGTTCAAGATTGTCTTAAATGGTGTTATTAAATAAGTTTGCATGTAAAAAAAAAGAAAAATGGACCATGATGGAATCATTGGTGAATAACAGGTTTTTGAGATGTAGCTAATGAAGTTTATGTGATCATGCAAGTTGTCATGTTATTAGCTGCCTTTACATATCAAATCTTGAATTTCATGGCACTAAGTATCTGAAAGGTGTTTTTACTTGGGATACATCCAGCAATTTTGCTAGTAACAAGCACTCAGTGTAATTGATTGTGGAACGATGGGAATTGGCAAGTTTATATTCTGATACTTTATTTCTGTTTTCATGACAGAACTCTTACAATTGGCCAAATGCAAGGGAAGTTCCAAATGGTAGTTGTCAGACACACTGGGCATGCTATACAGGTCAGCATCAGTTACTGTACATTCATAAGACATTTTAATTTCCTTAAACTTTCTTTTTTATTTTTTATTTTTAATTTCGGCTGGTGTACTCCAAATGATTGCAGGAAGATGTACCTGATGAATTTGCAGCATTGGTACTCAATTTTATATCTCGCAACCGTATAGGCCCTCATGGAGTCGAGGTTAGTGCCACTACTCTTAATTGCACAAATTAAATCACCAAACAGAGTGCTTATTTGGAGTACCCTCTAATATGAAATGTAAATTCTGTTGCAGATACCTGGACTCCTACGGCCATCACAGCCACAGCATTGAATCATGTTGGATAAATTAGTTGACAGCACTCTGTTGTGGAGAATTTATGGATTTGTGAATCATATGTTGGATAAAAAAGGGCGACCGGTGAAATCATATATTGGATATTAGTAAATACGTTTAGAGGTTTTCCTTTGTGAAATCTTGCTAATTCCTGAATTAACTTAGGCTTGTAGATTTTGAAGTGATATTACAAGCAATTATATAATTACAATGATGTGTTTGTCAGAATCTGCTCTGGTTGAATATCGAATTGGTTAGCCTTTTTTTTCTAGGTCAACTATGATCCTTTACAATGTGCATTGACATCAATTAGGGAATTTATTTGAAATTATATTTTTTTGGTTGAGGTATTCTCAAATTCACAACAAAGCAGGTTACTTAAATAGTTAAATCTATATCCATTAGTATGTATATATATCATACTAATTTGGAGAAAGGCTAAATTACATTTTAACTATATAATGCTAAGTATCTAATTTAGAATTTAAAAGTCATTACACTACCAAGGAAGACCAGCAGATTGGCATCAACTTATCTCCATTGGCTCCTGATCAGCATTTTCATTTTCTTTTCCCTCTTCATCAATCTGTGTCTCAACCGAAGTTTCGTTCTTGTCTTCATTTTGTTCCTCATTGCCAGTTTCTTCTTTATCCTCATCTATCCCATCTTCCGGTGTTGGTTTCTCTGGCCGTGGAAACACAGTTGTAACCAAGTCTAGTAGTTCTTCCACCCTGTCTCCCAAACGCTGATCAGGTTGCTCTATAAGCTGTCAAACAAAAGAAGCAAAAATTACTGATGCACTTGTAAAATATCACATATCTTAAGGATCACAAGCAACAATGGTCTTCCTGCTTGTGATTCTTGCAATTAGCACTTCCATCACACAAGCAAATGATAAAAGGAGATAATTACTTGTGGAAACAAAATTCTTGTGTTTGTCAGACATGTAACCTAAGCAAATGAAACACTCTACTAGATGCCTGTGAAACAAAAATATGCTTTAAAACCATCAGTAAAAGTCCTGTCACCTTATCCTACCAAGGGACAACTGCATTTACATAAAAAGGTTATCAGAAAGTCTTACAATTTTAAGGTTCACATTTCCCCTCACCACCCTTCATTTACAACATCTGATCCATGATGCATATCCAAAACTCATAAATAGAGTAGATTCAGGTCAACATTTGTTGTTAAATGGCCACTCTCCATAAAGCACGAGATTACAATTTGATAATTTGAAGAGGTTGATAATCCAAGGTAAATATGACAGTTTGATTCTCAACTAATGATTCATCTTGTTATGAGTTCTAGACTAATAATTTTCAAAACCAATCTCCCCTTGTTTTATTTCAGGCCGTCATCATATCAAAGCTTATCTGAAATATTCTGCAGCTGCTCACCAAATTTTACCAACAATTTGGCAATTGATTAATTAAAAGCATTGGAACATAATACTACCACTTCTATTTGGTAAAAATCGAATCGGATTAAAAATAAAAAGCGTGTTGCAAAAGGCTGGAGTTATTTATAACTGTCCATCTCTTTGTAGTTAAAATTAACATTTTGTCTCACTGTTCTCCTAATTTAATAATGTTAAGAGACTTCTAGCATCAAAACTTAATTAGGATAACAACCATATAAAATGTTTATAATTCATGTTCTTCACCTTAAAACCAAGCACCTTTATGAAAAGTAGAAAAGAAAGCAAGAATGATTATTTGGATTGCTTGACAAAAATCTACTCATATTCAAAAGAACTGATCTGCAGAATGATAATTATCTCCAGAACAAGACAATTGGACACTAGGATGACACCATAACCATACCAGGGAAGTAGGGTATGATGCATAATGCAGCTAATTCCCAGAGTTAAACAAATTTTGTGACTGTAAATGGAAAATAAGTAATAATTGATGCATGATACAAGACATTACAATCTACCATTTAAGAAGCCAAAAAAAATAAAAATAAAAATAAAAGGCAAGTTTCTAACATTTTCCCGATCCAAAAGACTAAACTAAAAAGCCATTCTACCCTCAAAACAGAGTCCAATAACCGAGAGCAGATATCCAAATGGGAGCTCCTACAGTAGCAAACAAGTAACACATATATGCAAATTGAGAAAATAACACAAAATACCTGACATTCATTCCTAAGCAAAATTTTCAGCAAACACACCATAAAAGGAGAGGTAGAAAGAGAGAGAATTATAATATTGGATTTACCGGCTCAAGTTCAACCAATTCATAAGGCACAATGTTAATGATATTGAGGATCTCAGCTTTTGCAAGTCTATACGGCTCACACTTTTCAAAAAATTCAGTGATTTGTTCTCTTGATTGCCAGCAAGCCGGAGTCTCTACCAAATAATCATAAACCTATAACAAAAACAACCAAAGAAATTAACAACCATTATGGTTTTATCTTCTTCCAGTCAATCCAAAGCCTACATGCCAAACTTTTCCACAATATAAAACTTATATATATATATATTACTGAAAAAAGAAACCTTGTACTCTGATTGTGATACTGGAGCAATAACCCTTGAAGAATCTTTTGAAGCACCTCTTGCCTTCAAAAATTCAAGTACTTCAAAATTGGTAAGTGCACCAGCATTGGCCTTTATTCTGCAAATGAGGCAAAAGTTTTTATGACAAGAACATATAAATCAAAATACAACAAAATAAAACCATGATAGTAGTTAGCTAAGCACATACATGTGCATTGGAGTATGATTCTTCAATTTCTCTGACAAAGGTCTTCAACACCAGCAGTAAACTTCACCAATGGAAACATATTGATTAGCTTTCTCTCTAAAAAAAAAAAAAAAAAAAACATATTGATTAGCTTTTCCTCTCTTAAAAAAAAAAAACAAAGAGAGAGAAGAAATTGGATTTATAGCCATTTTTTCCAGCCACGAATTCAACCTCAAACCATATAAAACAGCAACGAAAGCTTAAAAAAAAAAAAAAAAAAGAGAGAGAAGAAATTGGATTTATAGCAATTTATCCAAGCCCACGATTCCAACCTCACCATATAACAGCAAAACGAAAGCTAAAGCAGCAAACTCAAAGCAACTAGATTCTAAGAGGACAAATGACGAACACCTGGTGACTGATAGGATGACGGCGAGTATTTTAGGGCTTCAAAGCGCCGAATAAAGCTGCCACCGACTCTCAGAAGATGAAAGAGCTTCCTTTTGTCGTCAAATACTCAACGACGGTGAAATCGGAGACAGGTTTTTGAAATCTCCGTTGATTGATAAAGGCGAGAGGAGCAGTAATATGGAGTGTTCAACGTGAGTGAAGCTTTCATAAAGTAACAAAGCTACAAAATTTTTTTAATAAATAAGAGCGAGAAAGGATAATACAGTCATTTCGTTGGGTGTATTTAACAAAGTACGAGTGGAAATAGCGAAAAGCTTTCTGCGTATAGAAACTCTCTCTCTTTGATAAAACCCCAGCAAGTACCTCTGAAATCCAAATACTGACTATGAAAATCTCAAACCCTTCTAAGAGGAATATCAGGTACTTCTCAAACCCTAATTACTTTTTATTCTTTCATTACAAACTAAAACATTTTAATCCTCCTAAAACCCTAATTTGTGCTGCCTCATTCGGGTGTCCAATTTTGAGTTCATATTTCTTAAACCCCACTTCATATTCTTTAATTTTCATAACTGGGTTTTGTTCATTTTCTGAAACTTACCAATCTTCTCATCCTCTTTACATGTGTAAATGTAATGGTTATAGAAGTTTATCTTCATTTTCCTCAAATGGATTGCCTTCCCTTAGTTCTCTGATATACCCACATTCTCAAGCGTTACAAGTTTTAGGCTTTAGTAGATGTAATATTAGATATATCGGTTGTGCAAGTCAAATTTTGAATCTTGATTTGATGAAGTCTATGGCTCATGGTTGCTTTCGGCTTTATTCAGTGTCATCTACTGATGCTTCTCGGTATAAAAAATTGGGTACTGGTGAGCTTAGACCAAAAGCGACTGCAAAACAAGTTTCAGAGATTGTTAATTGGCTAACAAAAGACAAGGATGATTGGGAATCTAAGTTGAAAGTTCTCAATGTAAGACTATCTATTGCCTCGGGTATTCATGTTTTTGAAGTTTTGAATAATAAGAAAAAGTCTGCATTGCAGTTCTTTCATTGGATTAGAATTTGGCAGCCAGAATTGGGAATGAACTCTGATATTTGTAGTTTGGTTGTTGATAATTGTGGGCGTTTAGGTCATTACAATGCTATGCAATGTCTTCTGAATGATTTTAAGCTGAACAGATTGTCCCTAACTAAAAAGGCATTTGAGTTCTTACCTGTTATGGCTGCAAATGAGGAGTTGCTAAGGAAATCAACACAGAGTGTGATTGATATGTTACATGAAGTTGGGGGGACATGTTATGGTACTGGAGTTTACTCATTGGTCGAACTTTTCTGTGTTTTGGGATCCTTTGACATGGCGAAGTTTGTGATCGAGACAACTGAGAGGAAGTTGTCTTACTATGGTGTTTTCATTCGGGAAATGTGTAGGAGATGTGATTTTGAAGGAGCAGGAAATATGATGGATGAGATGAGGATGGCAGGCTGTGAGCCAAATGCCCAAATTTACAATTACATAATTAGTTGTTTGCTAAGGAATGGTAAGAAAGATGATGCTTGCAAATTGTTTCAGGAAATGAAAGAGAAGAATTGTCCTCCTGATGCATTAACATTTGAAATATTTATACATGACTCTTGTAAAGATCACAAGTTTGATATCGCTTTTGAATTTTTTGATGAAATGGTGTCGAGGGGTCTTGAGCCTCGGCTTTCAACACATGCTGTATTTATCAAGGGATTCTTCAACTCACAGCAGTACGGGGAGGCATACAAGTATGTTGTGGGCTCAGATGATAAGTATTCAGCCAGTATGAATTACACCTTGCTTGCAAGCCTTCATCAGAAGAGGGGAAATCTGGTTGCTGCTGAAAATATTCTTTCTGAAATGATTAAGAAGGGTCTTAGACCTCATTTTAAAGTGTATATGAAAGTCTTAAAGAACCTCGGGAAGTCAGGCGACGAAAAATTGGCTTTAGATTTGCAACAGAAGTTTTTCCAGCTTGAACATAGAGCTTAGTACAAGTATCACATGGGTTTTTTTTATATTTTTAATTGTAGCAATTAGTTTGCCCTGTGACTGACTAAGTTGTTTAATTGTAATTGACACATGTAAAGGGTAGTCAAGGTTTAAATTTTGATTAGGAGTTTGTCTTAACCAGATCTATAAGCTAAGCTTTGTAGAATAATGGCAGTGAATCAGCATAGGCATGGGCTAAAGTTGGGTGCCTAACAGAAAAGCACACTTGTATCCTTTTTTTATTTTTTTTATTTTTTATCTCTTTATATGAATGAGATGGCAAGAGCTCCTGTTGAGTGAGCATTTCTGCAAACACTTCCCTCTTAATTCTTATCTCTTAGTTTCATTATCAGCCTCAAATTGATCGGTTTTATTGGTTAGCTTATTTCAAAAGGTAGCAGAGTAGAGAATTAGAATATCAAATTTTAGTTTTCTGATCTGCAGACCCAACAGGTATTCAGCACAAGTTTTTCAATGCGAAATTATGTGGATTCCGAGCAACATAATAATGACTCAGTAATGAAATATTTTGGATTTGAAGATAATCTTTAAATACCCTACAAAACATTTTTGCATTGCATAGACAAGCAAGTTAATCATCAGCATCTCAGGTCCAACGATGCTGCTGTTTAACTAACGAAGGCACAAACATAAGAAAAGAAGATTCAGGTGAGAACGTCACAGCTGCAGCATCATTTCGTGAAGCAAAAGAATCCAGTCCTTAGGCACGATTGTTGAGGCCATGAAAGAAACGGTGTTTCCTCCGCTTGGAATGCCTTGCCGAACCCTTTGACATGACATAGGGCACAAATTGCACCTGCATACAACCAACGTATACCTCATCATGTACTCTAATGCCATATAGAGCCAGCCCTTTCATTTACTTTTTCTAACAAATGCATATCTTCCATCGGAAAAGAGAAGCAATCAGACGAATCAATTTCATAAGATTAGAAAAATGAATCGTTTAATAAAAATGAGTTAGCTAGGCTATGCAAGAAATTAGATAACTGAAGACAATGGAACCAAAAGCCATTATTTCAACTGGTTTGGTGAGATTTCCCTGAGACTTTCAAGTTTATTATCAGCAATGGGTTTCTAATTTGAAGTATGTCTATGACCCATCTTGGATTGCTCAATCACAAAGCTCAACTAATTGCAACTAGTAGAACAAAAACCTGAGAATTGTTGCGTATGCCAAAATCTTGAAGTGCAGAGTTGTCATCAAGAAGCTTTTGATTGCAGAAGGAAAGGGCAAAATTGGTCCAGACATGCTTCCTGCAAATCCAAAATCCTCAATCACAGGAGAAACCATGTATTAGACAGTGGCCAAGCTCAATAGATTCTTGGTTGCTCTAACAAAGAGAACAGGAAGAGAGTTTCTTCAAAAACATTAGCTTACCATGAAATATGTCGATGACCCATCTTGGATTGCTCCATTTCAATAATTTTCTTCTTAATTGCAAGCTTCAAATCCTTAACAGTCGCCGAATTCATCAGCGCCACATCTTTAGCAACGCAAAAAAAAAAAAAAAGAAAAATCTATTAAGTAACTGTTACGGCTCGCATATTAATTGTTTGTTATAATGCCAACAAGAGAAGAGAGTATAGCTTATTGAGTACCAAAGGAGGTGCCGTCCAGTTTGAGGACGGAGATTCGCATGGCGCTGCCTAATTCAAGGCTGATGAGAGTATCGACGTCGGATAAGGATGGTTTTTTGGGAACATCGGCAAGAATTGGATCGTCGAGGAGAGCTGCAAGTGTTGACTGTAATTTGGCCTTCTTTACATTGTTGATGTTGTACCCAATATCCTCTTCTCCCTTGGATATCGATTCCATAGTCGTCATCGTTTCCCCTCTCTGATTGAAAAAGGTGCGACGTCCGAACGCTGGAGGGTTCGTCTGTGACTCAGTCTGCCAAGACGGCTCGCTGCATCCACAACTCGTTGCTTGTTGCAGCCTTGTGTCGCAACAATGCGATACTACGCGTCACAGCCATAAACTCGCCAAGACGACACCTTCCAATTTTAAGCAAAAGAAGTCATAACGCCAAGTCGTTTGTCACACCCTGCATGGGACCAAAACACAATTTAAATAGAATTAAAATTTTTTTCAAAAATTCACCTCTAAAATTTCTTAACATTTTTCAATTTTATCCTTTAAAATAGTGTACTTTTTTAATTTTGGCCCTCCTAACTTTAAAAAAAAATAAATCGCCTTTTATGACTCTTCCATTGGCTCCTCTCGGTATAAAAAAATTAATCCAACCAAGTCGAAAAGAGTTTACATTAGAATTTAATTTAAAAATTATAATCCTCAATCAAATTAAAATCAAATCTAGAATAGTAAGTTTACATTCTAGTCATTCTCTTAAAGATTTCAAGAACAAAATGAACGTGAAAATCCTGAATTCAATAATCAAACTAGGGAAATTTACGATTTTATGGTTTGTGAAACACTACTAATATGTCTTTGTTTTTTAGAAAATAGATTAAAATTTTCTTATAGCTTACTTCCATCAAACTTTAAACTTTTTCTATTCTATTTTTGCATCTTTTCTTTAAGTATCTTATGAAATGGCGAAAATAATCTTTCTATTTTTAAAAACACAGAAACAGATTTAGTTGTAATTTTTCTTTAAGTATCTTATGAAATGACAGAAAATAATCTTTCTATTTTTAAAAACACAGAAACAGATTTAGTTGTAATTTTTCTTTAAGTATCTTATGAAATGACAGAAAATAATCTTTCTATTTTTAAAAACACACAGAAATACTCTTTTCTATTTTTAAAAAAACACAGAAACAGGATTTAAGTTTGGTATTTTTCAAATACATAAAAGAATTGTATATAATTGTTTCTGATATAATAAATTTTTTAGTGAATCTCTCGTTTAAGTATCTTATGAAATGACAGAAAATAATCTTTCTATTTTTAAAAACACAGAAACAGATTTAGTTGTATTTTTCAAATCATAAAGATTGTATTATAATTTTTCTGATATAAAATTTTAGTATCTCTCGTTTGACCTTTATTTTTTTTATTAACTTAACGAAATATATGCAAAAATTGAAAAAAAATGACTTAACGAAAGTAAAATATAAAGAAAAATTAAGATGTTTTAGAAAATATAAGTACAGATTAATTATATTTAGCAAATTATACTGTGATTTCCCTATCAAACTAGATTGATAGTGACTTTTCTAAACCTTAAGGCTAAATCAAATTGAAACCTCAGGAATCGATTTCCATATAGGCTATTAGGGTGCTGATCCCAAAAGAAACTTACCTAAAATTAGAGATTCAAGCAATCTGACAGCCCCTATATGGTACTGACAAATGCAGGTCTGGTGGAATAGCACTTTCTGTATTAAATAAACATCCCCATCCGGTGAGTCGAAAAAGTAATTAAGCCCAGGGGCCACGCCATTGGAAAATTTTGGTTCTCTTCTTCTTGTCATAAAAAGTAAATAATACCAGCGCCGCTTGATTCAATAATTGGACTCGGACTGAGGATTGGGTGAAAAGTTTTAGATTTGAATCGTGTTATTTAAAAGCGTTTTTATCAATTTAATAAATATAGAAGAGTATTATTTCTGTTGTGTTTAAGTATACTGAATCTCATTAGGTAATCGTAAAATTAAATCAGGGTTGACATTTTAAAAAAGATTTTCAACGAAAGAAATAGTTTTTCACAAGACGGTTAAAAATTATTAAATAAAAACTATTAAATATATTGACTCTGAGGTCTCCTTTTTTGTGGTTATTTTTTCTTATCTACCAATCTCCTTCTCATAATTGAGGTTTATATATAAGTTAAGTAATGCAACTTCCTCTTATTTATTACATTATTGTTTCCTAATGTCATAATCACTTCATCTTTTGACTATATTAAAAAAATTATGAATTGCTCAAATTGGAAGCAGTCTACATGAACTCAAAATAGAAAAATTATTCAAACATTTTATATATTATCTTTAACATAATATCACATTTAGGCTCTATAACACATTTTACATACCGGAGCAAAGCCGGAAACTATCCCTTCTCTTCAAAGTGACTTCGCCACTGATTACACACTAAAAGAGCTAATTAAATAAATATATATAAAAAAAAAAACTCCTCCAATGCTTAAAATAGAGCCTAATAATTACATCTTTAACGATTAAATTATTTGTTTTCTCTAATCAAAAGAATTTTGATACTTGCTTTTATGAATACAGTGTGTTAATTTTTAAGTATATAATATTTAATCTCCATTAATTACTTATTAATTAGTAATTCCAAATGGAAGTATCTTCAATTTCCTCTAACTCATTGAAATCAAAATCAACATTCTCCCAAGCTGTAGACTCTGCTAATAATAGAGCCCCAGCCAACTCCATCCACATCTTTGGTGAATCCAATGGCGTCTCATTAATAGCTTGAATTTGACTAGGCGAAAGCCCAATCCTTACAGGACCTAAACCATCGCCAACGCCACCACTACCTCCACCAGAGCCGCCGCAGCCACCAACCTCCGAACATTTTGTCGCCCTTATATTATTCCCAAACCTCATAGCCGCTTCTTGCGCTGCCATTTGCACATCCTCCGCACTAGAGCTCGCTGGCCTAGGTAAACTATCCACTAATTCCGGAAAGTTCAAGTGAGCTCCACTTCCTCGGAAATGCAATGCTGCCACATCATAAGCTGCGGCTGCCATCTCCGGTAATTCATAACTCCCTAACCAAATACGCGTTTTCTTACCTGGTTCCCGGATTTCAGACACCCATTTCCCCCATTTCCGTTGGCGGATGCCGCGATATCTTGAAGGAGGAAGGCCGGTGCGGCCACTGTCGACGGTGGTGGTATAGATATCTTCCATTGTAGTAGTTGAAGTAGCAAGAGTAGAGTATAGAGTATGGCTATATATAGAGATAAAGGGGATTATGGGACAGTTTGAAAAGAGGAGAAGAAGAGTAGCTTCCGTGTAAGTACGTAAGTGAGTGGGAAGATGCTGGCAGTGGCAATGCATTGCATGTACTCTTTTTTCTTTGGTCTTCCATGACACAACCATATGTTGCCACGTTGGCTCTTTTATTTAAAATAATAATTTTAATCAAAAAATTAATTACAATGCAAACGTATGCATATGTTGTCCTTAGTAGAAAACCAGGAAGGTCGTTGGATTTTTAATTATTACATTTTTTTTAAGAGGGTAATTATTACATTATAATTATTAATTAGGACCGTGAATATATGATTGATTGAAAAAGCTCTCGAATTCGAATTGCCTCGAAATTTTTTTATTCAGAAATTTGGTTATTTCACTTTCTTCAATTATAGTCTAATTCAAGATTTTAGTTTAGAAATTCAGAACTTTTCGTGATATAAATATGTAATTTATCTAATATTTTGATTTTTTTATTGTCAATATGTTATAGAGTGAAATAAAGAAAAAAAAAGATAAAAAATAAAAAATTATGTTTATGAACAAGTAAATAAATTAAAAAAAAAAACACATTCAAATATGATGATAAATCTAAAATTAATATATATATATATATATAATGGGATCGATATTCGGTTCTTGAGTTAATGCAATTCGATATTGTTGGCTATAATTTTCAATTTGGTTCTAAAAATTTAGAAGATTCTTCCGCGCCATGTTTCCTATACGTTGTCGTTCAATTATGGTGAACCCACATGCATAAAATACACTTTTCTTGCAACAATATTGCTTTTAATTTTTATGCAACTTTATATGAAATATTAATTATATAAAATTAAACTTTTATAAATTTTAAATTATTATATATAATTTTTAAAGCAATGAATTATATAAATTTTGACTTATCTATAGCTCCATCCACGCGCGAAATCAATAAATTATATAAATTTTTTAAAAAATCTTCCTATTTTATATTTTTTTTCTGAGTGAAATACGTCCATTTCAAGAAAATAATTATTTTCATTGGTTTATGTATCCACATTGCCACATCTGAATCTAGACTAATCACTTTAAAAAAAATGCATAAAGTGGAAAAAATAATTTTCATATTTTATAATTGTGGATATAAAAATCTATCCTTAACTTATTAAAACATTTCAATTTTCAGGAGAAAAAAAATTCTCAAAACATTTTGTATTTTATCAAGCGAATAAAAAATGTGAAATAATATAAAATTAATTATCAAACAATTGAACGGCTGTTTTAAAAATGAATCGAATTAGATAGGTATATTACGTAATTAATTATTTAAATTGTTATATTTTTCTTCAAAGAGAAACGGAAGTAAATTCATCCTTTTTTATTTGGTCAACATACCAATTAGTCTTTGTCCCATAATATTATTTTTTTCATTATGTCTAAAAAGTTTTTTACATTTAATATATTTTAATATTTAATTCCTGATATTACTATTAAATTATTATTTAATCCGCGACTTAACGGTAAAAATGGCACTTTTAAATGAATGATTAATTAATTTGAATAATTAAAACTCAAATTAATCAATATATTTACCAAATAGGAAGTATGAAATTATAATTAATGATTGAATATATAATTTAATCATAGACTTTGTTACTTTAATCTTGTGATATCTTCGACTTTTACTCTGACTCAATAAATAATTTAATTTATAAAATTACATATATTAAAGATACTTAAATTTACAAAATCATTTTATTGAACACTTCAACTTATAAATAAAATAAATTACACCTATTAAATAATTAAAAAAATATAAAAATTATTCTCCTAGATAAGATTAATATATAGCGCTCAATGACATGGACTAGTGGAAAGACATACGAGAGGTTAGGGGAGGGGAAGCGTAAGGAGGGTTACAATAATAAAAGTGTCATGTTTTGAAAGAGGTATATTAATGTAAAAGTAAGGACTGTTAATGTTTATTTTTTATGTTTGGGAAGACGTGAAGGAAGAGAGATAAAATTTATTTTTAGTTATAAATTAATTTAAATCTTATCTCTCCCTCCTTACGCCGAATTTCAGGTGTAAGAAAAATTAAAATTTGAAGAGGAAAGAACGACAAGACTCATCCTTATTTATTCTTACCTCTCTTTATCTCAATTCTTTTCAAACACGAATAGTTACGTTGCTTAGCACTCTTTATCTTATCTATCAATTCAAACAGGCTCTAAGAAATAAAGTCTTTTATAGGTTATACAATTGGCAATTAAGTTACCATGGTGGATGTCATCTCACTTGGTTTGGTTTCGTGTTCTCTTTCTTTTTGTTTTCTTTTTTCTTAAACTTACAAAAAAAAAGAAACGTGGAAAGCTTTATTTTCAATATCTAGTCCTGCTCTATTTTCAATTTTGTGTTTGTTCCATTTTGGAAGTATTAACAATGTTAATATAAGGTTGTGCTTGTATAAGAAACGCTAAGCCAGCCTCTAATTGCAACCTTTGCCGAAGTTCGAAGAACTCCCCTTGCGTCTCTGCCGCAACAAGGTTCACAGCTATTGCTCTCATTCCTTGGCTTATCCATTTCACTATATACTTTTCTAGAACTCTCCATCCAAGTGAATCCTATTTATCTTTTTACTTTCCATGTTGCTAGAACTAGCGGCTCTTGAATTGTTATCGTTGTATTTTGGGATACCATTAGATTTTTTAGGAATTTTCCTTTCTTGGCTCTGGTTTTGGGTTTGGTGGTGCCATAACTGTTGTTTAAATTGAAAATTTGAAGTTTTGAAGAAAATGGGTATTTGGGATTAAAGAAAAGCAAGCGGGATTTAATGGAGGAAGTTAAAACGCAATAGGTTGCCACATAAGATGCTCTTACGTGACCAATTCACTCATTTCTCGTGTATTTCACATTTCGTTTTCTAAGGTGGCAAGACATGCATAAGTAACAAAAAAAAAAAAAAAAAAAATTATCTAAAATAAAGAAAAAGATAATGGTTTACAGTGTTGTGTTGTTTATTAGAAAAGTGCATAATTTATACAAGTACAAGTATCAATCTCATCCTATAATTAAGTGGGCAAAGCATGGCATAAGTAACAAAAAAAAAAAAAAAAATTATCTAAAATAAAGAAAAAGATAATGGTTTTACAGTGTTTGAGTTTTATTGAAAGTGCATATTTTAATACAAGTACAAGTATCATCTCCAATCCTATAATTAAGCTATGTCCAATCATCTCCGTATTTAATAGAAGGATATACAATGACAGATGGTAAAGATAATTACAATTAACTGATTAATATTTTCCCTTAATACTCCCCCTTCAGTTGGAGAAGTGTAATGTTTGTATTCCACTTGCTTCTCAAGAACTGAAATTGTTCACGTCCCCAAGCCTTGTGGAAGATATCTGCTAACTGTAATCGTGTAGGAACAGTATTGGTGGTTTGACCAATCCTTGACTGCAACTTCTCTCTGAACAATGTGACAATATAATCTCGATGTGTTTTGTTCGTTCATAGCAAAACAGGATTTCGCCGACTAATATGGTAATGCTGCTATGATTATAACAAAAACAAAGAATGACCAGGCCCCGTCTGAAATTTAACTATTTAAGATCACGAAGCAAAATAATGGATCAAGTCAAATCACGAAGCAAATAATGGATCCAAGTCAACTCAAGGCATGTATTTGCCATAGATCTGTATTCTGCTCTTCTGCCGAAGACCTAGAAACATTAGTTTGTTTCTTTGACTTCCATGAGATCAATGAACTTCCCAGAAATATGCAATAACCTGAAATGGAACGTCGTGTTGTACGACAACCTGCCCAATCTGAGTCACAAAAGGCTGACAATTTCAAATTATTTTCACGCGGCAACAGCAAACCTTGTCCCGGAGTACTTTTAATATACTTTAAAACCCGAATGGCTGCTTCCCAATGTGGTTTTCTTGGTTCATGCATGTATTGAGATAATGTGCGGACAGAATAAACAATATCCGGTCTTGTTACCATTAAATAGATCAATCGACCGATCAATCGTCTGTACCTTGTTGGATCATGTAATTTTTCTCCATCTGTGAGCGTTAATTTAACATTTTGTTCCATTGGGAAGCTCTCCGGCCGTGAACCTATATGGCCAGAATCTTCCAAAATATCTAGCGCATATTTGCGTTGGGACATAAAACTTTTTTAGAAATGAGAAAATTCTATACCCAAAAAATAACCAAGCCTTTTCCCAGATCCCTTGATTAAAAAATTTCTTGAAATAAGAATTGTTTTTAAGGGAAGGGCCATGATTTCTTGCATACTATTCCCTGTCACAAGGATGTCGTCTACATAAATAAGTACTGCAGTGAAGGATGTATCTTGCTGTTTGGTAAATAAGGAGTAGTCTGCTTTTGACTGTGCAAAACCGGCGGATGCTAATGCCTCAGAAAAGGTAGAAAACCAATTACGGGATGCTTGTTTTAGCCCATAGAGGGACTTGTTGAGCCGACAAACCATGTTCTCCCCCTGTCGGCATAATCCGGGTAATCCGGGAGGCAGTTCCATGTAGACAATTTCCTGCAAATTTCCATGTAAAAAAGCATTTTGTACATCCAATTGATGAGTAAACCAATTTCTGGCAGCAGCAATAGTAAGTAAACAACGAAGAGTTGTCATTTTTGTTGTAGGAGAAAAGGTTTCCTTGTAGTCGAGACCTTCTACCTGTGTATATCCTTTTGCAACGAGGCGAGCTTTATATCGCTCAATTGTACCATCAGAATGATATTTTATTTTGTAAACCCACCTGCAGCCGATAGGCTTGTGACCGGGGGGACGAGGAACAAGAGACCAAGTGTTATTGCGCTGTAATGCTTGTAATTCAGCATCCATAGCTGCTTGCCAATGAGGGAATTGGACAGCTTGGGAATAGTGGTAGTTCAACCTGGGATGTTTACTGGCTAAAAAAGCACGATGAGATATGAAAATTGTGAAAGA